TGAACAAACCATATGATGATCATGCGCTACCTTGTACTGAACAAACCATATGATGATCATGCGCTACCTTGTACTGAACAAACCATATGATGATCATGCGCTACCTTGTACTGAACAAACCATATGATCCTCATGCGCTACCTTGTACTGAACAAACCATATGATCCTCATGTGCTACCTTGTACTGAACAAACCATATGATGATCATGTGCTACCTTGTACTGAACAAACCATATGATGATCATGTGCTACCTTGTACTGAACAAACCATATGATCCTCATGTGCTACCTTGGACTGAACAAACCATATGATCCTCATGTGCTACCTTGGACTGAACAAACCATATGATCCTCATGTGCTACCTTGTACTGAACAAACCATATGATCCTCATGTGCTACCTTGTACTGAACAAACCATATGATGATCATGTGCTACCTTGTACTGAACAAACCATATGATGATCATGTGCTACCTTGTACTGAACAAACCATATGATCCTCATGTGCTACCTTGTACTGAACAAACCATATGATCCTCATGTGCTACCTTGTACTGAACAAACCATATGATGATCATGTGCTACCTTGTACTGAACAAACCATATGATGATCATGTGCTACCTTGTACTGAACAAACCATATGATCCTCATGTGCTACCTTGTACTGAACAAACCATATGATCCTCATGTGCTACCTTGTACTGAACAAACCATATGATCCTCATGTGCTACCTTGTACTGAACAAACCATATGATCCTCATGTGCTACCTTGGACTGAACAAACCATATGATGATCATGTGCTACCTTGTACTGAACAAACCATATGATGATCATGTGCTACCTTGTACTGAACAAACCATATGATCCTCATGTGCTACCTTGTACTGAACAAACCATATGATCCTCATGTGCTACCTTGTACTGAACAAACCATATGATCCTCATGTGCTACCTGTGTACTGAACAAAACAAACCATATGATGATCATGTGCTACCTTGTACTGAACAAACCATATGATGATCATGTGCTACCTTGTACTGCTATCATGTGCTACCTTGTACTGAACAAACCATATGATCCTCATGTGCTACCTTGTACTGAACAAACCATATGATCCTCATGTGCTACCTTGTACTGAACAAACCATATGATCCTCCTGTTCTACCTTGTACTGAACAAACCATATGATGATCATGTGCTACCTTGTACTGAACAAACCATATGATCCTCATGTGCTACCTTGTACTGAACAAACCATATGATCCTCATGTGCTACCTTGTACTGAACAAACCATATGATGATCATGTGCTACCTTGTACTGAACAAACCATATGATGATCATGTGCTACCTTGTACTGAACAAACCATATGATCCTCATGTGCTACCTTGGACTGAACAAACCATATGATGATCATGTGCTACCTTGGACTGAACAAACCATATGATGATCATGTGCTACCTTGGACTGAACAAACCATATTATGATCATGTGCTACCTTGGACTGAACAAACCATATGATGATCATGTGCTACCTTGGACTGAACAAACCATATGATGATCATGTGCTACCTTGTACTGAACAAACCATATGATCCTCATGTGCTAGCTTGTACTGAACAAACCATATGATCCTCATGTGCTACCTTGGACTGAACAAACCATATGATGATCATGTGCTACCTGGGACTGAACAAAACATATGATCCTCATGTGCTACCTTGTACTGAACAAACCATATGATGATCATGTGCTACCTTGTACTGAACAAACCATATGATGATCATGTGCTACCTTGTACTGAACAAACCATATGACGATCATGCGCTACCATGTGCATATGATGATCATGTGCTACCTTGTACTGAACAAACCATATGATGATCATGTGCTACCTTGTACTGAACAAACCATATGACGATCATGTGCTACCTTGTACTGAACAAACCATATGATGATCATGTGCTACCTTGTACTGAACAAACCATATGACGATCATGTGCTACCTTGTACTGAACAAACCATATACTCATTGCTACCTTGGACTGAACAAACCATATGATGATCATGCGCTACCTGTACTGAACAAACCATATGATGATCATGCGCTACCTTGTACTGAACAAACCATATGATGATCATGTGCTACCTTGTACTGAACAAACCATATGATCCTCATGCGCTACCTTGTACTGAACAAACCATATGATGATCATGCGCTACCTTGTACTGAACAAACCATATGATGATCATGTGCTACCTTGTACTGAACAAACCATATGATGATCATGTGCTACCTTGTACTGAACAAACCATATGATCCTCATGTGCTACCTTGTACTGAACAAACCATATGATCCTCATGTGCTACCTTGTACTGAACAAACCATATGATGATCATGTGCTACCTTGTACTGAACAAACCATATGATCCTCATGTGCTACCTTGTACTGAACAAACCATATGATCCTCATGTGCTACCTTGGACTGAAAAAACCATATGATGATCATGTGCTACCTTGTACTGAACAAACCATATGATCCTCATGCGCTACCTTGTACTGAACAAACCATTTAATCCTCATGTGCTACCTTGTACTGAACAAACCATATGATCCTCATGTGCTACCTTGTACTGAACAAACCATATGATCCTCATGTGCTACCTTGTACTGAACAAACCATATGATGATCATGTGCTACCTTGTACTGAACAAACCATATGATGATCATGTGCTACCTTGTACTGAAACAAACCATATGATCCTCATGTGCTACCTTGTACTGAACAAACCATATGATCCTCATGTGCTACCTTGTACTGAACAAACCATATGATGATCATGTGCTACCTTGTACTGAACAAACCATATGATGATCATGTGCTACCTTGTACTGAACAAACCATATGATCCTCATGTGCTACCTTGTACTGAACAAACCATATGATCCTCATGTGCTACCTTGTACTGAACAAACCATATGATCCTCATGTGCTACCTTGTACTGAACAAACCATATGATCCTCATGTGCTACCTTGGACTGAACAAACCATATGATGATCATGTGCTACCTTGTACTGAACAAACCATATGATGATCATGTGCTACCTTGTACTGAACAAACCATATGATCCTCATGTGCTACCTTGTACTGAACAAACCATATGATCCTCATCATGTGCTACCTTGTGTACTGTACTGAACAAACCATATGATGATCATGTGCTACCTTGTACTGAACAAACCATATGATCCTCATGTGCTACCTTGTACTGAACAAACCATATGATCCTCATGTGCTACCTTGGACTGAACAAACCATATGATGATCATGTGCTACCTTGTACTGAACAAACCATATGATGATCATGTGCTACCTTGTACTGAACAAACCATATGATCCTCATGTGCTACCTTGTACTGAACAAACCATATGATCCTCATGTGCTACCTTGTACTGAACAAACCATATGATCCTCATGTGCTACCTTGTACTGAACAAACCATATGATGATCATGTGCTACCTTGTACTGAACAAACCATATGATGATCATGTGCTACCTTGTACTGAACAAACCATATGATGATCATGTGCTACCTTGTACTGAACAAACCATATGATGATCATGTGCTACGTTGTACTGAACAAACCATATGATGATCATGTGCTACCTTGGACTGAACAAACCATATGATGATCATGTGCTACCTTGTACTGAACAAACCATATGATGATCATGTGCTACCTTGTACTGAACAAACCATATGATCCTCATGTGCTACCTTGTACTGAACAAACCATATGATGATCATGTGCTACCTTGTACTGAACAAACCATATGATCCTCATGTGCTACCTTGTACTGAACAAACCATATGATGATCATGTGCTACCTTGTACTGAACAAACCATATGATGATCATGTGCTACCTTGTACTGAACAAACCATATGATGATCATGTGCTACCTTGTACTGAACAAACCATATGATGATCATGTGCTACCTTGTACTGAACAAACCATATGATGATCATGTGCTACCTTGTACTGAACAAACCATATGATGATCATGTGCTACCTTGTACTGAACAAACCATATGATGATCATGCGCTACCTTGTACTGAACAAACCATATGATGATCATGTGCTACCTTGTACTGAACAAACCATATGATCCTCATGCGCTACCTTGTACTGAACAAACCATATGATCCTCATGTGCTACCTTGGACTGAACAAACCATATGATGATCATGTGCTACCTTGGACTGAACAAACCATATGATGATCATGTGCTACCTTGGACTGAACAAACCATATGATCCTCATGTGCTACCTTGGACTGAACAAACCATATGATGATCATGTGCTACCTTGTACTGAACAAACCATATGATGATCATGTGCTACCTTGTACTGAACAAACCATATGATCCTCATGTGCTACCTTGTACTGAACAAACCATATGATCCTCATGTGCTACCTTGTACTGAACAAACCATATGATCCTCATGTGCTACCTTGTACTGAACAAACCATATGATCCTCATGTGCTACCTTGTACTGAACAAACCATATGATCCTCATGTGCTACCTTGGACTGAACAAACCATATGATCCTCATGTGCTACCTTGGACTGAACAAACCATATGATCCTCATGTGCTACCTTGTACTGAACAAACCATATGATGATCATGTGCTACCTTGTACTGAACAAACCATATGATGATCATGTGCTACCTTGTACTGAACAAACCATATGATCCTCATGTGCTACCTTGTACTGAACAAACCATATGATCCTCATGTGCTACCTTGTACTGAACAAACCATATGATGATCATGTGCTACCTTGTACTGAACAAACCATATGATGATCATGTGCTACCTTGTACTGAACAAACCATATGATCCTCATGTGCTACCTTGTACTGAACAAACCATATGATGATCATGTGCTATGAACTACATGTACTGACTGAACAAACCATATGATCCTCATGTGCTACCTTGTACTGAACAAACCATATGATGATCATGTGCTACCTTGTACTGAACAAACCATATGATGATCATGTGCTACCTTGTACTGAACAAACCATATGATGATCATGTGCTACCTTGTACTGAACAAACCATATGATGATCATGTGCTACCTTGTACTGAACAAACCATATGATGATCATGTGCTACGTTGTACTGAACAAACCATATGATCCTCATGTGCTACCTTGTACTGAACAAACCATATGATCCTCATGTGCTACCTTGGACTGAACAAACCATTTAATCCTCATGTGCTACCTTGGACTGAACAAACCATATGATCCTCATGTGCTACCTTGGACTGAACAAACCATATGATGATCATGTGCTACCTTGTACTGAACAAACCATATGATCCTCATGTGCTACCTTGTACTGAACAAACCATATGATCCTCATGTGCTACCTTGTACTGAACAAACCATATGATGATCATGTGCTACCTTGTACTGAACAAACCATATGATGATCATGTGCTACCTTGTACTGAACAAACCATATGATCCTCATGTGCTACCTTGTACTGAACAAACCATATGATCCTCATGTGCTACCTTGTACTGAACAAACCATATGATGATCATGTGCTACCTTGTACTGAACAAACCATATGATGATCATGTGCTACCTTGTACTGAACAAACCATGATGATCCTCATGTGCTACCTTGTACTGAACAAACCATATGATGATCATGTGCTACCTTGGACTGAACAAACCATATGATCCTCATGTGCTACCTTGTACTGAACAAACCATATGATGATCATGTGCTACCTTGTACTGAACAAACCATATGATCCTCATGCGCTACCTTGTACTGAACAAACCATATGATGATCATGTGCTACCTTGTACTGAACAAACCATATGATGATCATGTGCTACCTTGTACTGAACAAACCATATGATGATCATGTGCTACCTTGTACTGAACAAACCATATGATCCTCATGTGCTACCTTGTACTGAACAAACCATATGATCCTCATGTGCTACCTTGTACTGAACAAACCATATGATGATCATGTGCTACCTTGTACTGAACAAACCATATGATGATCATGTGCTACCTTGTACTGAACAAACCATATGATGATCATGTGCTACCTTGTACTGAACAAACCATATGATGATCATGTGCTACCTTGTACTGAACAAACCATATGATCCTCATGTGCTACCTTGTACTGAACAAACCATATGATGATCATGTGCTACCTTGTACTGAACAAACCATATGATGATCATGTGCTACCTTGTACTGAACAAACCATATGATGATCATGTGCTACCTTGTACTGAACAAACCATATGATGATCATGTGCTACCTTGTACTGAACAAACCATATGATCCTCATGTGCTACCTTGTACTGAACAAACCATATGATGATCATGTGCTACCTTGTACTGAACAAACCATATGATGATCATGTGCTACCTTGTACTGAACAAACCATATGATCCTCATGTGCTACCTTGTACTGAAACAAACCATATGATCCTCATGTGCTACCTTGTACTGAACAAACCATATGATCCTCATGTGCTACCTTGTACTGAACAAACTATATGATGATCATGTGCTACCTTGTACTGAACAAACCATATGATGATCATGTGCTACCTTGTACTGAACAAACCATATGATGATCATGTGCTACCTTGTACTGAACAAACCATATGATCCTCATGTGCTACCTTGTACTGAACAAACCCATATGATCCTCATGTGCTACCTTGTACTGAACAAACCATATGATGATCATGTGCTACCTTGTACTGAACAAACCATATGATGATCATGTGCTACCTTGTACTGAACAAACCATATGATCCTCATGTGCTACCTTGTACTGAACAAACCATATGATGATCATGTGCTACCTTGTACTGAACAAACCATATGATGATCATGTGCTACCTTGTACTGAACAAACCATATGATGATCATGCGCTACCTTGTACTGAACAAACCATATGATGATCATGTGCTACCTTGTACTGAACAAACCATATGATGATCATGTGCTACCTTGTACTGAACAAACCATATGATGATCATGTGCTACCTTGTACTGAACAAACCATATGATCCTCATGTGCTACCTTGTACTGAACAAACCATATGATGATGCTCATCAAACCTTGCTGAACAAACCATATGATGATCATGTGCTACCTTGTACTGAACAAACCATATGATGATCATGTGCTACCTTGTACTGAACAAACCATATGATGATCATGTGCTACCTTGTACTGAACAAACCATATGATCCTCATGTGCTACCTTGTACTGAACAAACCATATGATCCTCATGTGCTACCTGTACTGAACAAACCATATGACGATCATGTGCTACCTTGTACTGAACAAACCATATGATGATCATGTGCTACCTTGTACTGAACAAACCATATGATGATCATGTGCTACCTTGTACTGAACAAACCATATGATCCTCATGTGCTACCTTGTACTGAACAAACCATATGATCCTCATGTGCTACCTTGTACTGAACAAACCATATGATGATCATGTGCTACCTTGTACTGAACAAACCATATGATCCTCATGTGCTACCTTGGACTGAACAAACCATATGATCCTCATGTGCTACCTTGTACTGAACAAACCATATGATGATCATGTGCTACCTTGTACTGAACAAACCATATGATGATCATGTGCTACCTTGTACTGAACAAACCATATGATGATCATGTGCTACCTTGTACTGAACAAACCATATGATCCTCATGTGCTACCTTGTACTGAACAAACCATATGATCCTCATGTGCTACCTTGTACTGAACAAACCATATGATCCTCATGTGCTACCTTGTACTGAACAAACCATATGATCCTCATGTGCTACCTTGTACTGAACAAACCATATGATGATCATGTGCTACCTTGTACTGAACAAACCATATGATGATCATGTGCTACCTTGTACTGAACAAACCATATGATCCTCATGTGCTACCTTGTACTGAACAAACCATATGATCCTCATGTGCTACCTTGTACTGAACAAACCATATGATCCTCATGTGCTACCTTGTACTGAACAAACCATATGATCCTCATGTGCTACCTTGTACTGAACAAACCATATGATCCTCATGTGCTACCTTGCTACTGAACAAACCATATGATGATCATGTGCTACCTTGTACTGAACAAACCATATGATGATCATGTGCTACCTTGTACTGAACAAACCATATGATCCTCATGTGCTACCTTGTACTGAACAAACCATATGATCCTCATGTGCTACCTTGTACTGAACAAACCATATGATCCTCATGTGCTACCTTGTACTGAACAAACCATATGATCCTCATGTGCTACCTTGTACTGAACAAACCATATGATGATCATGTGCTACCTTGTACTGAACAAACCATATGATGATCATGTGCTACCTTGTACTGAACAAACCATATGATGATCATGTGCTACCTTGTACTGAACAAACCATATGATGATCATGTGCTACCTTGTACTGAACAAACCATATGATGATCATGTGCTACCTTGTACTGAACAAACCATATGATGATCATGTGCTACTTTGTGTGCTACCTTGATCACTGAACAAAACCATCATATGATGATCATGTGCTATCTTGTGCTACCTTGTACTGAACAAACCATTGATGATCATGTGCTACCTTGTACTGAACAAACCATATGATCCTCATTGCTACCTTGTACTGAACAAACCATATGATCTATCATGTGCTACCTTGTACTGAACAAACCATATGATGATCATGTGCTACCTTGTACTGAACAAACCATATGATGACATCATGAAAAACATAAACGCAGAATTGCACACATAAGAGATGAGAATGTATAAGAAAGGCTGTGGGGGGAACATAAGAAAAGACTAGAGCCTTCAACAATGTAGGCACAGTACCAGTAAAGGAAGGGGAGGGTGGGAGTAATAGTAGTTGCAGCAGAAGATGTTGGGGAAGGGGAGAGGTGTGTCTTGCAAGATTTTCAAGTCATAGTGCTCCAATGGATTTGCCCACATTTTGCATCTTCTTCTGGGTTCATCCAAAGAGGTAAATGCACTGTAACCGTTGACATTTACAAAATAGCTGCGATATTTATATCTTTTGGTTGATTCATCTGACTTCTGCAAGCATTTCTTCCCCCGTTAGCCGCTCCGGTTAGTTTTGTGGGACACTGCAGATTCACTTCTGTGTGGTCATCTTTGTTTCCTAGTTCACAGGTTGTGCCCCCCTCAAGCTAATCCAGACCAGCCAAGTTATGCTGGTCAGCCCTCATGAGAAAACACAGGCAGGGCAGCAAATGAACCTTTCCCGCCATCTAAGGAAGCTTCCACAAATTCAGAGCCAATACATAGTGCTCTGGTCCTAGGCTCAGTCAAGACATTGTCACATCCTGATCACGACAGTTTAACCTCACCTGAGTTTATTGAGTCTCTTATTCGTCACGGACTATGCCTTTAGACTGCATACCCTGGTTGTACCAACTGGAGCCGCAAGACAGGAAAACCACGCGGGAGCCACCCGTCGTTAAATCAATCAGAACATCCACTATAGTTTCACAGATCAGTATCCTCATGTATGAGGTCTTTACCACCTGATGTCCCTTACTTACTTAGTCGATCCTCTTCTACCTTGGGGTGTAGAAGTTTGCCAGAGAGATCACCAGACTTTTCTCTGCAGTTTTCTTTCTGGCTTTGTTCTATTCCAGTCCCCTGAAGGTCTGGTTCCTTGGTTCTTTGCCTCCCATGCCTGCCACGGTGCCTGATTTTCTCTAATTTTGCGTACATGTCCAAACCATCGTAACTGTGACTGATCCACTCAAGTTTGTAAGGCCTGGGTTTCAAGATCATGAAGTACTGTCTGATTGCGACTTTGTCCCTTCTTGCCACATGGACCACCTTTCTCAGATACCTCATTTTTTTTTAGGTCTGAAGCCGGCTTCTGTGAGCTGTTGTCACTGCCTATGACTCACACCCCATGTGATGTCTCTCCTATAGCATTCTTCTACTTCTGTGTTTCAGAGTCACAGTGGTTGACAACCAGGCTGTGATATCTGCACCTTTCAGCCTAATACATCCAATATCAGCACATCCTAAGTCAAATGTTACCACATGCTTGTTAAGGAAGCAGTGGGTCTATTTCCCCCCCCCCATCATCATCATCATGTGCCCTGCCAACTGGTGTAGGCGCTCATGCGTCTTTACAGATCACAATCCCTGGTTGCCTGGAACAGCTCTCTTGATGATATCCCTCCATGCTATCATTTCAGCCCATCCAGCATCATCTCTCTTGGTCTGCCTCTACCCCTTTTCTACTAATCTTTCCAGTTGTCACGATGTTCTCCAATGTCTCTCTTCTCATTATGTGTCCAAAGAACAGTGTTTGTCTCTATCTTATTGTTGTATATAGAGATCTACTTTCATTAGCTTCTTTCAAGCAATCGTTGTTAGTTACTCTGGCCATCCAAGGTATTCGTAACATTTCCTCCCACACACTGAAATTCACATGGGCAGTGTAGCATTTATTCATGTCCTTTCTCTCTAATGAAATTCACTGCTTGCCTGCCTTTGGGTCACCCTTCAGGATGCAAGTACTGAGGATGATGGTATGAACAGTTGTGATCTGAAGTAACTGAAAGCATGGATAACTAACTGCCAGTACTGTGTGCATGTACTGCTTCTCGAGGCTGTGTGGACAGGGGGAGTTTTGATCCTGAGGATTTAGGGCTGCATCACTAATGCTGTCACCGTGGACTGTGCAGGTAAGGATGTTTCTTTTTTACCCCTGAGAGACAAACCTCCCATCACCTTACAGGGGATCGAACCCGGGTCTCCCCCATGAGTGCCCAACATTGTAATCGCTCTGCCATGAATAATTAATCCAAGCCACAAATTACATACCAATAATTTTTTCAGAAGAATTGCAGGCCAAGGCAAAGCGGGTCGTCTTTGAGAAAATCTCCATGGTCCTCCTCAGTGCTTGCTGAGCTCCGTCGGTCATGCTATTCACAACAGGATAATTACAAATATAGTTCCGTTATAAAAGAAACAAAAAGCAACAAGAAAGACAACTAATGATGCAATGTAAATAAGCATCTGGCATTCTCTGTGTGTGTTCTGGGGCCGCACATTTTGAGATAAAAAGAATACAACCATAGCCACACACCCCCCCCCCCCCCACCTGCATGTCACAAAAGGTGACTAATTAAGGGTGTATCCTTCTAAGTGGAGTGCATCTGCCTGATGCAAGGAACCAACAGTCTGCAGACATATGACATTTAATGCTATTTAATTTAACAAAACGCCAGTGAACGTTGTCAGCCCTGTGGCTAAGTCGATGCGAACACCGGGGTGCCGGGTTCGATCCCAGCTGCGGGCCATGCGCCTTGCGTTGGTTTCGACAGTGGTTTCAGGGGACCGACCGTCCAGACAGCAATGGCAAACTACTGGATGTAAATTTGCCTAGAGAAACCACAACAGCCAGGGGCTGCTGGGGTTAGTTCTGCAACGTCCTGTAAAGGATACGACACTAACAGTGAACGTTGGGAAACCACTAAAGAAAAGGAACAAAAGTTAAATACATTGGAAAACATACACTTGAACATAAAACTGGATAAATTCTAGAAGGTTGAAGAAATCACAGAAATATCCAGGCAATAACAGTTATAAGACTAAAGAAACTCTTAAACGAACATCAACGTAAGAGGCTAGAGGTGCTTGACTGGATTCCATCCATAACATAGAAGAGACTGGGAGCCGTGTTAACGCAGCCGATAGGAGGCTCGCTTTCAAATCCAGCTGCGACTCGCTGCAGCCCACGGTCGGTGTTCGAAACCGGGCGGTTCCCGGGGTTCACCCAGCCTCTAGGAAATGGGTAGCAGAGTGACACTTTGGGGTAAATGAAGGAACGTCGCTGTAGCTACAGAGCTATGTGCGAACTGCGATACAGGCGGACAGTTTCTTATCAGCTGTCCGTTCTGGTGGCAGAGCACTTATGGTTTATAACCGTTTGTAATGACGCTGGTTCACATCTCCCGACCTTTTTACCTTTATATAGAAGAGCTTGCACAGGATAGGATGGAATGGAGGAATAGACTGTGAGCCCTATGTGATAACTAATGGCACAACATGATGTTGATGATGAAACAATGAAGACTGGCTGCAATGCATCCAAAACACCCCCCACCCCCTTCCCCGATTGTAAATTCTTTCATATTGCTGTCACCTCTTGAATAGAGTCAGATGCTAACACGTCTCGGACACATCTCCCTTTACCGACAACCTTACCTGTCCGCCTCATCCAGAATGATAATTTTATGCCTCCCCTTGGGCAGGGTGACTTTCTGTTGGGCAAACATCTTGATGCGGTTTCTCACAACATCAATTCCTCTGTGAAAGATGTTACATAGAAATTAATGAGCTTCCATATTAATCAACAGATAATCCTCACTGCAGACTGAAGCAATCAGTCGGTCGGTGCTCGGATCCCCTCCATGGACATCCCCACAAATGAGCAGCTGGTGAAACCAGTTCTGTGTTGGTTTATTCTTCTTCATTGACTTCCTACATAGGGCTCTTCTCTGACCTCAGAACTTTTCCCATGCTGTTTCCTAGTCTGGTCATGGCTGCACACAGATCACTTGGTTCTCGCAAATGTGCCTTACTTCTCATTCAGCATTCAGTATATTAGATTAGTCCATTGTTTGTCCCCCCCACCCCCCACGTTAGCCTTACCCTCAAGTCTACCAGCTTGTTCATTTCCTTTCAAACCTGCATGCCAAGGTGTACAAGTTAAACTGATTTTTGTCAGCCATGACCTCTTTAGAAACTGCAACCACTGACTTCAAGCCTACATTCATCAATTTAAAGTGTTTAAAGATAAGATTATTAACTTGACAGTGTGTGGTTTGAACTCCTAAGGCTTGATAACTGTTCAACAACTGGCCGACTGCCAGCAAGAGTGCTGCATTAAGCACAAATGACACAGCCCCAGCAACGACCCCCAGGGAACTGTAAAACACCAGCACTCATAAACTGAAAAAAAAAGGAAATCTGAAATTGATCCCACGACCTTCAGAACATGAGGCAGATAGCTTAAACACCACAGAGACTGTTATCATCTCATTAACCACAGCCTCAGATATTTTACATTCATATTTAATGTACAAAACTCTGACACTTGCAACACACGATACTATTCAACTTTCATTACACTTTTTTGTTTTCTTCTGTGTTTGACATCAGGCATGCTAAACATTCAGTTCCCATCTGAGTCATAAACAGTATGGTGCATCTCAGATCACCACTGGTTCCCCCGTAGCTCCTCTTGTAATGTGGCTCCACTGGGCCCAATCTTCAGCCTTTGCCAGGAGTAATTAGGGCAAACCTGCAGTACATGCTCAGAAGTCTGTCTGTCTGCCTGCGCCAAATTCACGGTTAGCAGACACTTTTATGCATATTTTGTGCTCTAAGATCGCAGTACGTTCAGTCCGAAGCTTCAAAATTAATGTTTGTTCTTTCCTGTTAACTCTTTGAGTCCCAAGGAACGCATCATACGTTCATAGGTTCCTACCTAAAAGCCCAATGAACGCATGATGCGCCGATTTTATTACTCTCTTTACTACCCCCTGGGCCTGTGACGCTAAACCGCCTGGGACTCAAAGAGTTAAGTTTGTTTATGCTGTCACTCTCTGGTCTGTAGTCTTCATTCTGTCTTCTCCATTCCCCCTTGAAAGCCTGCTTTAGGGCTGTTTTGGTTTCTTCATAACTCTGTTGTGGATGAGGTTGTGGGAGATTGCTCCCAGCTTTTGCCAGCTCATCTGCTCTCTCTCCCATTCCCTTAAATATCACAGTGGGCTGGTATCCACTGCAGGACCAGTTCTGCTTCCTTGGAAAGTAAAAAAAGTAAAAAAGTAAAGATCCCTTTTCACGCCTTTCGGCGCATCGGGCATATGGGCAGAGCGTCCCATATTTTTACAGACCGTCAGCACTCTGTGGGTAATGTGGTCAGCATTACGCCGGCTGTCTTTACTTTCCCAGGACAGCCCATCCTGGTACCCATTTTAGGCTGGGTCGACCTGCGACGTCCCATACCACGATAAACCTTGGAAAGTAAGCCAATGCAAGTGGTCTGCGGATCATTGCCAGCTGTATTGTACTAAGGATCTTTCTATGCTGGGGTGTGAGCTTGTGGTCTGCGGATCATTGCCAGCTGTATTGTACTAAGGATCTTTCTATGCTGGGGTGTGAGCTTGTGGTCTGCAGATCATTGCCAGCTGTATTGTATTAAGGATCTTTCTATGCTGGGGTGTGAGCTTGTGGTCTGCAGATCATTGCCAGCTGTATTGTATTAAGGATCTTTCTATGCTGGGGTGTGAGCTTGTGGTCTGCGGATCATTGCCAGCTGTATTGTATTAAGGATCTTTCTATGCTGGGGTGTGAGCTTGTGGTCTGCGGATCATTGCCAGCTGTATTGTATTAAGGATCTTTCTATGCTGGGGTGTGAGCTTGTGGTCTGCGGATCATTGCCAGCTGTATTGTATTAAGGATCTTTCTATGCTGGGGTGTGAGCTTGTGGCCTGCAATGATCCCCATTTATAAAATTGTGGCCCCCAACTAAACTTAGATGAACAGCCATGTCTTAGGACATAGTTTAGTGCCCTGAAACATCTTCTTTCTCTTCATTTCTTCCTGAAGTTCATCAAAGAGCTGTGGAAAGGAGGTTAAAAGGATTGTATGTGTGCTCAATCCAATGCATTCTGTAAGTTGGCCTTAATTTCTTTAAAGTCCCTGGTTGGATTTCAGGCCCCACTGTGGTTGAAGGGGGTGGGGGTGGGGGGTGTACCCACAGCCGCCTAATAAGCATGTCATAAAGGGTAATTAATAAGTGGATTTTTATTTCCAAGTCTGAGCTAAGTCAAGTGATAGTCAAGAAACCAATAATCCGCATAAATTAAACCAGATCTGTAAAACAGATGTGCCCGCCATATTCAAGATTGTAAACAAGTACAAAGTCCAGAAGCAGAACTTTCCTGGACATTCTGCTTGACATCAAGACCCATCTACAAATCTTGGCCCTCATCCAAGAAACAGGTTGAGTACCTGGGGTGTGGCCAACGTAGACAGGATTAAAGATTCCGTCAAAATTGGACAGCATCTGACAGAGGTGAGGAACCAACAATCTGCACACAATAAGCCAGATCAGTCAAACAGATGTGCATGAAACACTTCAATGCTGCAGCCACACCAAAGTTGACAAAAAGCCAGGATTTCCCGCCTGAGTTTACAGCTGGTGAATGATAGGAAGAAGTGTTCATTTGGTATCATTCATCCTTACTTTCATACTAAAACCTCCTCGTGCGGGTTCCGTCCGGGATCAATATTGTGGGGAAAACAAGAAGAGACCCACTGTCTCCGCAACAAGCACGTTGTAGGAGTCGACTAACTGGACACATCCTTCAAAGTCAGAGCATATCTGCCTGACAGGCAAAGAACCACAAGCCTGCAAACAAATATACCAGATTTGTGAAATGGAATTGCACGCAACACTCAGGTTCTGGAGCAAGACTTAAGTCCGGAGGTGGATGAACACCAAAGAACACTTTCCCATGGAGTTTTTAGCTGGTGGAAGCAAAGAAGAAGGAAAATTACTATAACTAACTAACCTTTCATTGGAAGCGTTCAACTCCAGGACGGCATCTTTGAAAGACGACCCCAGCAGAGCTCTGGCCAGACACAGGATGCTGGTAGTTTTTCCGGTACCTGGGGGACCCTGTGCGAACAGTTCAACACAATCTGTACAAGCCACGCAAAGTTTAAAAAGATAGTTGAAAGTTACACAGTAGGCTAAAAGACAACAACATCATTGTCTTCTTCTGTGTTCCACATTGAATTCTGAATAAAGAATTGACATCACAGCAACAAGGCAGATGTGGTCAAGGCCCTTTGAGATCAAGTAACGAAGTCAGAAGAGAAAACAGATTATGATGGCCTAGAGAAAATGAGGGTCTGGCCGGCTCACTGCACTCAGAAGGAAGGCAAGACGGACATATAACCAGATTATGACTGCTACCATCAGTATTGGAACTCTGCGCTGGCTGCTGGAGCGCATATGGGAATGCCCCAAGTGCTGTCATGTCAATTATTGACTCAACTCAACACCACAGCACTCGGGACATTGCCATAAGTGCTGCATCCCCATCTTCAGCACTAAGTGCAAAGTTCCAATTCCAGTGACACCAGTAACCACCTGATTGCATATCCATCTTGTCTTTTCTTTTAGTGTTGAGCGTCAGCCAGATCCCCAGTCACTTCTAACAGCACCATTCTTCTCAGACCATAATCATCTATTATACCTGTCAATCTACCTGTTTATTTGCCAACACGACCTGCAGAAAATATCCAAAGGATGCTAACTATCTAGAACCTCTGAAGTTTAGTTAGTCAACAGATTACCATCGCACATTAAACCATCCAGTTCATAAGTGCTCAGAATCCCCTCTTCAGTATCTCCCTCAGCGTGTAGTGGCTTATAACACCAGGTCTGTGTTGGTCTACTATTCTTCTTTGTGCCCCCGTGTAGCGCTCTTGTCTGACTTCACCTCTTTGGATGTTATGTTCGAGTAGTCTCGTCAGTGTTGCAGATTCACAATCATTACGTGATTCATTTAATCAAGCCACCTCTCTGACTGCATTCAATATATCAGCCTTGTCCATTGCTTGTCTGTTTCACATAAGCATTACTTGCAAGTCTGTCAGCTTATTCATTGCCCTTTACACCAGAATGCCCCCAGAACAAATATGAAGCTGATACCTCTGAAGTGAAACTAGCCACTCTGCACGAAGCATGCCTGTCTTCACCTGTCTCAACATGCTGTGAGTCAGTTACAGTTAGGACATGTGTGTACAGCTAGTTATAGATTCAGTCCTTTCTATGCCCCAAACAGGATATGAGTCTAAGGTCCTTGCCAGTCTTCCATATCTTGTCTTGCAATGAAGCTCTGTCGGGCCAGATCCCCAGCCTTAGCTGGGAGTAAACAGGCCGGCCCTGCGGTAAAATCACATTATCATCAAGAAGCTGGTCCTCTGCAAATTTCTGCTCTCATCACAGCCCATTAGAAATGCTGTTTCTTGTCAATTCACCTTCTTTGTGAAATGCTTTGTTTCTTGTCAATTCACCTGCTTTGTGTATATTCATGATAGCTAGTTAATCAGCCGATCATAATCATCGCATACTGGACAATTCCACAAATGCTCGGATCCCATCTTTAGCATCTCACTCAGGTTGTGGTGACTCACAACACCATTCTGATCCCAAATTTGTCTCCAATGTCTTCTGTTCACCTTCATGCTGGTCAATCCCTGCCTATTCTTTTAAGAACCAAGCCTTCCAAATCGCTGATTTCTGTAAATGGTTAAAGTACTTTGGTTTTTTTCCCAGTCTCCAAGCATGTTTCCTCGTTTCACAAAAAATTATAAGAAAGTTTAAAAAATAATTAAATCTACAACAATTCTGATCCATTTAATTTTCGAGGAAATCCATTTCCAGAATTAAGATATGCAGACAAATCTTAAAAAGTGCTAAAAAATTAAAAATAGATAATCCTGATAGCTAAAGGGCATGGACAAAATGTAACCAATGTTCTGAATTTTACAAATAAAACAACAATAAATCAAAGATAATGTTCACAGACGTTGCAATGTTCTTAATTTTACAAATAAAACAACAATAAATCAAAGATAATGGTCCCAGACGTTGCAATGTTCTTAATTTAACTAATAAAACAACAATAAATCAAAGATAATGGTCGCAGACACAGCAACTGAAGACTTCCCCCACCCCCAAAATGATGTCAGTGCAGATTTTTAAACCCAGAATCACCAGGCAGTCAAGCAAGTATGCAAGCTACTCCGCTACCATAGCTATCTGAGTGCAAGAGACTAATTATGTCCCATTACATGATAAAAAGCCAGAAATAACACCCGGATGAATGAACAAGAGAATAACAATGTCCCACAGGAGAATAACAATGTCCCACAGGAGAATAACAATGTCCCACAGCAGAATAACAATGTCCTACAGCAGAATAACAATGTCCCACAGGAGAATAACAATGTCCCACAGCTGAATAATAATGTCCCACAGGAGAATAACAATGTCCCACAGCAGAATAACAATGTCCCACAGGAGAACAACAATGTCCCACAGCAGAATAACAATGTCCCACAGCAGAATAACAATGTCCCACAGCAGAATAACAATGTCACACAGCAGAATAACAATGTCCTACAGCAGAATAACAATGTCCCACAGCAGAATAACAATGTCCCACAGGAGAATAACAATGTCCCACAGCTGAATAACAATGTCCCACAGCAGAATAACAATGTCCCACAGGAGAACAACAATGTCCCACAGCAGAATAACAATGTCCCACAGAAGAATAACAATGTCCCACAGCAGAATAACAATGTCCCACAGCAAAATAACAATGTCCCACAGCAGAATAACAATGTCCCATGAGGGTTCTTGGGCCCAATGTTAAAGGAGAACAAAATAAACCCTCTGTCCCTTAATACACATGTCAGAAACGGCCACTATTAACTCTACCAGACTGCTGCCCCGCTATTACAGGAATTTCTTAATCTGCCGCTTAACCGCTGTCCCTCAATGTCGGGAATTTGCGTACTATGAGAAAACAATGCGCACAAATTAAAAATAACCAGCCAATCGTAATCAGATTTCGTGGTTAGTCATTGAGAATCGCTGCCCCCATGTGTCTGGATTTTCTTTGCTTTGTGTTGTTTGACAGGAAAAAATTCTGAAAATTCACAGCTGATTAATCAAAGGCACTTCGACAGGTAAGTGAAGTAGGTCTAGGCTTTTCACAGTCCAACAGGTGATCAATACTTTGGTTGATTTAGACTCTTGAGGAGTCAGAATTTCGTGAAGAATATGTTCCTAGTTGAAGTGATACAGTCAGTGGGAGCTCGAGTGGAAGATCGAGTGATGAGGAGAGTCTTGAAAATTATAGATTGAAAACTAGATTGATAGTAAGAGAAGGGGCGTGTTTCTCAAACAGCAACATCTAGTGCCCCCTTTGTGAAACAAGGCCGATCTTGCTGGGTGGAATTGCACACAAAGGCGGAATGTTGGCGCTAGATGAAAGGTAAACCTATTTTCTACAATGTCTCCAAGTTTCAACTTATTCTGACCACTTGTTTGCATGTAACTAATATTTTTGTATATCATGTTGGTTTTTCATGATGATGCTCAGGTATAGGGGGCAGTTAGATTCAGGGCCTCAGGTCTGGTAGGGTTAAGGCATTTGCTAAAATCTGATGTTTTGGGCTGAAAATTGCAGCCTAGCTGTAAACCACAAAACAACATGCTGACCACCCATTTAAGGGTGAATGCAGAAAAAAAATTGAATAGTTCTCACTCACTGCAATAATGATGTTCGGCACATTGCCTTCCCTGGCAAACACCCCAAGCCTGCTGACGGTTTCTTCGTTACCTACAATATCCTGCAATTTTATTGGCCGGTACTTTTCAACCCTGCGAACAAATTGAACAAGATAATTATTGACCAATCAATCTGGGTTAAACTGGCAGTTTTTAGAGCAGTGAATTATTTCATACAAGACAGGACAGTCAATAGAAAACTGCAACGTCTGGCAAATCTAACAGAGGTTATTGATTGAGTGTTCATACAAGTTATAAAAGTGCTGAGTAAGCTTTTCCATTATATTTTACTGATATTATTTATTTACAAAAAACATTAAAACATCAAGGGGGACTAGCTAGTAAACAGCCTCAAGGCTTGGCTTGGAAACTGAAATTCTGGCCACATTCAGCATAAAGGCAGAGTGGAAACAGTAGCAGAACGTACATTGCCAGGACAGAGGGCGAGAGGCCAACCAGCACGAATAACAATCTGCATACAAATAAGTCAGACCTGTAAAACGGATGTGCACGAAATACTCAGGTTATGGATCAAGACTAAAGTCCAGAGGTGTACGAACAACCAGAATTTTCCACCGGAGTTTACAGCTGGTGAACAAAAAGAAGAGAATACCTTTGTCTATGAAGGCAAATTCAATAACTATTTATTTCTGGCCTACCTTATCATGCTATCAGTATCAACCACGGACCCTAACTACAAATCTTTTTCTTCTGCCTTAACGGGGCATAGGCCCTCAACCAATTCACATCAAGGTATTCTATTGCTTGCAGCTCTCCCAAATGTCCTTTCCATCTTTTTAACTTCCCTCTCTAGCTCCCTTTTTTCTGTGTGCTTTTTAGTTTGCTTTATTTTTAAGCCCCTGTGGGTTCCAGTGCAAAGACATTCCGGTTATATTGTTCTCAGATTTTCTCAACATGTGTCCGATGCGCTTCCGGTATGGCTGTGCTAGTTTCCCTGTTCATCTCAAGGCCAGAAGACCATATTGTATCAGTTTTCATGGCTTAAAACCATTTATCAGTTCAAACACATGATGGCAACGTGTTCCACCATGGAACACGCAGGGAAGTTGATGTGTTTGTTAGTTACTGTGTAATTATTAATTGTTACAAGTTTTTTGCAAAACGTAGACGTCATCCGTCTTAGCACCCTTAGCAACATGGATGAACTATATGCTAATATGGACACCCATGAATGTTTTGTACAGGAATACACAAGGGTCAGAGAGATCCAGGGCTGTAGACATCAATCTCTCGCGCAGTGGAGCACACCAGCTGTTCTGCCTTGAGAGCTTGGTCTAGCCCTATGAGTACTTGTACCAATAGTGTGAAAGCGGCAGACTTAAGTCACAGGTCCCTAGATCAGGAAAACCCTTCTACAGTCAAAACCGTTGTGTGTGACCGAAGAGGAACAAAACATAATGGATCTAATGTAGACAACCTCGATAAAAACAAACCTAAGCTTTTGGTGGACATATGTGCCTATTGGCTGAATGGCTGTGCCATATACAGTCCGAGCATGGAATGTCTGGTTAGCGGGTGGGGCAGCACCATGCGTGTGGACTTCTTTAGGACATCCCCTGTCCCTTCCCTAGCAAGCAGGCAATACTAGGGTGACTATTTACTTCCTGCACTGAAAGAATATGAATATGTGTCTATTCTTTGTCGGTGTTCTAGTAATTTTGAAACATTCACTAAAAACAACATAAAGTTGTTGTTTACAACTAAATTAAATTGTTATCTTGTCCAATGTCAAAAGAAAATCTGCACTCCTTTGAACGGCGACCCTATGGGACACATATATTCTATACTGTTGACGACGATAGCACTACACTACACACACAATACGACATGTCACAGTAAACAAACAATATTACAATAAAACAAACTGAGTCTGCGTACCCAGGGTCGCCGTTCCGGACCGAAAGACAAGAGTAAAGAGTACCAAAAAATCGATGATATAGGCAGACTATATTATTTAACTTTTAGTTAAAGAGTAAAGATTCCTTTTCACGCCTTTGACATCATTATTCACCCAGTACCCAAAAAAAAAATTGGTCTGTAAAAAATGGGTGCTCTTCCCATAATGATCGATGCGCCCAAAGTAGGATTTATCTTCTAAAAGTAGACATGTTAATTGTAAATAAAAAAATAGTAGTATAAAAGCAAACTAATTGAATAAGTCCATTTACCATGGTACTTCATAACTGCTCTGCTTTTTATTGTCGGCTTCTTTAGCATCTGTCGGTGGGTTCTCCTCTGTGTTATCAACCTCCATGGCGTTTTGTTCAGCTCCCGCCATCTTTTGTAGTCGTAGTACTTGTTGTATTTGATTTATCGATACTGACAAAAGTAACAAATATTACCGTCGTTTACTGAATTTGTTAGTTGCCAAACTTACTTTCTACTGTTCTATTATCGATACCGCACGCTCGTAGCTTCAGCAGCTCGGCTTTTTAATGAAAACCAAATTATTATGTTTCTGTCAATGAATGAATGGATCAAGAATTAACATCACTGCACTCGGGGTATTTCCATACGTGCCCCGTCCCCTTCTTCAGCAGCCACCGAAAAGACCACATGCTAAACGTCCGACTTTAGCTATAAATAGAGTCGGGCGTGCGTGCTAATAGTATCAGTTGCAGCGTGGATTTAAAGTCGGTCTTTGTTTCCCCTTTAATGTCGAATATCTTCCAGAATCTCTGCACAAACTCCTCTCACACACCCGCACGCATGCACACACACACACACACACACACACACACACACACCAAATCATTCCTATTCTCTTTTATATTATACTAGCTGTACCCGGCCACGCGTTGCTGTGGCGTAATTTGAGATAGTCTTTGATCTCCACCCCACCCCCACCCCACTACTAAATCCACCTACTACCCTCTCCCTCATCAAAGGTTTTTAGAAAAGAAAGACAATGGAAATCGCACCTGTCTAATGAAGTTAATGAAGCAGTCAATGTCTGCGCCGACGTCGAAATAGTCCTTGATTGCCGCCCCCCCCCCCCCCGCCATCGAAGGTTGTTTGAAATAAAAAACAGAAAAAAGAAAACGTGTTTAATATGGTTATTGTGGCAAATATAGAGATAGTCTTGTTTGCGGTACCTCGACCTACTCTATGTATTAGGTCGTTGGCTGCACGTAACTCGCCGGCGAATGGCGGTAGCCTTGCGTTCTGACTACGGCGGCGCATGCGCAATTACTAACGTGGCTATAATTAGAAATCACTAAAGTTATAAATATTAGTTGCGAATATTTTGGCATAAATTGTGGTCACCTATCTCTAACAGTGACAGGTTGAATTTCAAACCACGATGGTTCAAAATCCGGTATCAAAACAAACATATCCTGAAAATTTCAGCTAAATCGGTTTAGTAGTTTCCGAGTCTATAGGTTAGGATGTATAATTTCACTTGCCGACAGAAGAACGCCATAACCTTACCGGCGGTCTTCCCATGAGAGCACTATGGTGTAACAGCCCAACCACAACTATTACTGCTGCTGCTACTTTAAGTGGGTAAAGCAGTTACTGTGATTTAAAGCTCTCTCAGTAAATAGTTTGCCCCCCCCCCCCCTTCCCCACAAATTCACCGACAATTCTTTCCCTCATTGAAGTAGTTGGGAGAAAAAAAAACAGTTGAAAAGCAAACGAACACAGGAAAAAAACACCATAATTAGGAAATGAACGCCATTGTAAACAGCACAGCTTAAAATTCCAACACAGATGAAATAACTAAATCTAAATGAAAATTAAAGAAAATCTATACAATTTCAGCGTAACCATGCAATCGGAAAGTTTAACAATGCAATCATAAGTATGCGAAATGGTCAAATTTAATTATCAAATGGTTTACCCATTTACTTTTTTTTTTTTTTTTTTTTTTATATTAAGGCAACATGGCTAGTGCTGTCACCACGACAGAGCAGATGAGGATATTATTTTAGTCCGGGGTAAAAAAAAATTTAACGACTGCGGATTCGAACCCAGGTCTACCGCACATGAACCCAGTGTTCTAACCATTAGACCAAGCAGCCACATAATCGGAAACGCGAAAAGAGAACTCAACTATTAGACATGTGTGTCCCTCTACTGTGTGGCGATTAAAACACAATTCAAAACCGCAGGCAATTGTTTTCTCGTAGACAGATACTCCAGATATATTAATGAAATAGAAATCGCACGTGTCTAACACGGTTAATAAAGTTAATGTCGCAGTCACTGTCTGCACCGACGTCGAGATAGTCCTTGATTGCCCCCTTCCCCCCCCCCCCCCCATCGCAAATATTATACAGAGATAATCTTGTTTGCTGTACCACGACCTACTCTATGTATTAATTAGGTGAAACTATGGGGGGTGACTGCAGTCAAGCAAATACAATAAATTCCAGAGAAATTTGACTAAAAAGCTCAACAAAATGGGAAAGAGGAAAACGTGCACAAAACAACACAACGTAACGTTTCGGCCGGGCAGCCTTGTTTGTGTTTGCCTTGTGTTTGAAAAAGGCTGCCCGGCCGAAACGTTACGTTGTGTTGTTTTGTGCACGTTTTCCTCTTTCCTATTTTGTTGAGCTTTTTAGTCAAATTTCTCTGGAATTCTATGTATTAGAGAAGGCGTTGGCTGCACGTAACTCGCCGGCGAATGGTAAATACGGCGCATGCGCAATTACTAACGTGGCTATAATTAGAAATTACTAAAGTTATAAATATTAGTTGCGTATATTATTGCATAAATTGTGGTCACCTATCTCTAACAGTGACAGGTTGAATTTCAAACCACGACAGTTCAAAATCCGGTGTCACAACAAACATATCCTGAAAATTTCAGCTAAATCGGTTCAGTAGTTTCCGAGTCTATAGGGGTGAAACAAACACACAAACATTGATTTTTATATATATAGATTACGTGTCCAAGATAAAAAAAACATTCAAATGTCTTCTAATATATCTCCATTTATTGTGATGTTTATCGTTGGTCGCTTTTTTTCATTGTTAATTTTCATAACTTTTTTTTAGCATACTCTGCCCGTTGATTTGATTCACTAAATACTGTCCCCCGTGTGGGTTCCAGAGCCCCATTGTGAGGAAAACAAGAAAAGAACCACTTAGTTAGTTAGTTAGTTAGTTAGTTAGTTAGTTAGTTAGTTAGTTAGTTAGTTAGTTAGTTAGTTAGTTAGTTAGTTAGTTAGTTAGTTAGTTAGTTAGTTAGTTAGGTCAAGAATTGACATCACAGCACTCGGGGCATTCACATTCCATCCTCATCTTCAGCAATCAGCACAGAGTTCCAAAACTGATGGTATCTGTCACAATCTGGTTATAGGTCCCTCTCGCCTTTCCTTTGAGTGTAGCGAGTCGGCCAAACTCTCTGGTTAGACTCAGGTGCCTTATTCTCTCCAGGCCATAATAATCTTGTTTCTCTACTGATTCCGTTCTTGTTCCCAAAGGGCCTTGACAATATCTGCTCTGTTACGCATCAGTTCACCACCCAGTGGTGCAGATCCAGCCAATCTGTTTGCCTGACCACTGCCTACCTAACAAGAATGTTGTAATAGTAGACAAACTGGGAAATTTTCTTCGAAGTTAGAATGAATCTGCCCAAGGCAAGGAACCAGCAGTCTGCATGCAAATAAGCCAAATCTATCAAATGAATGTTCGTGCAACACTCGGATTCCGGAACAAAACTAAAGTACAGAGTTTGGCGAACAACCATAACTTTCCTCTGCAATTATAGCTGATGAATGTGAGGAAAACGATTATATCCTTTAACTCCTGTTCACTTTCTCCTAGAAACACCGTGTGTCCAGTTTAGCCCATCTCTGATATATCGTTCCATTATGAAGACACTGTTTGAGAAACATTTAGTTGTGTATCCATTAGATGTAATCTTTCTACTTCTTTCTGTGAGTGCCGATCAATACATTGTCTGTCTGTTTATTATACATATCTTTTAGAGGACGTTGCAGACCAACAACAAGTTGTTGGCTGTTTATTGTTCGATTAGGCAATTTGACGTTCAGTCGTTTGACTTTCGAAAGCGTCCTGAATGCGCTTCGTAATGCTGGGGTGCCGCGTTTGATCCCAGCTGCAGACGGTTTGTCTTGTGTTAGTTTCGACAGCGGTACTGAGATCTGACCATTCAGAAAGCAATGGCAAACTACTGAAGTTTTTTTTTTTACTTCACTACTAAAAGGTCAGCTGTCGATACCACTGTCGAAATCAACGCAAAGCAGCCTGTTGTTAAATCGACCATCCTCTTGCTTTAAAAAAAAATATATATATATATATCAATCTTTCCAGTTGTAGCAAAATTCTCGAGTCAAGATGACAGAGAGGTAAAAACTGTGTACACAAGGGAGTTCAATGGTCGGAATACTAAAAAAGAAAAAAGATTCCGGTAATAGAAACATTAGTCTCCCTACGGACCGCCCATATACACACTAGCTCGCTTCTGATTGGTCGACCTTGAGCCACCTGACTTGGCACAGGGTGACGGTGGTGTTCCCCAATGCCGTTGATATTATGACTTCTATATTTCAGCATTCCAGCGCCTTTAACACCTCAAAAACATCGACAAACTGGGTCTAACCCACAACCCCTTTAGAGAGTGATGAAACCTATGTCACAGGCATTCTCTTTCTCAGAATAAAAAAGTTAATGCAAGACATCACAGAAAGCAAACAACAGAGCTGCACACCCATAACGTCCAGCAGGTTAGACCAGTCCAAGAAAGTTATCAATGGAACGTGACCTACTTTCTGTGGGGAGACTAACATTTGTTTGACCAAGATTCCTTCTCATGTTTACAAAAATAAACAAATGAAATAAAACACTCCTGTCTACGTCTAATTTCTCTCTTAATTTACAGTTTCATTTGTCTCGTGCAGGAATGCCTCGTTTGTTTTTATATCATTCCTTGCTATTTTTTGCATTCTCCTCAAAAACCACATTCCGTTGCCAGTAAATGTTTTTCAGCTTGTCGGCTTCTTGTCCATGTCTCACGTGCATACAACAAATCAGGCTGTTTTGTGGCTACACTCTGGAAAGACAAAGAAGCCGCAGTTGTCCAATGGCTAGATGTTGGCATGCTGACCCAAAGGTCTTGGGTTAATGCCTGCAAAGCGTCAAGACATTTCGTCACAAACGACCTTGACTTTACAGGTGATCCAGCCTAAAATGCATAATAGGTAACGTCCTTGAAAGTAAAAGCAGTGATGTTAATCACATCACCAAATTAGTCTACCAAAGTATGGGTGATCACATCACCTAATTAGTCTACCAAAGTATGGGTGATCACATCACCCAATTAGTCTACCAAAGTATGGGTGATCACATCACCCAATGAGTCTATCAAAGTATGGGTGATCACATCACCCAATGAGTCTACCAAAGTATGGGTGATCACATCACCCAATGAGTCTACCAAAATATGCTTATCACATCACCCTAATGAGTCTACCAAAATATGCTTATCACATCCCCCAATGAGTCTACCAAAATATGCTTATCACATCACCCAATGAGTCTACCAAAATATGCTTATCACATCACCCAATGAGTCTACCAAAATATGCTTATCACATCATCCAATGAGTCTACCAAAATATGCTTATCACATCACCCAATGAGTCTACCAAAATATGCTTATCACATCACCCAATGAGTCTACCAAAATATGCTTATCACATCACCCAATTAGTCTACCAAAATGATGATGATCACATCACCCATCGTGCGTCAATTAGTCTACCATAATGAGTCTATGATTATATCCTAAAACGGCCACTGTTAAACGGGTCCTTTACTTATTACAAGAAAATAATAGAAATGCGACCATGCAGCTTCGTAAAGGGGAACCACATTTTTCAACTCTCCACTTCCTATTTTTACCACTTCGGGTATCGTGGGAGATCTAAGGTTCTGCTTCGTGCTCTTCAAGCCGCCTCAACCAGACATCAAATTTGAAATTAAGAATCGACATCACAGCACTCGGAACACCCCCATAAGCACTCCATCCCCATCTTCAGCAGCAAGCAAAGAGTTCCAATTCTGATGGTACCAGTAACTGTCTGATTGTATATCCGCCTCGCCTTTCTCCCGAGTGTCGAGCGTCAGCCAGATCCCCATGTAACTCCTCGCAGAGCCATTATCCTCAGACCGTAATGATCTATCGGAACCGTTCACTCGCTCCATTATAGCCACTGGACACATCATACCGTACCAAATGTTCTCTCTTCACCTACACCACTTAAGATATCGAGGGAGATATAAGGTCCTGCTTCTTGCTCTTCTGACCGTCTTAGCCAGACACATCACACTGTACCAAATCAGTTTCCAGAATTCCCATGGTAACTAAAGTGGTGTGGGATTCTAAGTACCCGCCACATCTCACATGTTTTCTTCTTCTTCGCGTTTACCAGCTGTAAACTCTGGTGGAAAGTTCTGGTTTTTCACCCACTTCTGGACTGTAGTCCTGTTCTACAACCTGAGCGCGCATGTGCATCCGTTTGACAGATCTGGCACATTTGTGTGCAGACTGTTGGTTCCTTGCCTCTCAGGCAGATGCACTCCGACTTCGAAGAAAGCTCCCAATTAGTTTACTCTTACGACATGCTTTTGGGTAGACGGTGGGTCTATTCTTGTTTTCCCTATAATAGGGCCCCAGACACATGTTATGACCTAGAGGCTATCCTCAGAATAAAGGGTACATATTATGGCAGCCAAAAACAGGGCCTCAGTCACATGTAAAGTGCGAACTTCTGGCGACTACCACCACCACCGAGAGTATCTCTTACGCCGCTGCGTGGATTGGGGCTAAACTAGATGGCCGGGACTCACGAGCAAAGCTGCTGCTCTTGAGTCCCAGCCATCTAGTTTAGCCCCAATTTACGCCGCGCGTAGTGACACGGGGGATACTCTCGGCGGCGGTAGTCCGCAAATTAGATCACCGGAAGTCCGCATTGACATGCGACTGAGGCCCTGTTAGGGTGTTTTTGCTGCCGCCAAAATATGTGCCTGTAATTCGGAGGATAGCCAACCCAGAATAAGCTAAGGTCTAAAACTTTAGATCCAAATGACATTAATAGCTATGAGACTGACTACCTTTACCCGGTGCTCTTAGTGTAGTTAGTGTCTCACATATGAATCAAGTTCCGTATCCACTATGAAAGTTGGCTGTCTATCTTGGCTGTACTCTCACTCAAGACTGCTGTTTGTCCGTCTCTTGATGTTGTCCTCCAATTTGTATCGTTGTCTACCTCTTGCACACAACCTTTTCCACCAGTAAGGTTTTCAAAAGAGAGTTATGTCTTTTAATGTGGCCAGAATATTTAAATTCTATCTTTTTTTCTTTCAGTGTGCTTTATATACAGTCTGGACATACTATTTATGGTTTAGATTTCTGCACCATACAACGATATAAGATGTCCTTATAGAACCACATGGGAATAAGAGCATCCAGAGATTGACGTATGAAGCCAAGAGGTTTATAAGATGTCCCTTTAGAACCACCAGGGAATCAGAGCTCAACTCTGGAGGTAGAAGAGCTCAACCCTGGAGGTAGAAGAAGAGCTCAACTCTAGAGGTAGAAGAAAAGCTCAACTCTGGAGGTAGAAGAAGAGCTCAACTTTGGAGGTAGAAGAAGAGCTTAACTCTGGAGGTAGAAATCAACTCTGGAGGTAGAAGTAGAGCTCAACTCTGGAGAAGCAGAGCTCAACTCTGGAGGTAGAAGGAGCTCAACTCTGGAGGTAGAAGAAGGAGCTCAACTCTGGAGGTAGAAGAAGAGCTCAACTTTGGAGGTAGAAGAAGAGCTTAACTCTGGAGGTAGAAATCAACTCTGGAGGTAGAAGTAGAGCTCAACTCTGGAGAAGCAGAGCTCAACTCTGGAGGTAGAAGAAGGAGCTCAACTCTGGAGGTAGAAGAAGGAGCTCAACTCTGGAGGTAGAAGAAGAGTTCAACTCTGGAGGTAGAAGAAGAGCTCAACTCTGGAGGTAGAAGAAGAGCTCAACTCTGGAGGTAGAAAAAGAGCTCAAGTCTGGAGGTAAAAGAGCTCAACTCTGGAGGTAAAAGAGCTCAACTCTGGAGGCAGAAGAGCTCAACTCTGGAGGTAGAAGAAGGAGCTCAACCCTGGAGGTAGAAGAAGAGTTAAACTCTGGAGGTAGAAGAAGAGCTCAACTCTGGAGGTAGAAGAAGAGCTCAACTCTGGAGGTAGAAGAAGAGCTCAACTCTGGAGGCAGAAGAAGAGATCAACCCTGGAGGCAGAAGAAGAGCTCAACTCTGGAGGGAGTAAAAAAACTCAACTCTGGAGGCAGAAGAATAGCTCCACTCTGGAGGGAGTAGAAGAGATCAATATTAAAGGGCATCAGAAAGAAAGAAAAGGGAAATAATATACTTCTACAACAACAACAACAAAAGAAATCCAAGAAAATGTTTCCCCATATTTAATTCTTTAATGCCAACAGAAAAACAAAACATCACCACTGAAGCACACAAATGTATGTATCTTCATCAGGCTTTGGATGTTTCATCCACTCAACTTTGACAAGAGAGCTACATTTTCTAATATATGCTACACTATTAAGTTAACACAAGGTTAAGTTAAACTTCTGTAAAAGCTGAAAGCTTTGTCATTTACTCAACGAATAAAAAAACATTACCCACATGTCTCAGACTGAATTTACTGTTAGAATGTAATAAAACTTCTTTCCTGAGTATTTATTATTTACTTCTTTCAGAATTTAAAGTAATAGGTTCAAATCCTCAGAGTGCACATCAGTCATCTAATGTGCATTCTATGAACAACTGAGATACAAAGAAGAAACATAGCAGCCGTGGCTCTTTTTGTGACACAGCAAACTGACAGAGAATGTGGTGACAGAGGCTCAAAGGTCTAGGGCGAGAAGCTGGCTCATTCCAGACCTAGGTGTTAAGTCAGAATGATGGTGAGGTGTCGAGCTTACGAGGCTTGCCTTCCAGATGGCAAGGGAGCTTATCATTGAGCATACATGCGAACCCAATTTTGTGACAAGTATCACAAGAGATATCCAATGTTTTATATCTGCAATGAAATCAATAACATATAGCAGGAAAAGACACCCAAGGGTCATGATTTGTGTGGGCCTACCTTAACAGTTTGTTAAAAGAATAGGCAAAAATATCCAATGATGGGGTAATTCTGATCTGAAGCCTTCTGCTGTTCTCATTTCCGACCGAGTCCTCACTACAAATACATACTACTACTGATTTATTCAGTAATAATAACAATCTAAAAAATTTAAGTTTTCAAACAGAAAATGTAACGAATAACTGGGTTTCACAGTAATATCTTAACAGATAACAATGTAACAGGATCACAGTCTACCATTAACATTAAACAGAACACAAGAAAGAGCTTAAGTATAAATATTCCATGGCCATCATAAGCCACATCTATCAAACAGGGAAGCATCCAGAACTCGACTGATTCATGATTTTCACTCACAGTGACAATCTCCCTCCTCCCTAGTTCCTTTTTCAAGGCAAGTGAGGATATCTAGTTTTGCCACTCTAAAGCCAGCGTGTTCTGACTTGCGCATGTGTTAGTGAAAGGTTTACAACCCATCTTAACAATTCTGCCAGAGCACTGTTCTTGTGGCCTACTATTTTTTTTGTTATAAGTTTTTATTAAATTTGCTGTGGTGTTTTTTCGGGGCAGGACATCACGAACAATTTTTTTTAATTTTAATTTTTTTAAATTTATAAATGAAGTGACATTTTCAACAAGTGCTACTTGAGAAATATGAGAAAAGACCAACTACAAAATATACTGGACTGAAGGATTTTAAACATCATCAAGTGCTGCAAGTAAAATGAAATGTTTTTTAAAATCTGTTATTCCTTTAGACAACAGATAAGTACAATAAACCTAATGGACAAACAAAAGTAAAAAGAAATATTTTAAAAATAAAGAAAGAAGAAATAAAACAAACATGGTTACTATCCTTCCTTCACACACACACACAGGCAACTACGGATTTAAACAACTTCGATAAACAGGTGCATATCTGCTAAAGGGTTGTCTACTGCTTAAACTGGGTTGCAACAAAATCCTCTCCCTTCTTGATGTTAGCGATGAGCTCTGGAAGAGCTGCGGTCACCAGGCCACGTTCATAGTCGGACAGCTTTCCGATGCCAAGGTTCTTCTCGACACCATTTTTCTGTACATAAGGAAAGCGAAGAACATGTTGCAAACAGAAGCCGTGCCATTCTTAACAGCTTTTCAAAAATGTTGGGGAAGGGGGAGGGGAACACAACTCATGTTACATATGCATAACTCAGGATGTGGACAAATAGTTTTTTGAATGTATGTATATTACTTATTTCAGTGCTCTACTCACTGTTCAGTGCTCTACTCACTGTATGTATGTATGTATGTGTGTGTGTGTATGTATGTGAGTTTGTATGTATGTATGTATGTATGTATGTATGTATGTATGTATGTATGTATGTATGTATGTATGTATGTATGTGTGTGCATGTTCGTATGTATGTGTGTACTTAGTGCCTATATGTTTGTGTGTAAGTGAGTCATTGGGCTTGTGTGTGTATGTGGGTGTGTGTGTTCGCACGTGAGCGTGCGTACATATTTTACCAGCCATGCTTTTGTTTTTGACTTTATATATATAATATGCATATTATTACATGAATATAACATGCTTCATTGATGAAATACAACTGCTGTGTGAAAGATGGAAGTTTGGAAGGGCCGAATGTAAGACAGGCCTGCGTGCCTAATTTGTAACCCTTTGAAAATAAAGTTCGTTCGTTCACTTGAAATGTCACAAAGGTTAAGAAAGAACAATAATGGAGGGGTATATGCCTTTGAAGAGAGGAAGAGGAAGGCCAAAGAGAAAATGGGTGTAGGATGTGGCAGATGATCTCCAGATGGGTGTATCGGATGCGGGACATCTTGTTTGTGATCAAGAAGTTTTCCAAGAGTGTTGTTATAGGAGCAAAGGACATGCTACTGACTGACTGACTCATTGTTCACAATATATCAAATACTGATAAGATCAGTTGTTCTATATGGCCACAAAACAAAGAGCACAACTTATAATGCACTTGAGATTAATCTTTCGACCAATCAAAGATGTCAACTGCAGAGAACGGAGAGTGAGAAGCCAACCGTGCAATTCAAATTTGTTTAAATCTCTATTATTTACTGAGGACTTCATAAGGGCCAAAACACAAAAAGAAAATGCAAACGCAAAAGGAGTAGAATTGAGCAGACCAAGAAGACAGTGGCAGTAACATACAGATCGGCCTAAACACTCTTGGAGTCACCATCTTGAAAAAAGAAAACCAATGAAAGAGATGAATGGTGGTTTTTCTCCAATGAAAGAGATAAATGGTGGTTTTTCTTCAGAGTCGGAGCATCTCCCTGAGAGGCAAGGAACCAACAGTTTGCATACAAATAAGCCAGATCTGTAAAACGAATGTGCACATAAAACTAAAGTTCTGGAACAGGACTATAAAGTCCAAAAGTGGACGAACAACCAGAACTTTCCATCTGAGTTAACAGGCCCCAATCATGCAGAAGAATAATGGCGGTGAGTGATATCCGCAGCAATGAACTTCAAGGGCTTAAAATGCTAAAGAAGAATAAAACTCATGTTGGTGTTTCTCAATTTTCATGCTCTTCAGTGTTACTACTACCCTTGATATGGCAAATTATGATTCATTATATGCTGATGTGTTCAGGAATTCCCTCACCATGTGATTAATTCTTAACTTCTTCTTCTTCTATTGTCCTACATCAGCTGTTCTTAACCTGTGGGTCGCGACTCTTTCACAGGGGTTACCTAAGACCATAGGAAAACACAGTGGAAACACATATTCACCGAAGTTATGAAGTGGCATCAGAAAAAGATTTGTGGTTGGGGGGTCAGCACACTGTATTAAAGGGTCATGGCATTAGGAAAGTTGAGAACCACTGTACTTCATACTCTGGGAAGTGTTGCACGGCAAAGAGGTCATTTGTAGTTTCTGGTCTTTTGCTGTTTACGCAGGCTGTGATAACGTGACATTTAGTTCTCAAGAAGATCTCTAAAAACAAGAAACGGCTTACCCCAAGCAAGATAGGCGTAGCAAAGTACTTGGCCTCTGTCTCATTGGAGCGGACGTATGCACACTGCACTTTACCCTCGGTTCCATTCAATGCCTCCAGCAATGAATTGGCAAATTCTGCAGCTGCGAAAGCCATTGATAATGTTGCTGAGCCCTGCCAAAAAAGGAGAAAAAAAGAAGAAGTTAGTCAAAAAATCATCCCCACGGCTTATCAAAAATTATGCAGTCCATAAAAGCTCACATCTTAGAATGTGTCAACTGATAAACTGATGACACTAGCGTTTCAAAAAAAATTTTTTTTTTATTGTAAGCAAAACAGGATAACCACAAATAGATGGAATTCAGGTCAATTTTGTTTAACCCTTTTGTCCTGAAAAGCCTCTAAATCGACTCTGCTATACTGTGGCCCCCCCCCCCCCCCCCACAAAACCTAGTTAATGGCACTGGTTCTGTTTGCACCTGTGCAGTACCTAGAAGGACTAGAGATGATTATATTTACTAAACATTGCGGGGAATATATGTGTGTGTCTGCGGTTGTGGGAAAAAAGGCTTAAATAATGTCAATATAGCAATGAGGTCATGGTATGGGGCACCATATACATTTTTGAAGGCCCAGGGGAATGCATTCTGTTAAATTCTCAACCGTTCTCATTTATCAATAACTTCCCTTATAAAATAATGTGTAAATGTAAAAAAAATTTAATCTGCAACACTGTGAAACAGCTGCATACAATGAATTTTTGTGTGCTTAGGTTTTGGTATACAATGGAGAATTTAATCCACACAAAATACAAAAATAAATAAAAATAAAGAATAAACATGTTACTTACAGCTCCAGCTTTCGCCTCCACAACTTCTGTGCCTGCATTCTGTATCCTGACAGTCAACTTCTCTCTTTCAGGCTGGGAACAACAATGGGAGAGAAATCATACTTGTGGTAATGTTGACATTTACAATCAGCACATTTCACTGTCAGATACTGATACAGCAGGCACTAATTCTATTAGCTCTCATATAAAATAGGACAACTCAATGGTTTTCTAAACGTCACTGTTCACCGGCTATGAATACTGATGGAAATTCCTGGTGTCTCCTAGGTCAAGTGCCCACCTTTGTACTGGTCAGCCCCTGCCCCTCTTTCCCAACACCATGGCCTCTAAGCATCTTGGAACAGTCACATGGCAATCCCACCGTATCCAGCCTTTTAGACAGTCACAACAAGTGAGGGACAATGTCTGTGGTAGCAGCAGAGGACATTTCACATAGTTTCTGATTATTTAATGAAAACATACAAACTGGATGTTGTGAGTGCTTTTTGGGAGCCATTCAGTGCGGAGGCACAGATAGATCATTACGAGCTGGAGAGAATGGCGCTGTGAGGAATGTCCTAGTAAATCTGGCCGACGCTAAACAGTCACGGAAAAAGTGAGATGGATATACAATCAGACAGTTACTGGTGCCATCAGAATTGGAAACTCTTCGTATGCTGGAGACGGAGCACTTATGTGGGTATCCTGAGCGCTGTGATGTCGATTCTTAACTCAACATTTTAATGAAAATATATGTTTCGTGTGAAAACTTACGGAACTGAAGACTAAATACACTTGTACTATAAAACCACTCACCTGTGGAAAGGTCACTGAGGGTGTGCACTGAGAAATGACAGGTATGATGGTGATGCCACTGTGGCCACCGATGACTGGGCACTCCACCTTGGTGACATCAAGGCCCTGTCAATACATGGTTTTAGCGTTTAGTTAAAACAAAATAACAATGAAACATTACACTAAAAACACAAAAACAAATACAAGGTCACAGAGGCTAGCATTCAAAGAAGAAAAATATGTTCATAATGAAGCAACCAAGTTGGTTCTAAGTCTTCTTTAGTATGCTGTATTTTGGCATTTATTGGTTGTCCTATGGTTTTACAGAAAATTTAATTTCACCGTAGTCAAGTGGCAACCAATTTCTGGTCTAATATGAAGGAATGCAGATGAAGCCTTGTAGTGTGACCATGGTTTGCTGATAGGAGTTCCCCATTTCTGTGGCAGGAGTCCAAATGTTCCTTACCCATTTTTGTGGTAGGAGTCCAAATGTTCCAACGCCCAACTAGTGAGCTGAGTGTTTGGTGTGACAATGAGCTGAGGTTTTCATGTGGAATGTTTTCTTCTGCTGTGCCTTTGACAGTTTTGTGTTGTGAACTGCACTGACACTGGTCGATAATAGCTGATTCTATTCAGACTGGGGTGTGCCTTATACAGCATTGCATGGCACTGCCAGCATGTTGTGACTGACTACCTCCATCAACACATCTGATTTCAGTAAAAAATCATATTTATTCACCTTTCACAATCTGACTTGTTAGCAGCCACCTGCTGGTTCCATGCCTCTCAGGCAGAACACATGCCTATCGGAGACGGGAGGATTTTACCCCCCACAATGGTGCCCCTAAAACACAGGGAGGACCAGATTTCATACATGATATAAAAAGAATTGCACAGGATAGTTTGGAGTGGAGAAATAAAATGTGAGTTGTCTCTTTGCTGGAGAGCAGCGCCATGTTAGACAGAAGTATAGCAGCAGCAGCTCAATAAACATATATAAAAACAAAGATGGTGAACTAGAACCCCCATTGACATGGTCCAGATCCCATGTCCACATTTCGGGAGAAAATTCCCTCTTAATATTGGCATTACTCCACATTAGAAAGAGACACTCTAAATTTGTTGGTCATGTCATAAGGAGACAAATGGAGTGAGGTATACACAGCACAAGAGGATGGCGATAATATCTAGCCAATGAAAGAGAATTCTCACCTTGGCCTCAGCGATGAATGTGTTTGACCTGACCACATCCAGAGTCGTCACGCCAAAGACCCGCCTTTCATCATAGACCCCTCGTTTCTTCAACACTTCAGCGGCAATGGGGACTGTAGAGTTTACCTGAAACATCCAAGCGTTAGCTCACTATCAATACAGACAGTAAATACAGAGCAAAGCATTAGTGCACTATGAGACATGGTTAAATAGAGAGAGTTAATACAGAGCCAAGCATTAGTGCAATATTAGACATGTTTAAATAGAGAGAGTTAATACAGAGCCAAGCATTAGTGCAATATTAGACATGGTTAAATAGAGAGAGTTAATACAGAGCCAAGCACTAGTGCAATATTAGACATGGTTAAATAGAGAGAGTTAATACAGAGCCAAGCACTAGTGTAATATTAGACATGGTTAAATAGAGAGAATTAATACAGAGCAAAGCATTAGTGCACTATGAGACATGGTTAAATAGAGAGAGTTAATACAGAGCCAAGCATTAGTGCAATATTAGACATGGTTAAATAGAGAGAGTTAATACAGAGCCAAGCATTAGTGCAATATTAGACATGGTTAAATAGAGAGAGTTAATACAGAGCCAAGCACTAGTGCAATATTAGACATGGTTAAATAGAGAGAGTTATTACAGAGCCAAGCATTAGTGCAATATTAGACATGGTTAAATAGAGTGAGTTAATACAGAGCCAAGCATTAGTGCACTATTAGTCATGGTTAAATAGAGAGAGCGTTAATACAGAGCCAAGCATTAGTGCAATATTAGACATGGTTAAATAGAGAGAGTTAATACAGAGCCAAGCATTAGTGCAATATTAGACATGGTTAAATAGAGAGAGTTAATACAGAGCCAAGCATTAGTGCAATATTAGACATGGTAAAATAGAGAGAGTTAATACAGAGCCAAGCATTATTGCAATATTAGACATGGTTAAATAGAGAGAGTTAATACAGAGCCAAGCACTAGTGCAATATTAGACATGGTTAAATAGAGAGAGTTATTACAGAGCCAAGCATTAGTGCAATATTAGACATGGTTAAATAGAGTGAGTTAATACAGAGCGAAGCATTAGTGCACTATTAGTCATGGTTAAATAGAGAGAGCGTTAATACAGAGCCAAGCATTAGTGCAATATTAGACATGGTTAAATAGAGAGAGTTATTACAGAGCCAAGCATTAGTGCACTATTAGTCATGGTTAAATAGAGAGAGCGTTAATACAGAGCCAAGCATTAGTGCACTATTAGACATGATTTAATAGAGAGAGAGTTAATACAGAGCCAAGCATTAGTGCACTATTAGACATGATTTAATAGAGAGAGAGAGTTAATACAGAGCCAAGCATCAGTGCAATATTAGACATGGTTCAATAGACAGTAAATATGGAGCTTTGGTGGCCTGTTATACATTATTTGATACACTGTAAATACGGAGCCAAGCACTGGTACACTGTGAGACATGATTTGATACAGACTGTAAATATGGAGCCAAGCATTGGATCACTGTAAGACTTTGATATAGGCAGTAGTTATGGAGCCAAGCACTGGTGAACCATTGGAAACAAAGCAACATGGACAGAACCTGAAGAGACCAGCACTGCTGCACTGTTAGACAAGTCAATACACAGCCAAGCCTGGTGCCTTTTTTTAACATAAATCTTCTTCTTGACATTCACTGGTCGTAAATAACTCTATAGTTGTTTGTTTACTTCTGTACTTCAGTCTTGTTCCAGAACATGAGTTTTGCATGCACACCCGTCAAACCAATCTGGCTTATTTGTATGCAGTCAACTGGTTCTATGTCTCTCAGACAGATGCAGTGGGGGACTTTTAAGATAGTGATTACACATCGCTCACTAGAATGAAAGACTCTGGAGTTCAGATCGGCATAGCCAAAAGCGAGAAACACACCAGGCATACAAAAAGACTTAACAAACAACTGGCACTATCAGTCACCGGATGCTGGGGTTCATATTGAGGGAAGAATCTGAGCACCTATGGACATGTCCGGAGTGCAATGATCATATCCCAGCTAACTAAAGTCCTAAACCACTCTGTGTAGCATACAGCTTTGTCTTTACAGAGGCTGGAGTAGGCCAAACCACTTATCTGGTAGCATAATGGTGTTGGACTACATTCCAACATTTTTCTACACCATAAAAAAATGAAATTAAAACCAAAGCAATACAAAAAACTGGAGGTAAATGCAAAAACATGAACTGACTAAACAAATAAAAATGTCAGGCAGAAAAATCACTTACTGGGTTGGTTATGATACCAATGATGGCTTTTGGGCTGTTTTTGGCAATGGCATCAACCAAATTGGCAACAATGCTGGCATTTGTGTTGAACAAGTCATCTCTGGTCATGCCTGCACAAAGACTTTGGTTGGTTAATTGGAAGAACAAAACATACATAGGCACACATACATCATTAACAGTTCCTCTCATCACCGTCTGCCTGAAAGAAAGTCCAGTCTCTTGCCAGCTTGCCTTCACGAAGATATCCAAGGAGTGACTTATATTCTAGGCCCCTCTTTGTGCTGGTCAGCCCCCCCTTTCCTTCCTGGTCCCATGCCTTCTGCTATAATTTTTTTTTTTTTACAATCCTCAGTGGCGCTTGATATACATATTGAACTTATTATTTTAGATTAGATCTTTGCAGAATGTTGTTTGCAGCAAGACCAGACAGGAGGACTTCCTGTCTCTTTACAATTCCCAAGTCTCGTAATGTCATGCTCTTCATCATCTGCTTTCACTCTTGAAAGGGTGGCTGGCATGTTTTGCTGTGATTTACTGCTAGGCTTTCAGTCCCATACATCTGATTTCAGCATTCCACTTTTTAGCACACATTTGTTAGAGGCAATCGGTACATTTTCTTACCCTCAATGCAGCACTGGGGTGGGGGTGTACTATTGGGTCGAGGAGAAAAGGAAGAAATGGGGAAGAGAATGAAAAAGAATGCCAGTGTAACCAGGAGGCAACGAAAAAGCTGCTGTCAAAAACAAAACAGAACTGAGAACAACCACGCAGAAACTGGTTGGGGGCCAAAAAAAAGAAGACATGCCAGTTAACTCCTGTAGCAGGTAGGTAGGTAGGTAGGTAGGTAGGTAGGTAGGAGAGAATGGAGAGACTGAGAAACTGCTGCACAAAACATGAAGGGGTCAGACTGTAGTGCTACGATGTCAACATGGATAACCAGTTACCCCAAAATGGGCTCTTAGAACCCACTACGATGTCAACATGGATAACCAGTTACACCAAAATGGGCTCTTAGAACCCACTACGCTGTCAACATGGATAACCAGTTACCCCAAAATGGGCTCTTAGAACCCACTACGCTGTCAACATGGATAACCAGTTACCCCAAAATGGGCTCTTAGAACCCCCAGATGGCCATATGTACCATATCGACCTTTGTGCTGGTGAAGCCATTAAATTTCATCCAAGAGACAAATCTTCAGATACTGTTCTGTCGAAACCACCACAATTAAATTGGGCACAGTGTTTCAGTTTTTTAAGCATTATTTCTAAGAGCCTATTTTCTTTTATGTTCAGATCATTTATTATGTGTCTTTTCATTCTTGACCCAGAGATCTGAAACTTTTTCTACAAATTAAGTTCCAATATCCTTTTGTGGAATCTCTGAGGCAAAGGATTTTGCTGCTGCTTTGTTGCCTGTTTATAAACTGGTTGAGACTCACAGCCACATGTTATGAAGACTCACAGCCATATGTTATGAAGACTCACAGCCATATGTTACGAAGACTCACAGCCACATGTTGTGAAGACTCACAGCCATATGTTACGAAGACACAGCCATATGTTACGAAGACAGCCATTTGTTACGAAGACTCACAGCCATATGTTACGAAGACACAGCCATATGTTACGAAGACAGCCATTTGTTACGAAGACTCACAGCCACATGTTATGAAGACTCACAGCCATATGTTATGAAGACTCACAGCCATATGTTATGAAGACAGCCATTTGTTACGAAGACTCACAGCCACATGTTATGAAGACTCACAGCCATATGTTATGAAGACTCACAGCCATATGTTATGAAGACTCACAGCCATATGTTATGAAGACTCACAGCCATATGTTATGAAGACTCACAGCCATATGTTATGAAGACTCACAGCCATATGTTATGAAGACTCACAGCCATATGTTATGAAGACAGCCATTTGTTACGAAGACTCACAGCCATATGTTATGAAGACTCACAGCCATATGTTATGAAGACTCACAGCCATATGTTATGAAGACTCACAGCCATAAGTTACGAAGATTCACAGCCACATGTTACGAAGACTCACAGCCATATGTTATGAAGACAGCCATTTGTTACGAAGACTCACAGCCATTTGTTACGAAGACACAGCCATATGTTACGAAGACAGCCATTTGTTACGAAGACTCACAGCCATTTGTTACGAAGACTCACAGCCATATGTTACGAAGACACAGCCATATGTTACGAAGACAGCCATTTGTTACGAAGACTCACAGCCACATGTTATGAAGACTCACAGCCATATGTTATGAAGACTCACAGCCATATGTTATGAAGACTCACAGCCATATGTTATGAAGACTCACAGCCACATGTTATGAAGACTCACAGCCATATGTTATGAAGACTCACAGCCATATGTTATGAAGACTCACAGCCATATGTTATGAAGACTCACAGCCATATGTTATGAAGACTCACAGCCACAAGTTATGAAGACTCACAGCCACAAGTTACGAAGACTCACAGCCACATGTTATGAAGACTCACAGCCATATGTTATGAAGACTCACAGCCATATGTTACGAAGACTCACAGCCACAAGTTATGAAGACTCACAGCCACATGTTATGAAGACTCACAGCCACAAGTTATGAAGACTCACAGCCACATGTTATGAAGACTCACAGCCATATGTTATGAAGACTCACAGCCACAAGTTACGAAGACTCACAGCCATATGTTATGAAGACTCACAGCCACATGTTACGAAGACACAGCCATATGTTATGAAGACTCACAGCCATATGTTATGAAGACTCACAGCCATATGTTATGAAGACTCACAGCCATATGTTATGAAGACTCACAGCCACAAGTTATGAAGACTCACAGCCACAAGTTACGAAGACTCACAGCCACAAGTTATGAAGACTCACAGCCATATGTTACGAAGACTCACAGCCATATGTTATGAAGACTCACAGCCATATGTTACGAAGACTCACAGCCATATGTTATGAAGACTCACAGCCACAAGTTATGAAGACTCACAGCCATATGTTATGAAGACTCACAGCCATATGTTATGAAGACTCACAGCCATATGTTATGAAGACTCACAGCCACAAGTTATGAAGACTCACAGCCACAAGTTATGAAGACTCACAGCCACAAGTTATGAAGACTCACAGCCACAAGTTATGAAGACTCACAGCCACAAGTTATGAAGACTCACAGCCATATGTTACGAAGACTCACAGCCACAAGTTATGAAGACTCACAGCCACAAGTTATGAAGACTCACAGCCATATGTTATGAAGACTCACAGCCACAAGTTATGAAGACTCACAGCCACAAGTTACGAAGACTCACAGCCACAAGTTATGAAGACTCACAGCCATATGTTACGAAGACTCACAGCCATATGTTACGAAGACTCACAGCCACAAGTTACGAAGACTCACAGCCACAAGTTATGAAGACTCACAGCCATATGTTACGAAGACTCACAGCCATATGTTACGAAGACTCACAGCCACAAGTTACGAAGACTCACAGCCATATGTTATGAAGACTCACAGCCACAAGTTATGAAGACTCACAGCCACAAGTTATGAAGACTCACAGCCACAAGTTATGAAGACTCACAGCCACAAGTTACGAAGACTCACAGCCACAAGTTATGAAGACTCACAGCCATATGTTACGAAGACTCACAGCCATATGTTATGAAGACTCACAGCCACAAGTTATGAAGACTCACAGCCACAAGTTACGAAGACTCACAGCCACAAGTTACGAAGACTCACAGCCACAAGTTATGAAGACTCACAGCCACAAGTTACGAAGACTCACAGCCACAAGTTATGTTACGTTAAATGCAGTTAATACATAAATACAATGTATACTTAACAAAATGCAGGACTCAGAACTCATTCAATGAGAAATCAGGAGTAAACTCATTTTGTCAGAATGAATTTCCATCAATCTATAGCAGTGGTTTTTACCTTCCTAATGCCGTGACCCTTTAATACAGTTCCCTCGTGTTGTGGCGGCCCCCAAACATTTTCCTTCATAACTTCAATGAATATGAGTTTTCCGATGGTCTTAGGCAACCCCTAAGAAAGGGTCGTTTGATCAAAAAACTTCCCTCTCTGGCAGATGCACGACTCTGAGGGGGACTCCCCAGTTGGTCAACTTTTACGACATGCTTGATTGGGAGGCAGTGGGTCTACCACACCCCCCCCCCCCCCCCCCCCCCCCCCCCACGATCAGACCTGGAATCCACACGAGAAGAAGCAACAAATATACCTGGACAAAGCAACAGAAATGAAATGTTTACATACTATGCTAGGTGTAACGAGAAAAGATCGACTCAGGAACGATGATATCAGGAGAAGAATAGGCGATGTATTAAGATTAGCAGCAGACAGGGCACCACAGAGAGCAAATGTTATAAAGACACAAGAGTAATGTACCCAGAGGTCGACCACGCAGAAGATGAGCTGCAGAAATATCAGAGACACTGAAAAGTATTACATACGAAGCGAACAGAAGGGTCTGTTATAGAGATCTCTTCCTTCCCTGACACCGCAAGGCATTCCAGGAGTAGAAAAAAAAGAAAGTTTCAACCAGAAAATTATAATTTAAAAAAAAAGGTACCTGGCTTCCTAGGAACTCCAGCAGGGATCAGCACCAGTTCAGCATTCTTCAAACAATCTGCCAGCTGCTCGGCACCCAAATGTCCGGTGACCTTGGCACGGGTGTCTATGTGACTAACATCAGCAGCAACACCTGGAGTGTGGGCTATATCATACAGAGCCAGGTGTGTTACCAGAGGTGACTGCTTCAGCAAGAGGGCAAGAGGCTGTCCAATACCACCAGCTGCACCCAGGAGAGCAACTTTGGCATTATTCTGTACAGACAGTAATGAACCAAGAATATAGCAAATGAATTTCAAACGATGGTGGATGGCTTTAGACAGTGGCATGGAGGAATACCATCAGTGGAACTGATCCAGAACACCAAAGATCACGATCTGTGGAGATGTATGAACGCCTACGCAAGCTGGCAAGGCAGCTGATGATTTCTCCCCTCCCCATTTTTCTACCAGTCATAGAAAGCATTAGATGAGATATGTTTGGCGACTGATAACAATGCCCTGCTACTAAATACCATAAATATAATGAACAGAGAGCAAGGCCAAACTGTGAAGCCTGCCAGAAATGAGAAAATAGTATTATATTTTTGTCACATTATTGAATGACTGGAATGCATTACCAGAAACATGAAGAAAAGAGAAAAATAATAGCAGAATAATAGGTGGTTATCCTCCGAACTTCGGGAACAAAAGATGGCGGCCGAAAATTTCCTTTCGAGCCCCAGTAACGTAACTTAATTTGCGGTTTTCCCACGACTACCGCCACGAGTTCCCCAAGCCGTGTGGGGGACTCGTGGCGGTGGTCACTGGAAAACCGCAAATTAAGTGACGTGACTGAGACTCGGAGCGAAATTTACGGCCACCATATTTTGTGCCCCAAGTTCGGAGGATAGCCTAATAGGCTATCTTCCGATTGAAAGTCCCAAATTATTGAGCAGAAAATATACCCTAACAGGGCCTCAGTCACGTGTCAATTGCGCACTTCTGGCGACTTTCGTCACCGCCGAGAGTATCCTCCACGCCGCATGGATTGGTGCTAAACTAGATGGCTGGGGCTCACGAGCAGCAGCTACCGCATTTCCTGCAGATGCCTTTATTTTCTTTGCTCATGAGTCCCAGCCATCTAGTTTAGCCCTAATCCACGCAGCGTGAGCAGCGTGGGGATACTCTCGGCGATATAGTTCCCGGGAAAAATCGCAATTCGTCGGTGGCGATATAGTCGCCTGAAGTGCGCAATTGACATGTGACTGAGGCAGTGTTAGGGTATATTTTCTGCCTCGATAACTTGCGACCATTATTCAGAAGATAGCCAAATAATATAACAACTTATCTGAAATTTGCTGCTGAAATGATGAACGAGACAGTCAAGGTTCATCAATGATTGGCTTAATAAATCATGCTTTTTTTGCAATATCACAACCCCTGTCTGGTCCAGATTTCATGTTACTTTGTAACTTACCCTGCAGCAGTTGAATGGTGCTTAGATATTTGTGTGTGTAGGATTCTCATATTTGAGGTGTTAATCCTGAGGCATGCAATCTTGGAGGGGATAAACTACAAACAATTCCAGCATCGCTTCATGAGCTGGACTTTTTTCCTGTGCTATGACACAAGGCTGTCAAGAATCTTTTATCTTTTAAATTTTTGGTTTTTTTTTCGCTCAGGATGTGGAAAAAAAAATGACTTCATATCGTCTGCTGTAAGTTTTCTTTGCATCTTGGCCTATTTCAACACAATTATATTTGAAAATGTCACCTGCTGAGCAGCTCGTCATCAAGGTATGTACAATGCTATATATATATTATTTAGTACTTTGTTAGCCATTTTCATTTTAAAATTAAAAGTATTATTTGGATAATCATCTCCTATATAAAGCCTCTATACAGTTATACTGAGTACAGAGGACAATATTCAGTATGGCTAACCATACTTTATAAATCAACCTTTTGTTTTCAATACATACGTAGTAATTGACCTCTGTTAAATTTAATAATAAACTTCACTTGGATAAAAGATAAAAATTAAAAAGCTGTTCTTACTTACTCCAATTAATTAATGTTTCGGTGAAATGTCGCAAATTTCAATTTAAAAAAAAACGAGCTAGGCAACAAAATGCAGTTTTGTTTTTGGTTCAATAACTGTAACTTATACCTTTGCTTTAGATCTAAAAAAGTTACGACACATTAATTTAAAAAGATTCATGACTGAAAACTCAATGTCAGTTCGAGTTCATGCAAATCAAATCTTTCAAACATTTAGACAGTATCTATCTTTTACAATTCTGCAAGTATGACGAGTTGCTGTTTCTTAATGTCTATTGAATTACCTGTCCTGAGGTAGAGAAATGTTTCCCTACGACAGCTCCGAGCTGCGATGTCTGGACAAATCTTGAAAACATTTTCTGCTAGAGCCGGTTTTTCTGTGACTGACAGTGACCTCGACGAGGGGCTTGACGGAAGTGCCTTTAGGCCGGAAGTCACGGCATCGGCAGAGACGTGCGCAGTCTTTGAGTACATAATACTCCGCTCTTAGCAACCACCACGGCCGGTTTCAGATTTTCTAGAGAAGGCGGTGCCAACCATAACATCATCATCATCATTAAGTGCCTTGCCAACTGCTGTCACCGATCATGCCTCTCTCCACAATCTGCAATCTTCAACAGTGTGTATCCATTCGTGTGCTGATACCACTCCATGCCATGATAAAAGGCTGTCAGGAAACTTCTCACGTTGTTTTCCGCTGTCTGTTTTCCCACATATTTTTCTAGTGGTCACAAAATATTTTGCTCAAAAGATGACCACAAAATAACAGGAAAAAAAAACCCAGAATCATTCAGATGCCATGTCGAGATTAAGGAATCCCATAATATAATGGGTTAGAGTGAGGGTTAGTAGTAGTCGCTATTCATTTAACACTAGACCTAACCCTAACCCCTCTGTGGAGGCGGTTGATATCTGCAGTAATGAATGTCAAGGGCTAGTATTGCTAAAGCAGAAAAAAAAGGGGGGGGGGGGACTTTTCTATAACGTCACCACATCACGCGAGATTTAGGGGAATCCCGTAGTATTAGTACAGGGGGAGGGGGTGTTAGGATAAGGGTTACTAGTAGTAGCTATTCATTAACACTAGACCTTTGCCGACGGTTGCAGGTAGGCACAATGTGCTGCAGGCGAAGTCATTTCTTAGGGTAGCTGCAGACACAGACTACCCTTTGTATGAAGCTCTGTGTACAGCTAAGGGTCCGCGGCTGATAAGAGGGGGGTCAAGGAGGTGGAGACTGTCACTGCAGCTTTCCGCTGGCTAGAGAACACGACACACGACACACACACACACACACACACACACACACACACAGTGATTGTAACTGACTTAGAAAGCATGCCGAGGAAGATCAGAACAGGTATGCTTCGTGCAGAGTGGCATGCTTCGCTGCGGAGGACATGGGTGAGGAGTATTGTCTGGATTTGTTCACCGGGTCACGCCGGTGTGTTGGGAAATGAACAGGCGGACAGACTGACTGGCTCTGCACAACTTGGTGGAATACTGATATATGATAAGGCAGACGTGGTTAGTGCCTTGTGGGAGAGCGTGAACAGTTTGGAGGAGCAGATGGATCACCACAGACTGGTGAGATTGATGCAGTTGGGGGTGACGAGAGGTTCTGGCAGATGCTTGAGGCTCAAAGGAAAGGCGAGACGGACGTTTAATCAGAATGCTACTGGCACCATTAGTATCGGAACTCATCGCTGGCTGAAGATGGGAACGGAGCGCTTATGGGAATGACCCGAGTGCTGTGATGTCAGTTCTTAAATCAAATCAAATTAACACTAGACCTAACGCTAACCCCCCCGTACTAATACTGTGGGATTTCCATAAATCTCACCTGACGTGGTGACAATTTTTTTACCCCTTCTGCTTCAGCAATCCTAGCTCTTGACATTCATTGCTGCAGGTATCAACCGCCTCCATGTGTCTCCGTGATAATGACAAGTCATTTCTTTCCAGCTGGGGACTGTTTGTAGGTCTGTCTGTGTAGTTGTAGTGTCTCCATGCAGTCTTCCTGGTCTGCCTCGAAATCTTCTTCCATTTCAACCTTTTTGTTCAGGTAGTTTTTGTGACTCTGTTATTTGCCTTTCTCTCTGCATGAACCAACCATTAGCCCTCACGATGCCAGTAATTAATACATATTTAACGGGGATTCAAACAGTTGCCGTAACCTCTCTCAGTAGTTTCTGACTCACAGTTGTAACTTTAAAAGCAGAAGAAGGAAGAGAAACAGTAGAAGAAGGAAGAGGGACAGTAGAAGAAGGAAGAGGAACAATAGAAGAAGGAAGAGGAACAGTAGAAGAAGGAAGAGGAACAATAGAAGAAGGAAGAGGAACAGTAGAAGAAGGAAGAGGAACAATAGAAGAAGGAAGAGGAAGGTGCGCACTACATAGTGTCTATTACAGTATGTCTGGGGAAAGGAGGTATCAAAAACGGCGACCCAGTTCTGTGTAACTTGGAAATAAAGTAGGTTCTTTGGAAATAAAGTCCTGCTTTAAAAGGCAGAGGTGTTTTCCGGAAATGTTATACAACAGATTGGGGTCGAGAACTTGGCAACAACTAGCACGATTGATGGAAAGAGGGTGAAGAAATAATTACCTAGATGATTCTAAAAATGAATTGGGGGGGGGGGGGAACAAGAACACCGACGTGATCTGTCATTCTGGTGATAGTGTTTAAAGTTTGATCACCATGGCACACGGGTAGTAACTCATAAGTGCTCCTTTCTACTTCTAAATGAAGTGTCAGTTCGAAGTAGCTTAGCGCAGTGCACGGGCTCCGTAGCACCGGTGAGGATCCTTAAATATTTTGGGTAGATTTTTAACTCAAGATTTTGCCCGGGCAGCGCCGTTAGGCTACTTTTTTCGATGTCCAACTGCTAAGGGATTTTTCTACGTGTGCAACAATACATACGGGCATCCAATCCCACTACCCAGAGGCCGGGGGGGGGGAGGAATTACTAGAAGTCCACGTTAACATGAATAATGCCAGCCTTCATTGGGGCTTGAACCCGGGACCTCACGCACTTGAAGCGGACACCATACTGTGAGACCATGCAGCTCCCTACTGGTGAAAGTGTGAAACGACCAAACATGACAACGTACGCGTGTCGGCACAGCACATGATGATGATAATTTATGTCTCTCTCTCTCTCTCTCTCTCCCACCCCCCCCCCTTTTTTTAACGGGACTTTATAATGTCGCGGATGTACATTGTTTACAAATGCGGTAAGCAGGCGTTACTCCTTGTCGCCGTCACACAAACAAACAAACAGACTTGTCTGCAACAATGGCAGCAACAGAGGCCTCAGATGGTGTAGAATTTATTGAGTCAGTTGATTTGTTCAACATGCTTCAACAAGGAATTGATTATTCCTGCTTGAGTGATACGAATTATCTGTATTTAATTGGTAAGGTGAAGGACAGTAGCAGTACTAAAACACATGTTAAGTTTTCACACTTTCGTTTGGTTCCAACTGTTGTGACTAGATACTAGATCTGCTATTGACTGTGTTATTCACAACGATTTCTTATTCGGAGGGGTGAAAAAAGGTAAGGGGGGGGGGGGGGGGGTGTCCTTCTTCTTCATCGATATATTGCCAAATTGTAGGACAGACTTTCAACCACTCACTTCAGCCAGTCATAGCAGGCTCTCCTTGCAGTACCGGAAGAGGGCTGGACGCAGGCTGGACAGCGTAATTTGGTTTAGTGGGAGTTCTCTCCCTTGGCCGCACTGGAAACAGTGAGCGGAAAAGTCACGAAACAAATGACATACTTACCTATCATCATACGGTTGCGTGTAGGGTTGCGTACGCTTGAGTGTAGGGTTGCGTTGTCATCATACGGTTGCGTGTAGGGTTGCGTAGTCATCATACGGTTGCGTAGTCATCATACTGTTGCGTGTAGGGTTGCGTAGGGTTTCAGTTTGGTTTAGGGTTAGGGGTTAGGGTTAGGGGTAGGGTTAGGGGTTAGGGGTAGGGTATGGTTAGGGGTTAGGGTTAGTGGTAGGGTTAGGGGTAGGGTTAGGGGTAGGGTAGGGTTAGGGGTAGAGTTAGGGGTAGGCTTAGGGGTTAGGGTTAGATGTGAACATTTTGACGTAGGAGTTCCAAATACTGGCCGACAATCTGATACTTGTTGGAGTGGCGCCACTGACAGTCTGCCAAATATGACGGCAATAGCGCGCGGCTGGTGCCCAATCGATGGTGAATTGTCCGTAGTATCCACAGTCCGTCGACTGTTTGGGTGTGTATGTGACTGTGCGCGATTATAGCGAACTCCTGCGTCAAAATTGTCACATCTAATGCTAAACCTAACCCTAACCCTAACCCTAACCCCAACCCTAACCCTACCCCTAACCCTAACCCTAACCCTAACCCTAACCCTACCCCTAACCCTAACTCTACCCCTAACCCTACCCCTAACCCTAACCGTAACCCTAATGTTACCCCTAACCTTAACCCTAATCCTACCGCTAACCCTAACCCTACCCCTAACCACGTGAATTTATCTGTCATTAAAGCATACAGATCGGAAAAAACCAAAAAAAAAACCCAGATTTCCCCTCAACGTCAAAAAAAACCCCCCAGATCTGGGGGACACAACCAAGCATTGGCAGCCCTGATATCGACCTCACTGTCTTCTTTGATTCGTGACTTTTCCGCTCACTGTTTTCAGTGCGGCCAGGGGAGAGAACTCCCACTAAACTGAACTAAGCCGTCCAGCCTCGTCCGGTACTGCAAGGAGAGCCGTCATAGCATTTGTGGACTTCAGTCATATCCGGCGGCTTGTTTAACGTAATTCCTATATTATTAATCTTTGATTATATTTTTGTATGTATTACTAAAAACAACCATTTTTAATTTAAGTGTACGTTAAAATGGTCTTATTATAATAATAATAGTAGTAGCAGCAGCAGAAGTAAAAGTAGTTTAATAAATTATATATTATTCAATCTGTCTGGGTTATATACTGGTATAAATGGAGTTAGTGTTTTATGATGTTTATTAGGCTGTTGAATGTTGATTCCATCTGCACCCAGTGTGGTAAATGAAGAAAATGAATATAAATTGTTTATATTTTAAGGTAATTTAAATGGATTATAAATTATCAGTGTTAATTATTATGTTTTAAGTTCACAAGGTGGTTTTGTGGACTCTATGGAGTGGCGAAGAGGAAAAGGGGAGGGGGGGGGGGAACAGAATAGACTCACTGCCACCTAACAAGCAAGTCATAAAATTCAACTAATTAGGGCTGCTTCCTCAAAAGTCGGAGTGCATCTGCCTGATCTTGAGTGGCCAGGAATGAGCAGTCTGTACACAAATAAGCCAGATTGTAAAATAGACGTGCACATGAAACTCAAAATCTGGGACAAGGATGAAGTCCAGAAATATATGAACAACCAAACTTTCTGCTAGAAACACCCCCTCCCCCTTCACAGTTTTATTAGGGTGACAGTGGGTGAAGCCCACCCCCCCCACCCCCATTCCAACCACCACCACCACAAAAATTGAACACAGGAACCCACAAAGTATCTGTCACACTCAATAACAAGCACACATATATGTATATTTATTTGATCACTAACTGAATAAATAATTCTTCTGCCATACTATACTGCCATGTGGCAGTGGTTGTCATGTGTATCCACAACCTTTTGTCTTGTGTACTTTTTTGTTAACTCTGATACAGATGATCCTGCATGCCATGATGTCAGACTGTCCAACATCTGTTCTCTTGGTCTCCTTTTGCCTCTCTTCCCCTCCAACTGTTATGATGTACTCCAGTTTTCTATTTCTCTTCCCATGTTTTATTTGCTTTATTACCATTTTGTTCAGATGCTAGAAAAAAAGCTGACTACAATGAAAGTCACATTATCACAGCCAAACTGGCCCCAAGAGTAAGTATCTTTGTAATAAAAGGTACATTCATGCTGTTTATCCCCTCCAGGCTGCTACCTGAAGGTTTGACACTCTTAGATTACAAAACCTATATCTGGATGGTAGACCACCAAGGCAAATCCAGAATACCCCCGTCAACCTCCAAAAAAGTTATTGTAACTGGGGCGCCCATAATGGTTGCACCAAGCTGGTGTAACCGGCAGTCCAGTGCAGTCAGGAATAAAAAAAAAATACATGACTCTTAAAAGAAGCAGTTCACAAAATGGGGCTTGTTATCTATCAAGTTAAGAAAAATACTTGATAATAATAAGATATGGAAAAGATATAAACTCTGGCCATAAAAAACAATGCCAATTCTTGCCTTTATCACTTTTGCAGTGTAGGTGAGTGGGAGGGGGAGGGGGTCTTTGATCCTGAGGACTTACGGCCGTATGGCTAGTGCTGTCACCATGACTGTGCAGTTGAGTTTTATTTTGCTCCTGACAGAAAAATGCCCAGCCTTAACGAGGATTTGAACCTGGGTCTCTTGCCTGAGAGCCCAGTGTTCTAACTGTTCAACCAGCTGCTCCTCTCCGGCCATATACAAGTTAATAATATGAAAATCACACAGAAACATGTAAGTACTTGGGTGCAAACTTCAACTGCTCCAGCATGCTGGAAATAAAGTATATAATGCCCATCAACATATGTTCAAGTAAAAATGTATCTCACAACACCAAGATCAACATATATAAAACACTGATAAGACCGGTTGTCTTATATGTCTCTGAAACTTGGAGCACAAGAAAAAGAGATGAAGCAATTTTACAGATTGTCTAAAACAGAGTCTTATGACAAATCTTTGGACCAATCAAAGATGCAGACAGCGGGGAATGGAGAGTGAGAAGCAACAACAGAATTCATAAACTGTTTATATAATGCTTAAATCACCATAAATCACTGGCATCATGCGGGCTAATAGACTGAAATGGCTGGGGCATATTGAGAGAATGTCAGATGACAGAGAGGTAAAAACTGTACACAAGGGAGCTGAATGGTCGAAGACTATGAGGCAGACCAAGAAGATTATGTAAAAATAATATCCAGACAGATTTACAAACACTTGGTGTCACAAACTGGAAAAAGAGGGCCAGCCAGACAGATGAATGGAAGTGGGTGATATCTGCAGCATTGAACCTCAAGGGCTCAGAATGCTGTAAAAGAAGAAGACTTTCAGGGTGTCTAAGTATTGTCACATGTCATCATTACCATCTTGTAGCAAGCTCTTTGCAGAACAACACTGTCATCACGCTCTGCCTGAAAGAAACTCATCTCTCACCTGATTTTCTGCCTCATGCACTTTTCTCAAGTTTTAATTTTAGGACTTCGTACTCTTGTACCAAAGGTGCCACTTATATCCTGTGCCCATGTTCATGCTGGTCGGCCCCTCCCTCTCTTTCCTGGCACCATGCCTTCTGCTACTATTCTTTCCAATCAATCCTGGCATTTCATATGGCCAGCTAAAATATTACTTGTTCTGACAAAAAATAGCTGTTTACTAGCCAGTCTTTTTTGACAGTCTTTTAGATCTTTGTGCATGTCAGTATTTCTTGGTCTACGGTTTTCTGAGATCCTTTCTTTAGCATTTCAGTTCAAAAGCTCCTATTTTATTACATAATGACTGTGAGATAGTCTGTGACTCACATCTGTATGTTGCTACAGGAAAGACGCAAGCCCTCAAAATTTAAACATGGGAATTAGTGTAAAATATCATCATCATCATCATTCCGCAACACTACAAGTCGTTGGGTCACCTGTTTCGTTGACTGTCTGATCTACATTGGGCGGTCTGTTGCGATTGACTTCATGGTTGCATGCCTGAGGCCTGTCCAGTCAATCAGGTTCTGTAACCAGGTCTTTCTTGGTCTCCCTATCCTTCTCTTTCCCTTTACTGAGCTCTACAGTATTGTTTTTGAGAGGGCATTAGATCTTATCACATGTCCATACCATTGTATTTTCCTCCTTTTAACTGTAGTTAAAAAAGGTTCATAGTTGCCAATGTGCTGTATAATTATATGGCAAACCTCTTTATAATGTGGTTTCTCTGAGAAAAATACCTGGCAATAAATTGTGCAGTCTGCTATTTGCATCTTTATATTCACACTAGAAAAAGATTGCTATACATGTTAATTTGTTTGTCTTGTTGTTAGTTAATTTATTTGGTAAATTTGATTTATTTGAAATGTTTAGTATGTGAATTTTCTGTTTGAAATATTTAGTCTATGCATTTATATGGTAGGGCTGAGTCCGTGACATGGCATGTTTGAAAATTTAAGTCGATTTTAAATTCTTTAATCTGTTAATTCATTAAGTCTCAGTCTTGGTAATGTTTACTTCTTGAGCTAAATTGTCTCATATGTTTAGTCTGTGAATCGCTGTGTTTGAAGTTAAAAGTCTGTGAACTGAAGTGCCTAATTTCTTTGATCTATGAATTGGTAAAATTTTGTTGTGTGAATTGGTAATGTTCAGTCTGTGAATTGGTAATGTTTAGTTTGTGAGTGGTAATATTTGGTCTCTGAGTTGGTAATGTTTAGTTTGTGAATTGGTAACTTTGATGAGGCATGTTTGAAATGTTCAGTATCTGAAACTCATGTGCTTGAAATCTGTGAACTGGTAATACTTACTCTGTGAATTGTCATGTTTGAAATGTTTTCTTTTTCAGAAGGAAGATGGAACGTTTTTGATTCCGTATGATGCAGAAATAGAATGCAAAAAGAATATCATAGTGTATGACGGCAATACCGGTGAAATCATAGGACCCTGTAAGTTGTTTTTAAAATATAACAAATAAATCAACATGTAATTAAAGTTGTTTCATATATAACAAATGAATAACAGGTCAGTGGAAGTTCTGTCAAGTGTAACAAAATAACCATGATGTCAGTGTAACAAATTCAAAAATATAATAGTTGAAATAAGTCAGTGAAGAATTAACAAACACCTAATGAGTCAATATAAGTATGTTAAATTGTAAAATTTTTTAAAAATTTGTCCATGTGTTCATGTTATCCTTCCACTTTCAGACATCTGTGTGTATCCATCTACTGATGTTATCTTTCCACTTTCAGACTGCTGCTTGTCCATCAATTGATGTTATATTTCCACTTTCAGACGGCTGCTTTTCCATCAATTGATGTTATCTTTCCACTTTCAGACATCTGTGTGTATCCATCTACTGATGTTATATTTCCAGGTCATCTCTATGTATCAACTCTGAGCTATAAAAGAGAACCACTTGCATTGGTGAGGTTCTACAACAACCATGTTCTCTGTCTGCCTGCTTGCCTGTCTTTCAGTTTTATGTGTGTCAGCTTGCATTAGCACAAATATCATGGAAAGATATAAAACTGAACAAAAAGTAGATCAGCTATAGAGTCCATCATACATAAATAAGACAAGCACACAAATATGCAAAATCACGTAACTGACGTATCACGAAGCAACCACGTTGATGTCTTGCCAGTAGACAAGAAAGAGGCAGAAACAGATAGATAAATAGACAGACAGACAGATACAGGCAGTTAGGTCAGTAAAGAAAATTTGGAGAGAAAAAGAGAGAAATAGAAACTGGCAAATATATGTGTGTGTGTGCATAAATATATATATATATATATATATATATATATATATATATATATATATATATATATATATATATATGTATATATATATATACATAGAGAGAGAGAGAGAGAGAGAGAGAGAGAAAGCAGCGCGTAAATATATATATATATATATATATATATATATATATAGAGAGAGAGAGAGAGAGAGAGAGAGAGAGAGATATAGAGAAAGAGAGAAAGCAGTGCGTATATATATATATATGGATTGATAGGTAGAAACAGAGATAAAGAGATTTTTGTCTATAATATTCAGTAAAATTTATATATGTATATATATATACACAATTATATAATTGTTCCCTAAGCTGAGGCCATTGATTGTGCGTTGCTGTTTTGGAAAGTTGGAAGCAGGGGCACCATTAAGATCTTAAGAGGTTAGTAGACATCTTCTTTTTTTCTTCAACCACCCTAAAAGGGTGGTTGGTACATTGTCTTGTGGTTTACAGCTAGGCTGTGATATTTGCACCCTTCTGCCCATCACATCTAGTTTCAGCAGACCCTTAGTTAGTCATCTTTAATGACAGGCTTGCCAGAGGACAGTGAATCTATTTCTCCTCTTCTTCATGCCACCCCCCCCCCTTTCCGCTCCCATGGGGTCCCCAGAACCCACACACAGAGGTTGGCACACAATAATTCTGCTTGAGTCTTGTAGAGATAACATGAATTTTAGAAACCATATCTCTTGTCTTGTTTATCAACACTGAATATGTATATGTCAGAATCTTGAAAACCAGGCCTTGCAGGCTAAAGTGGATCAGTCGCAGTTACAATGGTTTGAACATGTATGTAGAATGGGAGAGAATCAGTCACCGTGGCAGGCATAGGAGGCCAAGAACCAGGGTGACCCAGGGTACGCTGGGAAGACAACATCCGACAGTCCCTGATGTGCAGAGGACTGAAATGTGAAAAACACACCAAAAAAAGAAACTGCTAATAGAGAAGTCTGGCGATCTCTCTGGCAAACCTCTACACTGCAAGGTAGAAGAGGTGCGACTAAGTAAATAACTAAGTTAATGTGTCCTCCTCCTCCTCTTTTTCTTCTTCTTCGTCATCCTCCTCCTCCTCCTGCTGTTGCTTTTTCTTTGTCTTCTTCCTCTTTTTCTATCCCAGAAAAGGGACATAGGCCCTCAACCAACTCACGCCAAGTCATTCTATCTTTTGCTATTGCATGCAGCTTACCCAATGTCCACCCCCATCTTTTTAACTTCCTTTCTCCGTGTTTTTTTTTTCCTGTCTTTTTTCCTATGCCCTTGAAGGTTCTAGTGCAAAGACTTTCTAATTATAATGTTCTCAGGTTTTCTAAACATTTGTCCTGCCAGTCCAAGTTAATGTATAATTACTCATATTTATCTGTACCAGTCAAGATACATGTGTGATTGTGCTTCATACATTTACTCAGAGCATACTACAGAAATCTGGCAAAATATTTGATTCTCAAGATATGTATGTTTTCATAATACACCTTGAGATAATATACAATCAGACAGTTACTCGTGCCACCGGAATTGGAACTCTTTGCTTGCTGCTGACAATGGAGATAGATCACTTATGGGAGTACCCGAGTGCTGTAATGTTGATTCTTAATTCAACACTCAAGAAATCAACATTCTTGCAATAATATATAAGTAGATCTACATTTTTTATAATAGATACACACTGACAAGCGCTTGACACTGCAGCCAGCAATGTTGACACACCTTGGCAAGCACTTGACACAGCAGCTAGCAATGTTGAGGCACCTTGACAAGCACTTGACACTGCTGCCAACACTGTTGAGGCACCTTGACAAGCACTTGACACTGCAGCCAGCAATGTTGACACACCTTGACAAGCACTTGGCACTGCAGCCAGCAATGTTGACACACCTTGACAAGCACTTGGCACTGCAGCCAGCAATGTTGAGGCACTTTGACAAGCACTTGACACTGCAGCCAGCAATGTTGAGGCACCTTGACAAGCACTTGGCACTACTGCCAGCAATGTTGAGACACCTTGACAAGCGCTTGGCACTGCAGCCAGCAATGTTGAGGCACCTTGACAAGCGCTTGACACTGCTGCCAGCAATGTTGAGACACCTTGACAAGCGCTTGACACTGCTGCCAGCAATGTTGAGACACCTTGACAAGCGCTTGGCACTGCAGCTAGCAATGTTGAGACACCTTGACAAGCGCTTGGCACTGCAGCTAGCAATGTTGAGACACCTTGACAAGCGCTTGGCACTGCAGCTAGCAGTGTTGAGACACCTTGACAAGCGCTTGGCACTGCAGCTAGCAATGTTGAGATACCTTGTCATGCACTTTACACTGCAGCCAGCAATGTTGAGACACCTTGACAAGCGCTTGGCACTGCAGCTAGCAGTGTTGAGACACCTTGACAAGCGCTTGGCACTGCAGCTAGCAATGTTGAGACACCTTGACAAGCGCTTGGCACTGCAGCTAGCAATGTTGAGACACCTTGACAAGCGCTTGGCACTGCAGCTAGCAGTGTTGAGACACCTTGACAAGCACTTGGCACAGCAGCTAGCAATGTTGAGATACCTTGTCATGCACTTTACACTGCAGCCAGCAATGTTGACACACCTTGACAAGCACTTGGCACTGCAGCCAGCAATGTTGAGGCACTTTGACAAGCACTTGACACTGCAGCCAGCAATGTTGAGGCACCTTGACAAGCACTTGGCACTACTGCCAGCAATGTTGAGACACCTTGACAAGCGCTTGGCACTGCAGCCAGCAATGTTGAGGCACCTTGACAAGCGCTTGACACTGCTGCCAGCAATGTTGAGACACCTTGACAAGTGCTTGACACTGCTGCCAGCAATGTTGAGACACCTTGACAAGCGCTTGACACTGCAGCTAGCAATGTTGAGACACCTTGACAAGCACTTGACACTGCAGCTAGCAATGTTGAGACACCTTGACAAGCGCTTGACACTGCTGCCAGCAATGTTGAGACACCTTGACAAGCACTTGGCACTGCAGCTAGCAATGTTGAGGTTGGCTAGCTTCTCTTCAGAGAGGCAACAAGTGAAATTAAGTTGCCCGACAAAGACCTGTAGAGTACCCAGGTCAACCCTATCTCCTTGTGGTGCACACTGGAAACTGAAGCAATGAGGTTTCTGGCTAACAGGGCCGTAGCTCGCCTGGGAGGGGACGGGGCACCAGCCAGGCCAGTTTTTTCTTGCCTCTCCAGATGTTTGGCCTAACAAGCCAAAAGTGGTGTAATCAACCAATGCTACACATGAAATAATTAATTGTAGTACAGAATCAGCCACCCAGGCCACCCAAGAAACACAAGACAAATACAGAGAAAAAAAAACCACAACACTGAGAATACAAGTCGATCTGGCATACAAGTTGATCTGGCATACAAGTCGATCTGGCATACAAGTCGATCTGGCATACAAGTTGATCTGGCATTCAAGTTGATCTGGCATACAAGTCGATCTGGCATACAAGTTGATCTGACATACAAGTTGATCTGGCATACAAGTCGATCTGACATACAAGTCGATCTGGCATACAAGTCGATCTGGCATACAAGTTGATCTGGCATACAAGTTGATCTGGCATACAAGTCGATCTGGCATACAAGTTGATCTGGCATACAAGTTAATCTGGCATACAAGTCGATCTGGCATACAAGTTGATCTGGCATACAAGTTGATCTGGCATACAAGTTAATCTGGCATACAAGTCGATCTGGCATACAAGTCGATCTGGCATACAAGTCGATCTGGCATACAAGTCGATCTGGCATACAAGTTAATCTGGCATACAAGTCGATCTGGCATACAAGTCGATCTGGCATACAAGTCGATCTGGCATACAAGTCGATCTGACATACAAGTTAATCTGACATACAAGTCGATCTGGCATACAAGTCGATCTGGCATACAAGTCGATCTGGCATACAAGTTGATCTGGCATACAAGTTGATCTGGCATACAAGTTAATCTGGCATACAAGTCGATCTGGCATACAAGTCGATCTGGCATACAAGTCGATCTGGCATACAAGTTGATCTGGCATACAAGTCGATCTGGCATACAAGTCGATCTGGCATACAAGTCGATCTGGCATACAAGTCGATCTGACATACAAGTTAATCTGACATACAAGTCGATCTGGCATACAAGTCGATCTGGCATACAAGTCGATCTGGCATACAAGTTGATCTGGCATACAAGTTGATCTGGCATACAAGTTAATCTGGCATACAAGTCGATCTGGCATACAAGTCGATCTGGCATACAAGTCGATCTGGTATACTTCTTCTTCTTCTTCTTCTTTACAATCGGTTTTATATGCTCGGATCAGACATCTTCTTCTTCTTCTTCTTCTTTTTCTTCTTTACGATCAGTTTCATATGCTCAGATCTCTACAAACTTGCATGTCAGCAGCAGGTCCTTCATGGTTTCCCATAGCTTGCTCTGCACACTTTGCTCTTGAGGCCAGGTTTCTTTTGGAAGTTGTAGGTAGAGTGGGCAGGTGTGCAGAATGTGCTCAGGTGTTTGTGGTCCGGTCTGACAGGCACACTGTGGGGATGGTATAGTCTTTATTTTATGCATGTGGTAGTTGAGCCTGCAGTGTCCTGTTCATAAACAATTGTTGTATGCTGCTTTCTGTTGAGTCTGCTCATGGGGTCTTGAGGATGATTACTGTTGGTTTGCTCTCTCCGAAATTCCTGGTATTTTCCCTTGATAAGTATTTTGATTTCTGGTAATGATAAAGACTGGGTATGCTGTTTCTCCTTTGTTCCAGTTTTTGTAGCTTTTTTTTTTATTTACCCTATCCAGCACATTTTACTGTACGTATCCGGCATCTTAGGATTTTGTTATTTTCGTTATTGCCTCCTTAGGCAACAGCTGTGATTCTTTGATTGAAAGATTTATGATTTTCTTTGTTATGGGTTATAGGAGGTTACGAGGAGTTTTCTGCCTTGTACCCATTTCTGAGGACCCAGAAAATTCTGTACACTCCTAGGGTAAGTATTGTTGAACATTTTGTTTGTTGTAAATGAATGATAAAGGCTTCTATTCCTTCCTTCCTTCCTTCCTTCCTTCCTTCCTTCCTTCCTTCCTTCCTTCCTTCCTTCCTTCCTTCCTTCCTTCCTTCCTTCCTGATCCTTCCTTCCTCAATCCTTCCTTCTCTTCTTCCTTCATGTTCCTTCCTTCCTTCCTTCCTTCCTTCCTTCCTTCCTTCCTTCCTTCTGAGTCTTCCTTTCCTTCCTTCCTTCCTTCCTTCCCTTCCTTCCTTCCTAATCCTTCCTTCCTTCCTTCCTTCCTTCCTTCCTTCCTGTTCCTTCCTTCCTTCCTTCCTTCCTTCCTGAAATTCCTTCTTCCTTCCTTCCTTCCTTCCTTCCTTCCTTCCTTCCTTCCTTCCTTCCTTCCTTCCTTCCTTCCTTCCTTCCTTCTCTTCCTTCCTTCCTTCCTTCCTTCCTTCCTTCCTTCCTTCCTTCCTTCCTTCATTCCTTCCTTTCCTTCCCTTTCCTTCCTTCCTTCCTTCCTTCCTTCCTTCCCTTTCCTTCCTTCCTTCCTTCCTTCCTTCCTTCCTTCCTTCCTTCCTTCCTGCCTTCCCTTCTTCCTTCCGGCCTTCCTTCCTTCCTTCCTTCCTTTCTTCCTTCCTTTCCTTCCTTCCTTCTTCCTTCCTTCCTTCTGTTCCTTCCTTCCTTCCTCCTTCCTTCTTCCTTCCTTCCTTCCTTCTTTTCCTTCCTTCCTTCCTTCCTTCCTTCCTTCATTCCTTCCTTAATTCCTTCCTTCCTTCCTCCCTTTCCTTCCTTCCTTCATTCTTTTCCTTCATTCCTTCCTTCCTTCCTTCTTCCTTCCTTCCTTCCTTCCTTCCATTCCTTCCTAGTTTTTCCTTCCTTCCTTAATTCCTTTCTTCCTTCCTTCCTTTCCTTCCTCCCTTCCTCCCTTCATTCCATTCCTCCCTTCATTTATTCCTTCCTTCCTTTCCTTCCAAACCTTTCCTTCCTTCCTTCTTTCCTTCTTCCATTCTTCCTGACCTTCCTTCTTAATTTCTTCCTTCCTTCCTTCCTTCCTTCCTTCCTTTATTCCTTCCTAATTAATTCCTTCCTTCCTTTCCTTCATTGCTTCCTTCCTTCAAACCTTCAATTCTTCCTTCCTCTATTCCTTTCCTTTCTTCCTTCCTTCCTCTTCCTTCCTTCCTTCCTAATTAATTCCTTTCCTTCATTCTTTCCTTCCTTCCCTCCTTCCTATTCTTTCCTTCCTTCTCCTTCCCTTCCTTCTTTCTTCCTTCCTTCCTTTTCTTCCTTCCTTCTTTCCTTCCTGTCCTCTCTCCCACCCTCCTTTTTCTTTCTTTCTTCCTCCCTCTTCTTTCATTCTTTCCTTCCTTCCTTCTCCTTCCTTCATTCCTTTCTTCTTTCATTCCTCCCTTTTTTCCTTTCCTTCATTCCTTTCTTCATTCATTCTTTCCTTCCTCTCTCCCTTCCTCCTTTCCTTCATTCCTTCTTGTTTATCTTCCTTCATTCTTTCCTTTTATTAATATCTTCCTTCATTCATTCCATTCTTCATTCCTTCCTTGCTTAATTCCCCCTCATTCATTCCTTGTTTCTTTATTTATTCTTTATTTATTTTCTTCAGTCCTTTTTAATTCATTTCTTTCTTCATTCATCAATTCCTTTTTTATTATTTCAGTCTCTATCTTCTTTTTTCTTCTTCCCTGCCCTTTTCTTCTTCTGCTCTTCCTTCCTTATAGTTCTTATAGTTCTTGCTTTTCTTGTTCTTTAACTTTTTCCTTGTTCTTCTTCTGCTTTTTTCTTTTTTTCCCTCTCCCTTTTCTCATCCCTCTCCCTCTCCTTCCCCTTTTCACATCCTCCTATTCTTCCTTCTTTTCATTCTTCAGTTCCTCTTTTACTCTTCAAATGTCGATAGAGGTACAGTTTTCTGCTTTTGCTTCTTTGATCACTTCAGCCACAGGCTGTTTTAAAGGTTTCTCTTATATTGTCTTTCAATCCTGTTCTTGGTCTACCTCAGGCCTGTGTCTCTCTGATCTTTTAGCATATGCTTTGTATTGTGGTTATTACATTAAATTTGTGGCTGAAAGTTCAGGTTATTCATCCACTTCTGGACTTTGGTCTTGATCCAGAACCTGAGTTTTGCATGCAAATCCATTTTACAGATCTGGCTTATTTATATACAGACTGTTGGTTACTTGCCTCTCTGGCAGATGCACTTCGACTTTGAATGAAACACTCCTAGTTAATCCCCTCCTATGACATACTTGTCGTGTGTGTGTGTGTGTGTGGGGGCGGGGGGGGGGGGGGGGAGACGAGTGGGTCTGCTTTTCAAAATAGAGCCCTGGAACCCACACCGGGATGATAACAGTTTTAAGATGGTCACCTCACCTTTGACATGCACTAAAGAGGAACAATGTTTGTTACCTGTTTTTTTAAATAAATTTTTTCATTTGTCATTTCTATCACAGTTTTAAGGTTGTTATTTGAAATCCTCTAGTAGCTCTACAAATATTCATTAATTGAAGCCTGCACATAACAGAGGGAATTGAATGGTATGATAGAATCACTAATGTAGAGCTTTGGGAAAGAACTAACAAGTTCCAGTGGACCAACTAGAGGTGAAGACAAGACGCTGGCATTGGATAGGACACATGTTGAGAAATCCTGAGAACAGTGTAACTAGAATGTCTTTGTACTGGAACCCACAGGGGCATAGAAATAATGGAAGACCAAAAAATACACGGAGAAGGGAGCTAGAAAGTGATGTTATAAAGATAGGGAGGACATGGGGGGAGCTGCATGCGATAGCGAAGGATAGAATGACTTGGCGTGAGCTGGTTGAGGGCCTATGCTCCGTTGGGAGCTAAAAAGGCCTAAGAAGTAGTCTAAGAACTTTATTTCTCACCTCAGTTGACAGAGTTAGATTGCATGGAATAATTTTCATTTTGTCACTTTCTACCTGCATGGTTGGAATATGTGACTTTTTAGTTATGAACATAGTTTCATAATTACAACATCCTTATTATTCTGCATTCATCTAAAGATGTAATTGTGCTGTTCTCATTTACAGCATGGCTGTGATATTTGCACCTTTCAGTCATCACATCCGACTATCCCAGCATCCAAAGTTTAGTTCAGCTGCCGGAAATTTGGCTTTGCCTTTATTTCTACAAAGGTTAGAGTGTCAGAGCATTCCCCTTCTTCTTCTTATAGTTCATGCTGTGTGGTGTTAGTAGTCGTGTTTATCCACAACCTTCTGTCTCATGTACTTTCAGTCAGTTCTGACACAGATAATCTTCCACAATACATGCTGTGTGGTGTTAGTAGTCGTGTTTATCCACAACCTTCTGTCTCATGTACTTTCAGTCAGTTCTGACACAGATAATCTTCCACAATACATGCTGTGTGGTGTTAGTAGTCGTGTTTATCCACAACCTTCTATCTCATGTACTTTCAGTCAGTTCTGACGCAGATGATCTTCCATAATACATGCTGTGTGGTGTTAGTAGTCATGTCTATCCACAACCTTCTATCTCATGTACTTTCAGTTAGTTCTGACGCAGATGATCTTCCATAATCCATGCTGTGTGGTGTTAGTAGTCATGTCTATCCACAACCTTCTGTCTCATGTACTTTCAGTCAGTTCTGACGCAGATGATCTTCCATAATACATGCTGTGTGGTGTTGGTAATCGTGTTTATCCACAACTTTCTGTCTCATGTACTTTCAGTCAGTTCTGACACAGATAATCTTCCATAATCCATGCTGTGTGGTGTTGGTAGTCGTGTTTATCCACAACCTTCTGTCTCATGTACTTTCAGTCAGTTCTGACGCAGATGATCTTCCATAATACATGCTGTGTGGTGTTAGTAGTCGTGTTTATCCACAACCTTCTGTCTCATGTACTTTCAGTCAGTTCTGACACAGATGATCTTCCACAATACATGCTGTGTGGTGTTAGTAGTCGTGTCTATCCAAAACCTTCTGTCTCATGTACTTTCAGTCAGTTCTGACGCAGATGATCTTCCATAATCCATGCTGTGTGATGTTGGTAGTCGTGTTTATCCACAACTTTCTGTCTCATGTACTTTCATTCAGTTCTGACACAGATAATCTTCCATAATACATGCTGTGTGGTGTTGGTAGTCGAGTTTATCCACAACTTTCTGTCTCATTTACTTTCGATCAGTTCTGGAACAAACAACATTCCATAGTCCAAGCCGTGTGGCATTAGTATTCATGTCTATGCACAATCTTCTGTCCTGTGTACTTTTAGTCAGTTCTGACCAGATTGATCTTCCATAATAACATGCCGGTGGTGTTTGGAGTAGTTGTCTATCGCCAACCTTCTGTCTACTTTTAGTCTCCCTGATACATGTATGATCTTCCATTAATCCATTGCTGTGTGGTGTTGGTAGTTGTGTTCTATCCACGACCCTTCTGTGTCAGTACTTTCAGTCCAGTCCTGACACAGATGTCTTTCAAAGAATCCATGATGGTGGTGTTGGTAGTCGTGTTTTATGGGCAACCTTCTGTCTATCTAAGTGAGTCACCTTTCTTTCACAGATGATCTTCATAAATACATGCTGTGTGGTGTTTATGTCGTGTCTATCCACAACTTTTTTGTCTCATTTACGTTTCGCTATCAGTTATGGAACAAATGATATTCCATCCAGTTCAAAGCCATGTGGCTTCCACATTCATTCTATAACAAATGGTCCTGTGTACTTTCAGTCAGATTCTGACCCAGACGCTTCTTCCATATCATGATGTAGGATTTGTCCCAGCATCTTCTCTCTTGGTCTCCCTCTATCTCTTTTCACCTCCAATTTCCACAAATCAAGTATTTTTCTCCAGAATCTCCTACTCATCACATGACCAAAGAATATAATCATTGTCTCCTTCTGATAGTCAGGTTCTTATTAAGTAGTCAGTTGGTTTTTTTCAAGATAAACATCAGTTAATGGTTTATCTGTCATATCTGTTGATCAGGATCTAGAAAAATACCAAAGCTTTCTAACAGTTACTAATATGGTTGTCTGATTCATTTTTTGACAGGAACTATATGAAATCAAAACTTATAACGTCAGTAAGTGGTTATCTCAATATCTGACAGGAACTAGATGAAATCAAAACTTATAACATCAGTAAATGGTTATCTCAAAAACTTTTTGACAGGAACTAGATGAAATCAAAACTTATAACATCATTAAATACTTATCTCATTTTTTGGGACATGAAATAGATGAAATCAAAACTTATAAAATTAATAAATGGTTGTTTCAATATATTTTTGACAGGAACTAAATGAAATCAAAACTTATAACATTAGTAAATGGTTATCTCAATATCTTTTTGACAGGAACTAGATGAAATCAAAACTTACCCACTGGAAATATTACCTGGCTTGTTGTATCTGGGAAACTGGAGACAGGGGAATTCCCCACAGGTCCAGAAAGATATGAAGATACGAGGACACATCAACTGCTGTGTCGAAGCAGAGACTATGTAAGTATGGATACAGCTTATGTTTTGATAAGTAGGAGTAGGAGTATAAATTTGTATGATGAGTTTATATACGACTATATATCTGAAAATTAAAGCATGAGGATGGAGGTGGAGGCAGCCACTCCAGTTCTGAGGTGGAAAGTAGCAAAAAAGAGTTACCAGAGGAATTACGGTGTCTGATTCTGTCGGTAATGCGAAAGGATAAAAAAAGACAAGTGTGGCATGGGTGGATACCTAACATCAGCCATATCAACATAACAGGGACTCATATGGATATACTCTCCGGATGTGCAGGTGTGTGAGGGAATGAAAGAGCAGAATTTCCAGGCTACAATAGCCTTGGCTGTGTATGGGAACACTCGTACTAGACAAAGGAAATATTCTAAAGACCATTGATGAACAAATGTTGATAGACTAGAACAACATTTGTAAGAATATGAGAATGAGGAATTAGATGTGGATCCAGCACTGGGGGTCATATGAGAGGAATTACATGTGGATCCAGCACTGAGGGTCGTATGAGAGGAATTACATGTGGATCCAGCACTGAGGGTCATATGAGAGGAATTACATATGGATCCAGCACTGAGGGTTGTATGAGAGGAATTACATGTGGATCCAGCACTGAGGGTCGTATCAATTTCAAGGTCATGGGTTCTCATCTGAACAGAGCTAGACTTTTTAGAAAAATGACTTTTGTCCCAGGTCAACCCAGCCAGGCTTGAGTAGATACCAGGTAAAGTCCTGGGAAGTTGACCACATCACCCACTGAGTGCCAGGTGGTCTATAAAATAAAAGTCTAGCACTGTATGCCCAATACGCCCGAAGGCATGGAAAAGGGTCTTTTACTTTACATTTCCTTTCAGGGAGTGTGGTAGCACTGCAGCTAGACAAATGCTTGTCAGCCCAGAAGTCTCAAGTTTCACGTATGCAGTTTTCCACCCCAAAATTGACCTGGGCTCCTAGGTTCACCAGGTAATTTTCTGGAAGGTAAAGCAGTTTGCAAATTGTTGAGCGCTTCACCCATTGAGTGCCAATTGGTATATATAAATCTAGGTTCAGCATCATATACCCAATACACCAAAGTTGTGAAAACAGCTTTTATTGTATATGTATATATATATATTAGTTAGTTAGTAAGTTAGTTAGTTAGTTGGGTTATCATCATTGCACTCCGGACATGTCCATAGGTGCTCAGATCCTCCCCTCAGTATGAACCCCAACGTCCGATGGCTAATAGTACCAGTTCTATGTTGATTAACAAGTCTTCTGGCGTAGCTGGTGTGCGTCTCGTTTTTTGCTGTGCCGATCTTAATTCCCAAGTCTGCCATTCTGGCGAGTGATGTGGATTCACTGCCACCAAAGTCCTCTATCCTTCCCATTTCTCTGAGGGCATTGATAATATCAGCGTGATCCATAGGCTGACCGTCGGTAGTGATAGCGGATCCAGCCAACCTGTCAGCTCTTTCATATATATATATATTGAAAATGTCACAAACTTTGAATATCTAGGATCTATACAACAATGGAGACGGTTCAACAGAAATTAAAAGGAGGATGGCCATAGCAATGCAAAGATTGAACAGCCTTAAAAGTCTATGGTTAAGCACCAGCAAGGAGATAAAAATTAGAATTTTGAGAGCATGCATCTTCCCTGTGGCTACATACGGATGTGAGTCGTGGACTATCTCTCAGTCCTTAAGAAAGAGAATAGGGGCTTTTGAGCTGAAATGCTATAGAAAGATTCTCAGAATATCTTGGACAAAAAAGAGGAGAAATATTGACATCTTAAAAGATCTGAACATCAAGGAAGATTGGCTAATAAACAGCATCCTTTCTCGGAAGCTGAAATATTTTGGTCATATCAAGCGCCACAACGGATTGGAAAAAACTGTAGCAAAAGGCATGGTACCAGGAAGGAGGGGCAGGGGCCGACCGACACGAAGATGGACACAAGATAAAAGTGACTCATTGAGTATGAAAGTATATGAGGCAGGAGAACTGGCGAGAGACCGAGTTTCTTTCAGGCAGACTGTGATGAGAGCGACGTTCTGCAAAGGACCTGCTACATGATGATATATATATATATATATATATATATATATAAAGTAAAATGAAATGTAAAGTTGGGAGATGTGAACCAGCATCATTGCACACGGTTATAAACCATTAGTGCTCTGCCACCAGTACAGACAGCTGATAAGAAACTGTCCACCTGTGTTGCAGTTCCTACACAACTCCATAGCTACAGCTACGTTACTCCATTTACCCCAGAGTGTTAACTATGATACCTATTACCTAGAGGCTGGGTGAACCCCGGAAACCGCCTGGTTTTGAACACCGGCTATGGGCTGGATTTGAAAGCGAGTTCGCTAACGCTGCCCCTTATATATATATATTTTACATTTTATTTTTCTGTTCTTTCAATTGCACTTTTAGGTTTACCGAACCAAACCCACATTTGCTGCACATCCAAGTAAATGATGACAACGAAGAAGATTTGTACAGCCATTTCAACGCTGCATGTGCCTTTACTGGTGAGAGTAACAGAACATTTCTTGCTTCATGATAATGTTCCTGTGCAAATTTGTGCAAAGAAGACTAACAAACAATCAAAAATGATCTTTAATCTTGAATAGGGTTGCTAACAGATTGTAGCCCAATGTCAGTTTTCTGTCTTATACTTCTCAGTGGTTTGGTTGATTGATTTGTCATTATTTCTGCAGGTTTCAGCTAGGCTGTCTATCCATATCTTCATTGGTCTTCCTCTGACCTTCCACTGAGATGTTCTGTTGTAAGAAGGTCTCATATACAGTTTAGTCTGTCTGCCTTCTTACCAGATGGCCAAACCACTTTATTCTCTGTCTTTCACTGTTATTTTCTTTCAAGACATCTTTATTACTTGTTTTATTTGTGAGGGGATTTTCCTACATCCTGTAGCAGCAGTTTTCAACCTGCGGGTCTTGATTCTTTTTTTGGGGGGGTCAAACGACCCTTTTGCATGGGTCACCTGAGGCCATTGGAAGACACATATGAAGTCATGAAGGAAAATAATTGTTTGTGGGTTGCCACAACATGAGAGAACTGTATTAATAGGTCACCACAACATGAGGGAACTGTATTAACAGGTCGCCACAACATGAGGGAACTGTATTAACAGGTCGCCACAACATGAGGGAACTGTATTAACGGGTCGCCACAACATGAGGGAACTGTATTAACGGGTCACCACAACATGAGGGAACTGTATTAACGGGTCACCACAACATGAGGGAACTGTATTAACAGGTCGCCACAACATGAGGAAACTGTATTAACAGGTCGCCACAACATGAGGGAACTGTATTAACGGGTCGCCACAACATGAGGGAACTGTATTAACGGGTCACCACAACATGAGGGAACTGTATTAACAGGTCACCACAACATGAGGGAACTGTATTAACAGGTCGCCACAACATGAGGGAACTGTATTAACAGGTCGCCACAACATGAGGGAACTGTATTAACGGGTCACCACAACATGAGGGAACTGTATTAACGGGTCACCACAACATGAGGGAACTGTATTAACAGGTCGCCACAACATGAGGAAACTGTATTAACAGGTCGCCACAACATGAGGGAACTGTATTAACGGGTCGCCACAACATGAGGGAACTGTATTAACGGGTCACCACAACATGAGGGAACTGTATTAACAGGTCACCACAACATGAGGGAACTGTATTAACAGGTCGCCACAACATGAGGGAACTGTATTAACAGGTCGCCACAACATGAGGGAACTGTATTAACGGGTCACCACAACATGAGGGAACTGTATTAACGGGTCACCACAACATGAGGGAACTGTATTAACAGGTCACCACAACATGAGGGAACTGTATTAACGGGTCACCACAACATGAGGGAGCTGTATTAACGGGTCGCCACAACATGAGGGAACTGTATTAACGGGTCGCCAAAACATGAGGGAACTGTATTAACGGGTCGCCACAACATGAGGGAACTGTATTAACGGGTTGCCACAACATGAGGGAACTGTATTAACGGGTCGCAACAACATGAGGGAACTGTATTAACGGGTCACCACAACATGAGGGAACTGTATTAACGGGTCACCACAACATGAGGGAACTGTATTAACAGGTCGCCACAACATGAGGGAACTGTATTAACGGGTCGCTATATTAGGAAGGTTGAGAGCCACTATCCAATAGGATTTGAGCATCAAAGACATTTGGCTCATAAACAAGATTCTGTCCTGAAAGCTGGGGTATTGCTTGAATCTCATGGTGGCCTGGAAGCTGAGGTATTGCTTGAATCTCATGGTGGCCTGGAAGCTGGGGTATTGCTTGAATGTCATGGTGGCCTGGAAGCTGGGGTATTGCTTGAATGTCATGGTGGCCTGGAAGCTGGGGTATTGCTTGAATCTCATGGTGGCCTGGAGTGAATGAGTTTCCAGAAAAGAGGCAGAGGAAGACCTCAAGAAAGGTAGGTACCAGACTTTGAAGATGTATTAGCTGTGAAGGCACATTGGGCTGAAGAATCAGCTATAGAAAGAGAGACTTTCAGGCGTGCTGTGATGAGAGCGATGTTCTGTACAGGGTGTGTTGATGAGGATATTCTCATCATTCATCTATAAAACCACATCTGCTCCACTTCCACGTAACTTTTCACCAATTGTCCAACCATTCATGAGGACCACTTTACAATTGCTTAGGGAAAGAAAGACAATTGAAGCCACAGTCATGCATTGGCTAGACACTTGCCTCTCAGCCCAAAGATCATATGTTTGAACTGAAAACAAACGCAGGTTTTAATCATGAAAAAAGATTTCCTCAGTAACCTGAACAGAACAGACCAAGTTTTTCGCTTACACGCTGGGCACTGTAGACTCAACAAACACTAGAATAGATTAGGCCAAACAGCTTCCTGCCAGTGTCTTTCAGCTGCGCAGACTACAGAACATGTCTTGCACGACTGTCCTCTCCTGGCAGAGTTGTGAAGTAACATGTGGCCACACGCAGTAGACCTGACAAGTAAGCTTTGGGGAAACCTAAGAGACCTTGAGCTGACGTCCCAGTTTATGGCCAAAAATTCATTATGCGCATGACCAGAGATAACTGAAGAAGAAGAACTGACACTAGCAGTGATTTTTATTATAGTTAATTTTAGTTCCAAGGTCAGCAAAGACTCAAATGGGACACCTGGTAACCTTGGAAGTAAAAGTGATCGCCAGGATTTTAACCACATCATCCATCAAGTCAAACTGGGTGTATGAGACACTGAGCTGGCTGCTGCATTGTAGGACAGAGCACAGATGGTTTTAGCTGATGTGCTAGGATATACAAATGGATAACATCAAATATTGATTGTTAAATAGTAAGGTAGCTTTGCAATGGATACCATCCCACTGTGGAGTTACTGGCAATGAAAGACCTGAAAAACAAGCTAAGAAGGTTGCAAATGTAGAAAAACCTGATGTACCAGTTTCTTACCATCAGAAGAAAAGAATAATCAAATCAATCAGAAAGCCACCAAAACAGGCACAAGACGATTACCATTTTATAGATAGACGAGCAAGTTATTATTCTACGCCTTAGAACAGGACACAGTCGACTTCGCAACCACAAGTACACAAAATTTAAAATTGTCAAATCAGCCAAGCACACATGTGTATTGGCACCTGAGACAACAGATCACATCCTCCTAGACTGTCCCAAACACAACATATCAAGGCAAAACTTGTGGCCAAGAGAAATGCCAGTTCAAGCCAAACTTTACGGGTTGCTGAGTGAATTACAACAGACATTGAAGTTCATACTAGAGACAACATTGCAGATATACGTCATCTGTTTCAAGTGAACGAAAGAAGAAGAAGATTGATAAATAAAATAGTTCTTTACTTTTTGTTTTGTTTTGTTAAAGAAGGAAGTCAGGGCTTTAGACTAAGATTGCTGAGATCTGTTGCAACCAGCCTTCATTGTGGACCTGACACCCAATTAACTGACTGATGACTAGCTTTGCATATAGTTCTTTGCATTGTACTGAGTGGCTAAACCCATTTCAGATTACCACTTTGATGAGCTTTTCGCCGTGCTTGTTTTTGACACTATAGGGATCAGCAGGGCCGTCACCGTGGTCATCGCAGTAATCATGTACACCAACAAATGGACACTCAGTGTAAGCATTAGGGACAACGGCTTGGGTCATATTTGGTGGCTTCTTCTTCTTCTTCTTCTTCTCCTCCTTCTTCTTCTTTTTCTCATTCTGCTCCTCCTCCTTCTTCTTCTTCATCCTCTCCACCTCCTTCTTCTTCTTCTCCTCCTCCTCCTCCTTCTTCTTCTTCTTCTTCGTCTTCTTCTTCTTCTTCTTCTTCTTCTTCTTCTTCTTCTTCTCCTCCTTCTTCTTCTTCTTCTTCTTCTCCTCCTTCTTCTTCTTCTCCTCCTCCTTCTTCTTCTTCTTCTTCTTCTTCTTCTTCTTCTTCTTCTTCTTCTTCTTCTTCTTCTTCTTCTTCTTCTTCTTCTTCTTCTTCTTCTTCTTCTTCTTCTTCTTCTTCTTCTTCTTCTTCTTCTTCTCCTCCTCCTTCTTCTTCTTCTTTTCCTCCTCCTCCTCCTCATCCTCCTTCTTCTTCTTCTCATCCTCCTTCTTCTGCTTCTCTTCCTCCTTCTTCTTTTTCTCATTCTGCTCCTCCTCCTTTTTCTTCTTCTCATTCTGCTCCTCCTCCTTCTTCTTCTTCTCCTTCTTCTTCTTCTTCTTCTCCTCCTCCTCCTTCTTCTTCTCATCCTCCTTTTTTGTCTTCTCATTCTGCTACTCCTCCTTCTTCTTCTTCATCTTCTCCACCTCCTTCTTCTTCTCATTCTGCTGCTCCTCCTTCTTTTTCTTCTTCTTCTTCTTCTTCTTCTTTTTCGTCTTCTTCTTCTTCTTCATCTTCTTCTTCATCTTCTTGTTCTGCTTCATCTTCTTCTTTCTCCTTTTCTTCTGCTTCTTCTTCTTTGATTTCTTCTACTTCTGTGTGGGAGATATTGTGTTCTTGTTCTTGAGTATTCTGGCTGCCTCGATTATACACAATTTTTTTTTTTTAATTTCACATTTGTAGAGTTTTTCTGTATGAGCATCAAGAAAAATCGGCTTGTAAACATCATATTGTCTTAGAAATGCAACTGTTTGGTGCTGTATCAAGAGCCATGGTCGATCGGAAGGAACAGTTGGGAGGAGGGAGAACAGTACCGGGTAAAGAGGCAGGAACCATCCCACACAAAGATGGGCAAAAGTTGTAAAGGGGGACACTTTGGGTAGGAAAGTGTACATGGTGGGAGAGCTGCTGGGAAGCCGAATTTCTTTCACACTGGCTGAAATGAGAGCCACGTTCTGTAAATGACCTGCTACATGAAGATAAGAATTTCTTAGATGTTATCTTTCTATCTAGTTCTTGGTCTAACTTTTGTTCTGCTAAATTCTCCTCATGCGGTATGTCCTGTGTGACAGGGCATCACAAGGCATTCTTCCATTGGTGAATTGCTTGGTTGATTATGAAAGGTCTGTGACTGTTTCAGTGTGTTAGTGTGTGCGTACTGACACCTTATAGTTTTACAAGCAATTTAGAGGTTTTTTGATGGAACTTCTCTTCCTCTTCTTATTTTGTCGTCTCACTGATACCAGGTTGTAACCTAGTGTCGTTGTTTTCTGTATTTGTTTTGCGCTTCTCGGGTGGCTTGAGTGATGGATTTGTTCGACTTTTTGCAGGTTTTAGCTACACCGTTTAATAAAACCAACCAATCAAATCTCTTTCTTAAATGTTAATTGTATTCTTAACACAACTTTATTGTCCAGTATGTTTATTATTGTTCTAGTGTTTGTTATTCAACCTGTGTTTGGTTAATATGAATTTATTTAACCACTGGGGTCATATCACTTGTTTGATACAAATTCTGTCTATTTTCTTTATTTGTTGGTCAGACTGTACAATAGACATGGTTAATGAAGCCACCTTTTTTTGGAGTTCTCTAGTTAGTCATGCACCTTAGTACACTTACTCTACAACAAGGTGCTATCCTCAGTTGAAGGTGATAGGTTCAGTTTCTAGCATGGTAATTTTAATTTGCGATGTTTATGTTGGCTGATATGTCCTGCAACCTTTCTACATCTTTCTATGCCAATCAATACATGCCTTTTTGTTTATTGTATATAAAGGTCTTATAAATGGGGCAGAATGCCACAATTTTGGTTTGGCTGGACCCACATTTTTACAAAGGGGAAAGTGAAGGGTGCTGTGCATGGCTGCTTTTTACTCCTCAGGACATTTCAATGCTGCCACCCATTTTAGGCTGTGTTTACCTGATAGCCATTTTATTAGCCACCGACAAACCCCAAAATCCCACTCTATCACCAGTCTATAAGTTTCTCTTGGGTCTCCTCATTTCTTAGCGTGATGCTGACCACATTACTCATCTTGTGCCAGTTGGTCTATAGAAATATAGGTCTAGCCCTATACACCTAAAGGTGTGGAAAAGGGACCTTTACTTACCTTTTTTTTTTTTACCCCCTTATTTGCTAAACCCCTCAGTGTCCCATTTTAGTGCGTGTCTGGTGACTCTCATAATTTTCTGTTGCAAATACATTTTTTACAGGGTGTGAGAGCTGGCCCCTGAGTCATGGGCTGGGGTGGAGAGGTAGGAGCGTCCTAGAGCAGTTCTTCTTATAGTTAGTGCTACTGCTACCCGTTTGGAGTGATGAAGAAGTGACTCGGGGCATAACTCAGGGTTAAAATTTGACATGTTGTCAGTCCTCCAATTCTAACCAATGAAGTAACAACCTCCTCTAGTGCCCCTATCTTACACTCTACTTTCAAGGTAATTAAAAAAAATGATGTAAGGGATGTAAAAGGGAAAAAAATTATTCAAAGGGATATAACTCCACTGAAAGTTTACTTATACTGACTGTCACAATAAATTAAAGAAGTGCACAATAACCTGGCTACCAGTGTTACTGTTAAATTAAACACTGTATCACCGGGTGTTTGTCACTCGTTGTGTGGTTCTGGATGGGTCAAACATCAGTCAGTCATTTTTATTACAGAAAAGAAAACTTCACCCCCTTTTGGGATGACATTTTTTGTTTTTTTTTTAAGCACCCACTCCTGCAGTCATCAGGGGCCCTACATATTTTCTGTCTGGTACTTGTGCCCATGATGGATCTTTGCATCACAGGGTGTTTGTCGCTCGTTGTGCAGACTTGGTGGGTTTGAAAGTCAATCATTCCATGTTTTCTTCTCTTCTGTGCAATATATTAAATATTTTTTATTAGTGATTAGTGATTCGTGATTAGAAAAGTATCATCACAGTACTCCGGACAGGTCCATAGGTGCTCCGATCTCCTCCTCAAAAGCTCCACAAGTGTAAAACGACTGATGACGCCTGTTCTTCTTCTTCCTTACTTAATAATGTTTTATGTTTTCAGGAAGCCTACAAGCATGTCAAGAAATGTTGTAGTGCAATGAGGCCAAATCGAGGCTTCGTAGAACAGCTGTCACAATGGGAGGAGGATATTTTAGGAAAGAAGAGAACAGATATTGCTGATCCTAATTTTTAAGACAAAGAAGTGAAGTTTCTAGCACCAATTATTCAAAATGAAAAGCAAAATAAATAATAAAATAAATATTATACAAATACATTTCGTATAATAGATTTAGATTTAAAAAAAAAAAACAATGCAATATATTGCGCATCTTTTTTTTTAATGGCTTATCTCATTATTTACATGCAGACCAAAAAGTTACAAGCTATAGCAAAGGATAGGATGATTTGTGGGTTAGCTGATGGCATATGTTCTAGTGAGGTATACAGAATTATCTGTCTCTCTCCCCCTCTCTCTCTCTTGCGCTCTCTCTCTCTCTCTCTCTCTCTCTCTCTCTCTCTCTCTCTCTGTGTGTGTGTTTTCTGTTTGTGCATTAATGTCTATGTATGTGTATGTGTTTTATGTTTGTGTATGTATGTAGATGTATGTGTGTACTATTACTATGTCTGTATATGAGTATGCATGTATGAGAGCGTAGGAGTATGTATACGTATGTGTGAGTGTGTACGATTGTGTACACATGATGTGTGTATGCATTATTCTATAATTTATATTTCTTTATTATATTCATAACATGCATTATTGATAACAGGCATTGGTACTCTGAAAAATGAGTGCTTAGAAGGGCCGAATGTCAGACCGGCCTGGGTGCCCAAATTGTAACCCTTTGAAAATAAAGTTTGTTTGTTCGTTCGTTCGTTCTCTCTCTCTCTCTCTCTCTCTCTCTCTCTCTCTCTCTCTCTCTCTCTCTCTCTCTCTCTCTCTCTCTCTCTCTGCTCACATTGGGTTAAAATGCAGTACTGGTTGCTACCATGTGTCTTGTTTGATATTTTCATATGTATAGTTAATAAACACATTTTCATCTGAATTCATGAGTTTTTATTTTATGTACGTATTTTTTTCCCCCTAGCAATCTAAGAAGTTGCCAAAGACTGAGGAAATAATAGTCTAAAGCCCTATGGGTGTGAAAAGCAAAGGAAATCTACATTATTATAACAAGGAAATTATCCTGGAAAGTGTCATGGCAGACTGAAAAGAATAACAGCAAAAGGTATAGAGGAAAGAGGGGCAGGGGTGGACTGAAAAGAATAACAGCAGAAGGTATAGAGGAAAGAGGGGCAGGGGTGGACTGAAAAGAATAACAGCAGAAGGTATAGAGGAAAGAGGGGCAGGGGTGGACTGAAAAGAATAACAGCAGAAGTTATAGAGGAAAGAGGGGCAGGGGTGGACTGAAAAGAATAACAGCAGAAGGTATAGAGGAAAGAGGGGCAGGGGTGGACTGAAAAGAATAACAGCAGAAGGTATAGAGGAAAGAGGGGCAGGGGTGGACCATCTTGAAGATGTCCACAGGATATAAGAGACACCTTGGGTTTAAATGGGCACTAGGCAGGAGAACTGTTACATTAGACCGTTTCTTTTGGACAGATGATGAGGAGAGCAACGTTCTCCAAGGACTGGCTACATAACAATGAATATTTTAATATTATCTACAGTGATGAAAAAAATATTAAAAATTACGGCCCAGTGAAAATAAAACAAAATGTTTGCTCACCATTAACAGCCTTAAAAACTGTCTTACAGTACTGAAATGTTGGTATGTCAATGTGTCTGTGTGTTTTTTAGTATGTGTATGTGAGTATCTCACTAAGGCCTTTGACTATGTCAGCAGAGATGGTCTATTCGCGATCCTTGAAAAATATGGATGCCCACCTAAACTAGTGAGCCTAATCAAATCCTTTCATGGGAATATGAAGGGGACCATAATATATGAGGATTCATCATTTCGACCCTTCCAGATTCGAAATGGAGTAAAGCAAGGATGTGTTCTGGCTCCCACGCTGTTTGGCATCTTTTTTACCGCATTATTGAGGCGTGCATTTGGGACAGAAACTGAGGGGATATACCTCCGTTCGAGGTCAGATGGCAATCTTTTTAATCTGTCCAGGCTACGTGCAAGGACGAAGGTGCACACGAGATGCCTCAGGGATTTTCTGTTTGCGGATGATGCAGCCATTGTGGCACATTCAGAGGATGATCTGCAGATCCTGATGAATCGCTTTGCAAATGCTTGCAAAGAATTTGGGCTTACCATAAGTCTGAAGAAAACACAAGTGATGGGATTGAATGTTGGAAATCCATCAAACATTAGTGTGTATGACCATCAGCTGCTGGCTGTAAATGAGTTTGAGTACCTAGGCTCACGTATCTCAGGCAATCATTCTCTGGATGCAGAACTAAACAAACGTATAGGAAAGGCCTCTGCTATGTTTGCAAATCTCACAAAGAGAGTCTGGTCAAACAAAAAGCTAACCGATAATACAAAAATGAAAGTTTATGAGTCTTGTGTCCTGAGCACATTACTGTACGGCTGCGAATCCTGGACTCTCTATGCTCCACAGGAAAAAAAGACTGAATACCTTCCATATGCGCTGTCTGAGACGCATCCTAGGTATATTATGGCGAGACCTTGTCTCCAACGAATGTGTGCTCACAAGAGCAAAAGTACCATCAATGTATTGTATACTGAAGCAAAGACGACTGCGCTGGCTGGGACATGTCTCCCGCATGGAGGATGGTCGTATTCCAAAAGATCTCCTATATGGTGAATTGGTAACTGGAAATAGACCCACAGGAAGGCCAAAGCTGCGCTATAAAGATGTATGCAAACGTGACCTAATAGATACCTACATAGGCACAGAGACATGAGAAAAATCAGCTGCAGGTCGACTACTATGGAGACAGAAAGTGAAAGACGGACTGTCACATTTTGAAAGAAACCGAACACAACGAGCTGTGGAGAGGAGACACCGGAGAGTAAAACTGTCTCACAACGAGGGAGTATCTGCTTTTGTGTGTATCCTGTGTGGCAAAGGCTGCCATTCCCGCATCGGACTTTACAGTCACAGCAGATGCTGTTCCCAAAGCCAGCGGCACATCTCCATAGTCCCACGGGACTGGCGGATGCCATTAGTATGTGAGTGCATATGTATGTATATCTATGCATGTGATAAGCACATGTATGTGTCGGTGCGTGTATGTGTGTGTCGTCAAGTGTGTGTGTAATATGGAGGTCATGGCTGGAATTAAAGCAGTAACATAGCTAGAGACACAGACTTTCACTGGGGCATGCTTTCTCAGTGACTCAATGAGTATGCTCAGGAAGATAGAGAAGGGCTATGTCCGAAGGCAGTGGTTGGTGGCTCTGCAGAATTCATGGCTGACAAGGATTAGTTTCATTTTCGTGCCAGGATATGTGGGTGTACAAGGAAACGAGCAAGCTGATAGGCTTGCAGGTAAGGCTACTGTGAAAGCCAGACAAGCCATGGACCAGGCTGATATACTGAATGCGCTAAGAGAGTTAAGATGTTTGCGTGAAAAAACTGAGAACTGTTAATCTGCAACCATGGTCAGACTGCAAGAACAACATATCAAACAGTGTGTCGCCAAATAAGAACACTACACGGGTAGTCAAAGAAGAAGAATAAACCAACACAGAACTGGTGTCGTTAGCCGCTACTAGCTGCAGGATTTACTGAGGAGGGGATCCGAGCACTTATGGACTGAGCGGTTCGACGTGCAATGAGGATAATCTGTCGACTAACTAGCTGTTTGTATCTAACAGTGTGTGTGCCCATGCATGTGCATGCACGTGTGTGTGGGTGTGGGTGTGTGTGTGTGTGTGTGTGTGTGTGTGTGGGTGAGAGAGGAAGAGGCAAGAAGAAAAAAAAGATGATGGTGGTTCAGGCTTACTGTCTGTAGGATTACCACCTCATGGATGAGAATCCAACAAAAGCAACTCTCAAAAAGCCCACCTCAACACTGTTCATGGGGTAGGGAAGGGGCTCAATCCTCATTTAACTGCACAGTAATAATACTCATTCTTGTTCTTGTTCATGTTCACTGATTGTAAACTCTAGCAGAAAGTTCTTGTTGTTCATCCATCTCTGGACAGTGATATTTATTTATACGGAGCAATCGGCAACCTGGTGCATTATTAATACTCTACCCCAATTAGGGGAAATCCCCAGGTCACCGGACTGTCTAATATTTCAGGGGGTGGTAGATAGGCTGCATGCAGTCGTGGGACCTAGGCTGCACTTTCTCGTGGGACGTAGGTGGATTGTAGTTAGGGGCAGATCTAGATGTTTTAGGGTCGTTACAAGCACCAGAAAGCCGGGAAACCTGGTCTTACCACCCTCTAAAATGTTGGGCTGTCCTGTGACGTCACCTGTGGGTAGGATGTTAATAAAGAACCGGTACTCATTCTGTAACAAAAGTCAGTGAACGCCTATAGGACCACGAGGAGAATCATTCATGCAAAGGACTGTAGGTTTCACCTGGCTTGTGTAACCGCTATGGGTGCCCTAACTGTAATTTCTTTTTCGAGGTTGAACAGAGTATATGGGATCTACCTTGTTGGTCTGCCATCTTTATATTCTGTTCTGAAACACCCCCGGTTTCGAGCCAACTACCACCTCAAAGCTCCGTCAACACACATTGTTCCTTTTCAGGACAACTAGCACCGTCACAATCTATTGTTAGCAGCCAGTTTTTTTTTTTTTTTTGCTAAAAAGAGGAGAATTGATTGCTCGAATGTGCCAAGAGATTTGAAAGTGAGGTCGGAAGAGTGAGACCGACAGATCGCGTGTTAGGATGAGAGAGATGGGTTCCCTGTGCTTGTACTTCCGGTGGGTTGAGTTTCCGTGCGATGCCTGTCCCTCGCGTATCTTGGTCTTGGTTTAGTAGCCCGTCGTGTGGTCCTGGGCAGTAGCAGGTATCGTTCCCTGATCCCACGTCTGTCGACAAGGCACTTGATGATAACAGTGAGAAAGAGATTTCAAAAACTAGGATTTGATGAAACGCACCATAGAAGTGTGGTGACCTTCCAGTGAAACTTCTTCAGTTCGCATTCTGATTTCTTGTAGTTTATTATTGTTGCTATTTGCTGTCGTCGTTTAGGTGAGGATACTATGGCTGGCAGTCGCAGGGAGGCTGTTGGATCATTACTCTCACGGTAATAACAATTAACATTAATTTACTGGCTTGTGCAACAGATAATACTATCTAAGATAGAATTTTAGGCTCTCCTTTGAACTTACCCCCAAAATGGCGGCCATAACACATTCTGGCCATAAAATGTCCAAAAATATCCGAACGGTGTTCACGTATATGTATATCTAAAATACGGACTTTCTGCCAAGGAACAGATCGCGGCAAAACTATGATTACTTGACAATCAATATCAACATTGTACACGGTAGTAGCAGACGATAAATACCGACCGTTGACAATTTCGAGCGTTTCTGCAGACGATATTAGCGACTGTTGACAATTTCTAGACATTACAGACGATGAAAGCCGATTAGCAATACTGTGTTCTTCTGATTAGAGGATTTAGCAGCGGTAGATGTCAGACTTGTCGGCATGCGCAATACACGATTAAACCCATCGCTGCGTGTATCCCCCGTGCCGCTACGCGCGGCGTGGATGGGGAGCTAAACTAGGTGCTTGGGACTCACGAGTAAAGTAATCGGAGTTGCAGGAGATGCGGTAGCTGCTGCTCGTGAGTCCCAGCCATCTAGTTTAGTCCCCATCCGCGCTGCGCGTAGCGGCGCGAGAGATACAGTCGGCGGTGAGGGCAGACTCTCAGAAGCAGGTCCGCAAGTAATGTATCGTCGAGGCCCTGTTAGAGCATTTGTTTCGTTATACGGAGCCGGCACATATATTTTTAATAGAGCTGAGCCCCATTCGGATTTTTGGGGATTTTTTATGGCCAGAAATTGGCCAATTTAGCTCTCTTTCGGACGGCATCATAATATGGCCGCCATTTTAGGGGTAAGTTCAAAGGAGAGCCGAATTTTAGATGCAGACCAGACAGTCAGCTCCAGCCAGCTAATCTCAGATTAGAACAGCAGAGAACACTTGACTTCGACTTGGAATCAGCTTTGAAACTTTGACATGTCACTTATATCCTGTAACTCATATTCACGCTGGTAGGCCTCTGCCCCTTCCTGGCACTATACCTTGCCTTCTGCTGTTACAGCATACTGCTAATCTGTCCAATCCACTGTGGCGCTTGCTATGGCAAACAATATGTCAGTTTCCAAGACATAATAATAGTAGTAGTAGTACACTACAGTCTACACTGTTAATATTGGATCCAGTGTCTCCATTTGTAGCATTTACAATTAACTTAACTTGATGTGCCGTTGGATTAGATCAAGAAGTATTTACTACATTAAGACCTGTTTCATGTAATCAGTAAAAATGGCAGTTGATAGCAGTGTTATGAACACTAAAATAATAATTAAAAAGAAAAAACACACATACAACTTACTCTTAAAACAAGTTATCTTTTTAAAGTCTTAATTATAGTGAATAGTTTATTTTTGTCTCTGTTTGACACAACCATTATTATCAAGTGCCTTGCCAGCTGGCGAAGGCATTCATGCCTTGCCACAGATCTCGGTCTCGTGTTCTGGATCAATTCTACTGATGATATTCTTCCATGCCACTGTCGTAAGCCATCTCTATCATTTCCCTTGGTCTGCCTCTGCCTCTTCTACAAATGATCTTTCCAGTCGTCACAATATTTTCCAGTGCTCGTTTTCTCATTACATAACCAAAGAACTTTGTCTCCTCATTGTTGTATATAATGTTCTACTTTCATTAGCTATTTTGACTATTGAAACCATATATAAGTTAATTTATATATCCTTAAGTTACAGATCATAACAGGCAAGTCCCAGCGTTAGTTGGTAGTATTTTTCACGCTCTTTTTTTTTTCTTATATAATTATTCATATTAATATTACGAGAGACCCCAGTTTGGTAAATGGTTGATCGGCAGTCTCAGAAAGATGTTCCTATCCTTTTGTTCACTGAAATGAGACATTATTTTATTATTAAAGATAAAGCCCATTTGTCACTTTCTCCAATCTAAGTGTCTCTTATTTTCTAAAGGTTGTTCTGACTGATCAGTATGAAAACGGTTTAAAGAGTCGCTGATATATCAGAAGCTATTTATATTATGATCACCACTTGTCCTCTTCTTCTTCTCTGGGTTTACCAGGTGCAAACTCTGTGAAATGTTCTGGTTGTTCATCCCCCTCTGGTCCTGTTACAGAATGCGAGTATAGCTTGTACATCCATTTTACAGATCTGATTTATTTGTAAGTAAATTGTTGGTTTCTTGCCTCTTAGGCCGTTGCATTCTGACTTCAAAGGAAGGCTCCAATTAGTCGACTTTTACGACATGCTGGTTGGGAAGGCGGTAGGCCTATCTTTGTTTTCTCTCACAATTTGGTCCAAGAACAACACGGTGAACATTTGTTAATACCTACCTACCTACCTTTATTTTTATAAAAAATAATAATTATATGCCATGCCAGTAAGCATAGGCTGTTGTTTTGCCATGTCACATGATTATTAGAATCATATCATAGATCAGGTGTTCTTGTCTCTCCCCATCTATATGGCCAAGCCATCCTGGCTATCTCTTCTCCTTTCCCTTGTTCTTTTCCCATCAGTCTTGCCTGTCGTCACCAAGTTCTCCAGTACCTTTGGCTGTTTTTGTGTGTTAAAGTTAGTTGCATATCCTTTACAGTTTACAGGATATTGCAGAACTAACCCCAGCATTTTTTCTCTGTTGTGGTTTTTCTAGGCAAATGTTACGTTCAGTAGTTTGTCATTGCTTCAGAACTGTCAGCACTTGGTACCACTGTCGAAACAAACGCAAGACAAACCGCCCGCAGATGGGATCGGACCCGGCACCCTAGCATTACGAAGTGCATTTGCACCACCTAAGCCACAGCTCCGTTTGTGTGTTTGTACACTAAAATCTTCTGTTTTTTTCTTTCTTCCCCAGGATGATAGGTCTTTTAAAATCTGGAGCAGTGAAACAAGAAGATCGGCCAATTTGGTATGATATAGTTAAAGCATTGCCACCGAAGCCACTTCCTCCTCAAAATGAAGTACCAAAAATAGTTTACCCAGAGGACTTTGTGAGAGTGTAAGTCCTAATTTTGTTTAGTGTCGTCTTGTGTAAGAAAGAATCCTTAGAATTCCTTGGATAAAAAAAGAAAAAACAAAAAAAAGCAGCCCTGATGTTTTGAAAGAGACAAGGGATAAAAAACAACCTATCACAAACTTCAGAAGGAGACAGTTGTCACATTTTTGTCATATTACGAGAAGAAGGAAACAGGAACATGTGACCACTGGAAAGGTTTGTGCAAAAAGAGAGAGAAAGAAAGCCTGGGAGGATTCTTGACAGCATTTGTCATGGCATGGAGGTGTGCCAGCACATGAACTGATACATGCTGTTGAAGATGACAAATTGTGGAGGGACATGGTCAACCACACCTGTCGGTAAGGCACATGGTGATAGCAATGGGTTCTAGTATAACCTGACAGTATTTAACCCTATCAACAACTCAGTATTGCATTGCTGGCCAGAAACAGGCAGCACGACAAAAGTATGCTCCTCTTTTCCGCTTCTTTTTTTTTTAACCAACCACAGATGACGTCACGGGACAGTCCAGTATTTTAGAGGATGGTAAGAATGGGTTTTCTTTTGCTTTAGCTCATTTCTTCCATGGCCTAGGCTTTCGTGCATTTACCTTACCCTTACCTGATCCAAATAGACCTATACGCTAAATCTATCAACCCATAAAGTATTTGACTGTCCCGTGGCGTCTGGATTTCCACTGTTTCTGGTCAGCTAATAAGAAAGTACCTCTTTTCCTCCAGTTATCTCAGTAAGTTTTGGGGTGGGATTCAGGACCTTTTGTGTGCCGTGTAAGTTGCTCTTCACTTCTGTAAGATTGTTCCATCATTTACTTGGCCTTGCAGATATGCTCTGTGTTTGTCACCGGGTATTATCCTTAGGTGGCCAAACTGACTTATGTATTGTTCTTTGAGCCTTATATTTGTCTAATTTCTTTCTTTAAAAAAAACCCCATCTCTATTTTTGACACTAAGAATAAAACAGTCACGGATAAGCAACAGAGATTTTTTAAACCTTTCTGCCCCAAATAAATCAACACATATGACTGCCCATTCTTCATGTATCGGAATCAAAATCTCTCGAGTGATTGCCCACATTTGATGTGTACAGTGCTTCAGGTATCACTGTTTCTTACATTAGGTTTTCTTACCTTGAGGTGTTGGTAGTCATATCTATCCACAACCTTCGGTCTCTTGTAAATAGAATAACTTCTGACATAGAAGATCTTCCCTGCCACAGTATCTAACTGTCCAGCATCTTCTTCTCTCAGTCATCCTCTGCTTCTTTTCCTTTCTAACTTTCCTACCGTCACGATGAACTCTAGTTTTGTCCATCACATGACGTGACTAAAGAATGTAGATGTGGGTAATCATTTCTCTTCTTGTGTTTCTCCTCGTGTGGTTTCCGGGGCCCTATTGTGGGGGGGGGGGGGGGGGGGGTAGACCTGCTGCCTCCTCAATAAGCATATCGTAGGAGTCAACTGATTAGAGTACATCTGCTTGAGCAGCAAGAAACAACCAACTGCAGACAAATAAGCCAGTAAAATGGATGTGCACGCAAACATCAGGCCCTGGCACAAAGCCAGAGTACAAAAGGATGAACAGCCAGGACTTTTGGCCAGAGCTTACAGTCACGGGACAAAGAAGAAAAAGAAGATACTTTTGAAGACATCTTTATATTTTTTTCAAAGTTGGACTTTGAGGAAGTATTACAATTGTTGTTATGTCTGTTCAGTTTTCTATTTCTTTTTTTTTTTTCCTCCTGAAATAAATGTCTGTATCTGCAATTTTGTCTCATATAAATTTTACTGTGTTTTTAGATTATTCAGTGATCCCTAAAGTTGACTTTCTACTGTTGTTGTTTTTGACCAAAAGGATGGCCCTAAAGTGTCATGTTCTGGGCAGTGTTAGAGTACCTATACTGATGTCTGGGCCTCTCCTCTTCTGATGTGTGCTTTATATGATAAGGCATCACAAAGCATTCTAAGCGCAACTGATTTAATTTTATGAGAATAACTGGTCTTCTTTTTTTTTCTGTCACAGACATTTCCACAGGACATTTGTTGAAACCTCACCCGTACGGCTGACCGATGACAAGACTAAATCAGTCTCCCAGAGGTATGTTTGAGGTTTTTTGTTTAAAACAAAACTTTTATTTTTATGCAGTTGAGTCTAAGACACTTGCCACATATTTTATAGACTTGATGGGCGCGGTGTTCAACAGTTTGCTGGATGCCTTTACTTCTCAACAAAATCATAGCTTATACTGGTCGATACTTATCTACACTCTCTGTGGTTGCCATAGAAACAGGTTCTCAGCCAGGGGGGCCTGGCCAACGTAGATAAGATCAACATTTCTGTTGAAGTGCATCTGCCTGAGAGGTGAGGAACTAACAGTCTGCACACAAACAAGCCAGATCTGTAAAATCAGTATCCATGCAGTACTCAAGCCCTGGGACATTACGAAACTCCAGAAGTGGATGAATAACCTCCCTGTTTGTGTACTGGTGCCCCGTTTTGAAGGAAAAAAGGGAATAGACCTACTGCCTCTCTATTAGGCTTGTTATGAAAGGCAAATATTAGGCATTCTTCCTACAGAGTCAGAATGCATGTGTCTGAGAGGCAGGGAACCAACAGTCTGCATACAAATAAGCAGATCTGTGAAATGGATGTGCACGCAAAATTTAGGTTCTTGAACGAAACTAATTTGTGCCGTAGTTTACAGCCGGGAATCATTAAGAAAATGAAGATGATGAATAACCCAGGACTGTCGGCCAGAGTTTAAAGCCAGTGGAAGCAAAGATGTTCACTTTCTCTAGGTAAAAGGTGACACTATAGTGAAAGGGGCTATGGAGTTCCAACCAGTATGATCACCACCAGAAAGGAAAATAAACTACCTTTGAGATGCTAAGGTAAATCATGATTCAATACCTTTTGTCATCTTAAAGGCTCCCTGTGTGGATTCCCGGGCCCCATTTTCTTGGGGAGGGAAGAAAAAGGGGGAGGGGTAGACCCAATGCTTCTTACTGGCATACAAATTAAGGATTTGCTGAAATTAGATGTGTTTGCAACCAAAAGGAACAGGTATCACAGCCTAATAAATTTTAAAAATACAGTAACTATATTTAATGTCTGTATTTACTACTTGTTGTAGAGGGTAGTAGTAATGTCTGTATTTACTACTTGTTGTAGGGGGTAGTAGTAATGTCTGTATTTACTACTTGTTGTAGAGGGTAGTAGTAATGTCTGTATTTACTACTTGTTGTAGAGGGTAGTAGTAATGTCTGTATTTACTACTTGTTGTAGAGGGTAGTATTATTGTCTGTATTTACTACTTGTTGTAGAGGGTAGTATTAATATCTGTATTTACTACTTGTTGTAGGGGGTAGTAGTAATGTCTGTATTTACTACTTGTTGTAGGGGGTAGTAGTAATGTCTGTATTTACTACTTGTTGTAGAGGGTAGTAGTAATGTCTGTATTTACTACTTGTTGTAGAGGGTAGTAGTAATGTCTGTATTTACTACTTGTAGTAGTAATGTCTGTATTTACTACTTGTTGTAGAGGGTAGTAGTAATGTCTGTATTTACTACTTGTTGTAGAGGGTAGTAGTAATGTCTGTATTTACTACTTGTTGTAGAGGGTAGTATTATTGTCTGTATTTACTACTTGTTGTAGAGGGTAGTAGTAATGTCTGTATTTACTACTTGTTGTAGAGGGTAGTAGTAATGTCTGTATTTACTACTTGTTGTAGGGGGTAGTATTATTGTCTGTATTTACTACTTGTAGTAGAGGGCTGTCGGCGTCTGTGGCTTAGGCTTTGCGAACGCGCTTCGTAATGTCGGGGTGCTGGGTTCGATACCAGCTGCGGACGATTTGTCTTGCCTTGGTTTCGACAGTGATAGCGTTCAGAAAACAGTGGCAAACTACTGAACGTAAAATTTGCCTAGAAAAACCACAACAGCCAAAAAATGCTGGGGTTGGTTCTACAACGTCCTGTAAAGGATATGCAGCTAACTAATAGTAGAGGGCTGGGGGTCGTGAACCTGATGATTTAAGGTTGTATGGCAGGTTAGAATTTTTATTTTGCATTCGGCAGACAAAATATTATCGCTTACTGAGGGTCAAATCCTCACACATGAGAGCCTAAACATTCGGCCAGCCACTCCTTCTAAAAGATTAATAGATCTAATTCCGAGTTATCAAGATCTGTAGAAAAACATGATTGCATATTGTAGGGCACTTGATGGTGATAATTAGTTTTTGCACTACTCATTTTCATTAATTATATGTTGGATTGTCCAGATGTTACCACTCAGAGAAGAAATCTGGCCCACCAGAGTGTACCCACAGGACAGACTATGGGGCACCTCAGGCACACCCCCCTGTTTGATGACCTATATTAGAATAGATGTAAACGTTGCTCGCTCAAATAAAGGAACAAGAAAAAAATCAGGCACGTGGTGAGACATGATTCGATTGCAAAGGCTGTACTTCAAAAGGAACAGTGGGGGGGGGGGGGGGGGGGTTATTCAAAGAGATGGAGGGCAAAGAAAATCTGGAATGACAACACCAAAAAATGAACAGGACTAAGTTATCATACACTTGTTCAACAATCTGAAGACAGAGAAAGATGGTAGGTTTTTTATATTGGTGATTCCATCGATACACCTCTCTGACAGGTCAAGGGTTATGTTATGTTTCGTGATATGGATTTGTTTATATCTGTTGCTTTCAGATTTGTGGACACATATCTTGACCTTCTTTCTAAGAAAGTAGTTCCCCCTGCAGAAATCTTTGATAAAACAGTTGAACTTTTGAAGACAGAAGGAATCAAGTTACAGACAGTTCAAGAAAAGCAGGAACGAGATCTTGTAAGTACAACATTCACAAGATTACAACATTAACAAGATTACAACATTCATGAGATTCTCAGTGTTATTAGTAAAGTAAAAAAGTAAAGGAGCTTTTCCCCTCCACCTTCAGGTGTATTGGGCACATAGGGCTAAACCTTTATTTTATAGATCAATCAGCACTTGGTGGGTGATGTGTCAGCATCACGCTGGCTGCCTTTCTATCTCGGGACATTGACTGGTACCCATTAAAGGCTGGGTTGACCTGGGAGCAAAGGGAATTTTTGAAGAAAAAACAAAAAACAGACAAAATTTAAAATTGATGAGGATTCAAACAAAAGATGTGCCTGCATGCAAAACTCAGGTTCTGGAACAAGAGTCCAGAAGTAGCGGCAGGACTGGTGTACTCAGCATTTTCTTCTTCTTCTTTGGGTTTACCGGCTGTAAACTCCGGCAGAAAGTTCTGGCTGTTCTTCCACTTCCGGACTTTAGTCTTCTTCAGACTGGACAAATGATGCTTGGTTATTTTATTGCTCGTCTAAATTAGGTAAGAGCCAAATATCTCTCTGCCAGTGTCTTTGAGCTGAACAGACTCCAGAACATGTCCTGCAAGATTATCCTCTCTTGGAGGAGCTGCGAAACAACATGTGGCCACACCTAGTAGACTTGACAACTAAGCTTTAGGGGAACTTAACAGTTTATGGCCCACAATGGATTAAACACATGACCAGAGATCACCGACGAATAAGAAGATTAATTTATCTTCACATAGAAAGAGTTTATTTCTTCGCATTCACCAACTGTAAACTCTGGCGGAAAGTTCTGGTTGTTCATCCACTTCTGGACTGCAGTCCTGTTCCAGAACCTGAGTGTTGTGTGTGCATCCATTTTACAGATCTGACTCATTTGTATGCAGACTGCTGGTTCCTTGACTCTCAGGCAGATGCACTCTGACTTCAAAGGAATCTCCCAATTAGTCGACTCTTATGACATGCTTTTGGGTAGACAGTGGGTCTATTCTTGTTTTCCCTATAATAGGGCCCTGAACCCACACAGGCATAAAGAGTTAACTCATGATTAATTATCCTTGTTTTGACAGGCAAGAAGGCAGTCTATCGCCACAAGCCCAGAGAAATACACTCAGCCTGAAGATGACTTCACAAGCTCTGTCAGCAGAATGGAACCACCTCCTGAGAGAAGCAGCCCTCCCAAATTCCGAACTCCACATGTCAAAGTCGATTTAGACTCTTTGTATAGTGATGATAAAAAATAATTGTCAGTGACTAATTTGTGTGTTGATTGATCAGCTAGCATTCTGTACTGGTGTTGTGTTCCCTCCTGCATGATCATTTAATTTACTAGTGTTGTGTTCCTTTCTCTTGTTCATTTATATAACTAGTATTGTGTTCCTTTCTTTTTGTTTTTTCCCCTGGTGTTCTGTTCCTTTCTGTTTGTTCATTTATTTAACTTGAAACAAATGGAAGTATGTGAGACAGAAGATCCTGGCCAGACATCCTAACGGCACAGATTAAGGGACTGTAAGGCCACTGCCAAAGTGAAATTAAAAAGAGAAAAATAAAGGCCTCCAAACAGGTATTTCGCCTCTAGGCTTTGGTGAAATCTGGTTTCAGAAAATGCTGATATTTGATTTACAGTTATGCATATCTCGATGTAAATGAAGAACTGAGGAGGAAAACAATAAATTCAGCACTGGCAAATGTTATCAAAGAATGGATGTTGAATTTAAGAATCAACATCATAGCACTCAGGTCACTCCCATAAGCGCTTTCTCCCCATTTTCAGCAGCAAGCAAAGAGCTCCAGTTCCGATAGCACCAGTAACTGTCTATGACTGTTTAACCGCCTCGCCCTTCTCTTGAGTGCAGAGCCTAATGACTGTTTAACCGCCTCACCCTTCTCTTGAGTGCTGAGCCTAGGCTAGATTCATGGTAACTCCTCACAGCGTAATTCACCTCAGACCATAATGACCTGTCTGTGTCTCTGCACGGTTAACTCGCTCCCAAAGGGCCGTCACAATATCTAACTCGTCATACATGAATTCACCACCAAGTAGTGCAGAACTGGCCAGTTTATCTGCCTGTTCATTTCCCAATACATCGACATTCATTAAAGAAAGTGGGTATTACGGACATGCAGAGACCTCTTGACACGGGCAAGTACAGACAGCTCTCTGACCGATATCAGGTGGAAGAAATAACAGGAAATTACTGACCAAAGAAAACCTGGAGGACAAGAGAATGGGAAATTAAGGAATGTAAAATGATATGGGGTATCGTAGGTAGAAAAGCAACAGATTGGCAGCAATAGAAATAACTTGTGAATGTCCTTATGTATCAACACTAACCTGAAGGATATATAAAAAACATATATAATAACCGGATGTGGTGCATGGCTTTGGAAAAAAAGAGGATGATGAGAAACTAGTCTTCTATCATGATACTGTAAGATTTTTTTATTTGTCCGCAGTAAAATGTCACAAGATAAAATGAAACAAATAAAGTCATGCTGAGGATTATGGAGTTTGCCATATATTTCAAACTGTTATTTGCAAGGTGAAAAATAATTATATATTACACTGCACGATGCAGGTAAACTCTTGTATTTTATACGGCACCAATCAGCTACATTCTTAATTCTTATACTGCACCAGTCAGGTAAACTCTTATACTGCATCAGTCAGGTAAACTCTTATACTGCACCAGTCAGGTAAACTCTTATACTGCATCAGTCAGAAAGTAGTCTTCTCAGTCAGGTAAACTCTTATATTGCATCATCAGGATACTGTAAGATATTTCAGGTAAATTTGTCCGCAGTAAAATGTCACAAGATTAAAGTCAGGTGATATTGCAAGGTAAAGTCATGTGAGGATTATGGAGCTTGCTTATACTGCACCAGTCAGGTAAACTCTTATATTGCATCAGTCAGGTAAACTCTTATATTGCATCAGTCAGGTAAACTCTTATACTGCATCAGTCAGGTAAACTCTTATATTGCACCAGTCAGGTAAACTCTTATATTGCACCATATTACAGTCTTGCACGATGCAGGTAAACTCTTGTATTTTATACGGCACCAATCAGCTACATTCTTATTTCTTATACTGCACCAGTCAGGTAAACTCTTATACTGCATCAGTCAGGTAAACTCTTATATTGCATCAGTCAGGTACAGTCTTATACTGCATCAGTCAGGTACAGTCTTATACTGCATCAGTCAGGTAAACTCTTATATTGCACCAGTCAGGTGTAATCTTATTTATTATTACTGCACCAATTAGGAACATTCTTTCTTATTTTACTGCACCAGTCAGGTAAATTTGTGCTTTTCCTGCTTCACCAAACACATACATTCACATTTACCACACTGCACGAATCAATGACATTCTTGTAAATCATACTGCACTTATTCGAAATATTTATATGCAGCACCAGTCTGGAATTCCTCCCCTCCCCCCCCTTCCCATAACAAACTGCTCTTGCACAGCATAAATATTAGTACATAACATAGAGTAATTGCTTTAAATAAGAAACAGAGTACCGATGGTAAGTTCAGTTCAACCAGTGTGCTACTGACGACATCATGAGTGCCGATTGTTGAATTAAGAATTGACATCACAGCACTCGGGACACTCCAATAAGTGCTCAGTCCCCCATCTTCAGCAGCAAGCGAAGAGTTCCAATTCCGATGGTACCAGTAACTGTAAAGCCGTCTCATCCTTCCTCTGAGTGTCGAGCATCGGCCACATCCCCTGGTAACTCCTCGCAGCACCTTCTCCTTAGACCGCAGTGATCTATCTGCCCTCACTCCCAAAGGGCCCTCACAAATCTAACTTGTCATACATCAATGCGCCACCAAGGGATGCAGAGCCAGCCAGTCTATCTGCCCGCTCATTTATCATGAGTGCCAATTAAGTATGTTCCACTTTGAAATGAGATAATTCATTGATTGTCCTGATGTGCCATTATATGTCAAATTTGGTTCAGTCTATTTCTCCATTCTGTTCTGTCCTGTTCAATACAATGGATGGAATCCAGTCAAGCATCTTTGGCTTCTCTTATCAACATCCACTTTAAGTTTTTTCTTGGATATCCTCGTTCCTCCTGTTTCAGAGCCTGTTTAGTGATTCCCTGCTTGTCTTCTCAAAATGTGGCACCATCTTCTCTGTCTTACAACTGCCGATACCAGTGGTTGCCCAGACATTACATCTCATGAATTCATCGTATGAGATCATTACTACGTTCAAATCATTCTTGGCACTCTTCTGGTAATTTCCCTGCGCACACTCCCTGACCACTCTGCTCTGTTTATAGATAATTTATTTGTGGATATTCCCCAACCATTCTGTTTTTAATTTATATGTAGATATTCCCTGATCACTCTGTTTAATTTATCAGTACATAATCTGATTATAATACTTCTTTAGATAATCCTTGACCACTATGCTTATAATTTATCTGTACATAATCCCTAACCATTCCGTTTATAATTTATTTGTACATAATCACTGACCTTTCTGTTTATAATTTATCTGTACATTTTCCCTGACCACTCTGTTTATAATCCATGAGCACACATACACACTAGGAGCCCAAAAATCCACATCTAAGTAAAGGATCTTTATTTTTTGGACGCCTGCACCACATTAGATTTGTGAAGCTAGACTGGTATTTATAGACCAATCAGTACTTGTTTCCCCCCCGTGTGGGTTATTTCTTTAGAGACTGTCTCTGTCTGAGAGTTGGGGGGGGGGGGGGGGGATGACCAAGTACTTCCCATCATAAGCGTGGCGGATAAAACTAATTAGGGGTATTTCCTTTGAAGTCAAGACTGTCTCTGTCTGAGAGTTGAGGTACCAAAAGTCTGCATACAAATAAGCTGAACAAACCAGGGTGTGCTGCGAGAAACAACCAAGAAGTGCTGACAGAACTGCGAGAACTTACGTGAACAACCAGGACGTGCTGCGAGAACTTGGTAGAGGTGAACTAACCACGGATGTGCTACGAGTGCAGGATGTTGCGAGAACTTACAGCTGGTGAACAACCAGGACGTGCTGCGAGAACTTACAGCTGGTGAACAACCAGGACCAGATGTGCTACGAGAACTTACAGCTGGTGAACAACCAGGACTGCAGAGAACTTACAGCTGGTGAACAACCAGGACGTGCTGCGAGAACTTACTGCGAGAACTTACAGTTGGTGAACAACCAGGACGTGCTGCGAGAACTTAAGCTGGTGAACAACCAGGACAGCTGGTGAACAACCAGGACAGTGGTGAACAACCAGACGTGCTGCGAGAACAGCTGGTTGGTGAACAACCAGGACGTGCTGGGCTGCGAGAACTTACAGCTGGTGAACAACCAGGACGTGCTGCGAGAACTTACAGTTGGTGAACAACCAGGACGTGCTGCGAGAACTTACAGCTGGTGAACAACCCAGGTGCTTACAGTTGGTGCAGGACGTGCTGAGAGAACTTACAGCTGGTGAACAACAGCTGCGAGAACTTACAGTGGTGAACAACCAGGAACGTGCAACCAGGACGTGCTGCGAGAACTTACAGCTGGTGAACAACCAGGACGTGCTGCGAGAACTTACAGCTGGTGAACAACCAGGACGCTACGAGAACTGCTGTGTGAACAACTTACAGTTGGTGGAACTTACAGCTGGTGAACAACCAGGACGTGCTGCGAGAACTTACAGCTGGTGAACAACCAGGACGTGCTGAGAGAACTTACAGCTGGTGAACAACCAGGACGTGCTGCGAGAACTTACAGCTGGTGAACAACCAGGACGTGCTACGAGAACTTACAGCTGGTGAACAACCAGGACGTGCTGCGAGAACTTACAGCTGGTGAACAACCAGGACGTGCTGCGAGAACTTACAGCTGGTGAACAACCAGGACGTGCTGCGAGAACTTACAGCTGGTGAACAACCAGGAGTGACGAACAACCAGGACGTGCTGAGAGAACTTACAGCTGGTGAACAACCAGGACGTGCTGAGAGAACTTACAGCTGGTGAACAACCAGGACGTGCTGAGAGAACTTACAGCTGGTGAACAACCAGGACGTGCTGCGAGAACTTACAGCTGGTGAACAACCAGGAGAGAACTTACAGCTGGTGAACAACCAGGACGTGCTACGAGAACTTACAGCTGGTGAACAAGCCAACGGACAGGACTTACAGCTGGTGAACAACCAGGACGTGCTGAGAGACTTACTGGTGAACAACCAGGAGTGCTGCGAGAACTTACAGCTGGTGAACAACCAGGACGTGCTGAGAGAACTTACAGTTGGTGAACAACCAGGATGTGCTGCGAGAACTTACAGCTGAACAACCAAGAACTTACAGAACTTACGTTGGTGACAACCATTAAGAAGAGAACTTACAGCTGGTGAACATTAATAAGAAGAAGAATACTTGATGGCTGATGTGGCTACTTCACAGGACCCATTTTATAATGGGTCAACCTGAGAGCCAAGGTCATTTAGATCAGTGGTTCTTAACCTGTGGGTCCCAACTCTTTTGGCGGTCAAACGAGCCTTTCACAAGACCATCAGAAAACACATATTCATTGAAGTAGCAACTAAAATAATTGTATGGTTGGAGGTGACCACAACATGAGGAAAGGTATTGAAGGGTCACAGCATTAGGAAGGTTGAGACACACTGATTTGGAACAAGAAAAAAAAAATCAGTCTGGAGGCAGATTTGCACCCTAGATTAGCTGCACATCTGCTGCATACATATCAACCGGAGGTCTCAAGACAACTGAATGATTTACAAGTAACAAACATGGTCATTCCGTCAACAACTCCCAGTTATCTCTCAAAGCTGTGCCCAGCTTTGTCTTGTGTTCACCCTCATAATGGGAGTTTACAGCTAGGCTGTGATATCAACACCTTTTGGCCCCAAAGCATCTGATTTTAGCGAACCGTAATTAGATACCTTTTACCACATGCTTGCTAATCTAACCCCCCTCCCACACACACACAAAAGGGCACCGGAACACATATGGGGACATGATTATCAAATGTTTGCAGGTAGCGCTGTAGCCACCCTATAACGCGTATGCTTTCATCATCAGCCACTACAGAGTTCCGCATCTGCTGTATATGAGTCAATCAAGCATCTCATCTTCTTTCCTTTCTCTAATTCCTGTTCTGGCTTTGAAAAGGCATCTCTTTCAAGCCTTTATGTGTTTTACAAAATTGCTGATATTAACTGCCTGAGATATTTCGTCTATCCTTCACTTGCATGGGCAACCTCTAGATCTGCTACTACTGAAAGCTTTGTCTAGCAAGTCTCTGCATACTCCCTGATCACTCTAGCAGCTCCAACCGCCGACCCTACAGCGTGTACACTTTCATCATCAACTACAACACTCAGCCCTACGTCTGCTGCATATACATCAATCAGACGCCGCATCACTATTGGATTATTCACTGGTACAGACCCCGACACCAGCAGACGAGAAATTCCCCTGCCCTGTAAATATTTCACAGGAACCATATCTTGCAGATGATCGATTATGCCTTCGCACACTGCTCTGAAAATAGTTCCCATGCTGCGGAAGTTGGTTGCATTTATTCCAGTGATATGTCCACACAGATCTGTATCATGCCGCTCTCCAAAGAAGATGGGGTGTACTGTGAGGATTGAAGGATCATTCTTGGACTTGTCTGCAAGCTGTTGTAGTCGACTCATGAGTGAAGCAGAGTCACAGGAATCGCTGAAACCTGGAGTGTATTTGAGAGAAATGTACAGATGAGTAATTGTGTATTATATTTATTATACAGAAGACATTAAATGGTAATTTTCTACTATTTTATTTTCCACGTTTGAGTTCCGGGTTCCACTGTGAGGGGAAAAGAATAGACCCTTAGTTCCAGGTTCCGCTGTGAGGGGAAATAACATCCTGATTCCAGGTTCCACTGTAAGGGGAAAGAACATATCCTGAGTTTCAGGTTCCACTGTGAGGGGAAAAGAATAGATCCTGAGTTTCAGGTTCCACTGTGAGGGGAAAAGAATAAATCCTGAGTTTCGGGTTCCACTGCGAGAGGAAAAGAATAGACCCTTAGTTCCAGGTTCCGCTGTGAGGGGAAATAACATCCTGAGTTCCAGGTTCCACTGTGAAGGGGAAAGATTAGATCCTGAGTTTCAGGTTCCACTGTGAGGGGAAAGAACATATCCTGAGTTTCAGGTTCCACTGTGACGGGAAAAGAACAGATCCTGAGTTTCAGGTTCCACTGTGAGGGGAAAAGATTAGATCCTGAGTTTCAGGTTCCACTGTGAGGGGAAAAGAACAGATCCTGAGTTTCAGGTTCCACTGTGAGGGGAAAAGATTAGATCCTGAGTTTCAGGTTCCACTGTGAGGGGAAAAGAACAGACCCTGAGTTTGAGGTTCCACTGTGAGGGGAAAAGATTAGATCCTGAGTTTCAGGTTCCACTGTGTGGGGAAAGAACAGACCCTGAGTTTCAGGTTCTACTGTGAGGGGAAAGAATAGACCCTGCCTCCTAACAAACATGCTGTAAAGGGGGATTAATTAGGGATTAATGAAAATTGGATGTGTTGGAAATATGTAGCACATATATTAATGAACACACACATACATCTTCAATATATGACTTACCAAGATCTGAGATCCACTTAGCAACACACTCCACAAAATGAGAGATGGCGTTCCCACCATTAAGTCCAGCACACAGGGCTAGCAGACGACCGTCAAAGTACGGAAAGAAGGAGATGCTTGGCGGAGACTCATGGTGGACTCGATCACTGGAACCAGCAGGGATGACGAATCCTAGCTGAATGGACGTGCTGATGTTGATCGCTGGAATACAGGTACAGATGACATAAAGTTGAATTACAGAGGACTGACTTCATTGCGCTGGGTTTTATTCCATACAGCTCGGTTTGCCTCCACAAAATGATTAGCAGTGCACCCAGAGTGTTTTATACAACAGGTACTCACTAGCTGAAGTGAAGATCCCGAAGAATCTACGTCAAACTGCACTAATGAACAGAACGACGACTCTGTAAAATTAACCACAAGCTACAGAGCGAGAAGAAAATGGCTTGACTATTCGCCATGGAGGACCCCCCCCTGAATTTGTGTAGTTTCTTTGTATCATGTTTACATCATTCCTAATGTTTCCACTCTATATAAGCAGTACTGATTTAACATTTTAATTAAACATTTTTTAACGTTGCAGGTCACTGAGTGAATTACAAAAGACAGTCAAGTCATACTAGAGACAACATTGCAGGTATAGATAATCTATTTCAAGCGAACATTAAAAGAAAAAGATGAACAATTTTAAATTAAGTTTTAATTGCCTAAATGTCCTAGTGTTATGAAAACTCCTTTTGCCTGTTATATTTGTATTTTAAAATTCCTCCAGCTTTAAAGGACCCAATTTGTGTGGTCTCGCGTCAAGTATATTTAAACTATCTGATTCAGTGAGTGGGGTAGAATATAAACGTCACCAGCGAAGTCCATGGGGCAATTTCTTTTGTAGAGGTCCACTGAATTCCATTCTTGGTGTTAGCAGTTGCTGTCTTCACAACTCAGTCTACTGCCAGTAAAAATAGGAGAGGCGACAAAAGACATCCCTGTCGCGCACCTTTTTTATTTCAAACATCTAGTTTTCTCTAATAAAGAACTCATCATTTCATGTCCTTATATGTTTCATTTACTAAGTTAATTACTTTCTGTGGGATCTCATAGTGCCTCGTCAATTTCTAGAGAGATTCCCAATCAATGCCGTCAAAAGCTTTTTCAGAATCTTACATCAAATATAAAGTGATGAATTCCATTCAATGCACTAGTCTATTATTATGCGTAGTGTGGCTATCTGGTCAGTACAGGATCTCTTTGGCCAAAAACCTGCCTGTTCATCCCCTGGCTGTTTATCATCAATTGCATCTTTTAGTATGACATTAGTCACAGAGTAATCACAAAACTGTTATAAGCAGGGTTGTTGTATAAAATAGTAGGTTGACTTGAAGTCACGCCGTTGTTTGTGATACAGGACCAGAAAGTAACGAATTCGTGAGTCAAATGACAGGTTCTAAATCACATGCATTGACTTCTGCGTGGTGCAGGCAGAAGAGCTGATCATGGAAAACAGTGTGATTAGAATATCTGAGACCCTAGAATTGTTTTATCTTACCATTTTGTCAACCTATTGATCTCTATTCCCCCCTCAATGATAATTATAATAATTCTTTCTTTTTCTGCAACAACTACTACTAGTAGTAGTAATTTTTCACAAATATCCTATTCAACCCTCAGGGTTATTATTGGGATATATAGTGTTCATTGAGTTCTCATAGTATATATTTGTTATTTACTACTACTACTACTGCTGCTGCTACTGATACTACTACTACCGAAGAAGAAAAAGGGGGAAGGAAGAAGAATGTGGAAGAGTAGGGGAAGGGGAGAGGAGGATGATGATAAAGAGGGGAAATGGAAGTGGGGGTAGGAGGTGTGAAAAACACTGATCCAGATAAGAGATCACATGATAAGCTATAAATAAACTTGAGAGGCCAATGAGTAATTCTACCTGCAGAACTTGGGCCCTGGTTATAAAACAAGCACAATGACACATTAGGCAATGTTTTATGTCTGTAAAGCTTATAACTGCAAGGATCGGATTGAATGCCTCACACTTCAACCAGAAAGACTGAACAACACGACCAGCAAGACTGAACAACACAACCAGCAAGACTGAACAACACAACCAGCAAGACTGAACAACACAACCAGCAAGACTGAACAACACAACCAGCAAGACTGAACAACACAACCAGCAAGACTGAACAACACGACCAGCAAGACTGAACAACACGACCAGAAAGACTGAACAACACGACCAGCAAGACTGAACAACACAACCAGCAAGACTGAACAACACAACCAGCAAGACTGAACAACACAACCAGCAAGACTGAACAACACAACCAGCAAGACTGAACAACACGACCAGCAAGACTGAACAACACGACCAGCAAGACTGAACAACACAACCAGCAAGACTGAACAACACAACCAGCAAGACTGAACAACACAACCAGCAAGACTGAACAACACAACCAGCAAGACTGAACAACACGACCAGCAAGACTGAACAACACAACCAGCAAGACTGAACAACACGACCAGCAAGACTGAACAACACAACCAGCAAGACTGAACAACACGACCAGCAAGACTGAACAACACAACCAGCAAGACTGAACAACACAACCAGCAAGACTGAACAACACAACCAGCAAGACTGAACAACACAACCAGCAAGACTGAACAACACAACCAGCAAGACTGAACAACACAACCAGCAAGACTGAACAACACGACCAGCAAGACTGAACAACACAACCAGCAAGACTGAACAACACGACCAGCAAGACTGAACAACACAACCAGCAAGACTGAACAACACGACCAGCAAGACTGAACAACACAACCAGCAAGACTGAACAACACAACCAGCAAGACTGAACAACACGACCAGCAAGACTGAACAACACGACCAGCAAGACTGAACAACACAACCAGCAAGACTGAACAACACAACCAGCAAGACTGAACAACACAACCAGCAAGACTGAACAACACAACCAGCAAGACTGAACAACACGACCAGCAAGACTGAACAACACGACCAGCAAGACTGAACAACACGACCAGCAAGACTGAACAACACAACCAGCAAGACTGAACAACACAACCAGCAAGACTGAACAACACAACCAGCAAGACTGAACAACACAACCAGCAAGACTGAACAACACAACCAGCAAGACTGAACAACACGACCAGCAAGACTGAACAACACAACCAGCAAGACTGAACAACACGACCAGCAAGACTGAACAACACAACCAGCAAGACTGAACAACACGACCAGCAAGACTGAACAACACAACCAGCAAGACTGAACAACACAACCAGCAAGACTGAACAACACGACCAGCAAGACTGAACAACACGACCAGCAAGACTGAACAACACAACCAGCAAGACTGAACAACACAACCAGCAAGACTGAACAACACAACCAGCAAGACTGAACAACACAACCAGCAAGACTGAACAACACAACCAGCAAGACTGAACAACACAACCAGCAAGACTGAACAACACAACCAGCAAGACTGAACAAACACAACCAGCAAGACTGAACAACACGACCAGCAAGACTGAACAACACGACCAGCAAGACTGAACAACACGACCAGCAAGACTGAACAACACGACCAGCAAGACTGAACAACACGACCAGCAAGACTGAACAACACAACCAGCAAGACTGAACAACACGACCAGCAAGACTGAACAACACGACCAGCAAGACTGAACAACACGACCAGCAAGACTGAACAACACAACCAGCAAGACTGAACAACACAACCAGCAAGACTGAACAACACGACCAGCAAGACTGAACAACACAACCAGCAAGACTGAACAACACGACCAGCAAGACTGAACAACACAACCAGCAAGACTGAACAACACGACCAGCAAGACTGAACAACACGACCAGCAAGACTGAACAACACGACCAGCAAGACTGAACAACACAACCAGCAAGACTGAACAACACGACCAGCAAGACTGAACAACACGACCAGCACTTGCCGCTGTGTTAAAAAATCAATATAGTATTATGGAAGATAAAGGCAATTCAAGTGAGTGTTGTACCATATTAGCAATAGTAGCGGTTGTAGTAGAGGTTTGTTATCATATTTCCAGATGATATTAAAAATAATTATTGCTTGCTACATACATCCAGTTTTCAGATACAGCTGTAAGTCCTGGACAATTAGAAGGCAGGCCAAACAGTTTCTCGAGGCCTCAGAGATGTGGTTTTACAGAAGAATGCTTAAAATACCTTGGGCAGCCAAAAAAGAACAAAGAACAACCAAGAGGTTTTGACAAAGGCGGGAGCCCGAAGAAAACTTATCACAGACATCAGAAGGAGCCATCATAATTTTTCGGCCATGTTATAAGAAGAGGGAAAATGGAACATGCTGTGACCACTGGAAAGATCTGTGGAAGGAGGGATAGAGGAAGACAACGAGAGAAGATGCTTGACAGTCTTGTTGCATGGCATGGAGATGTATCAGCACACAAAATGATACATGCTGCAGGAGTTTGCAGATTGTGGAGAGGCATGATCGTCCGAGCCAGTCGGCAAGACACCTGATGATGATTGATCAGCCCTCATAGAAAGAAGTAGAAAAACAGAAGATTTGTTTCCTGGCGATAGCGTTATACTGTGTTGTGTGGACTCATAGGAATGGCAGTAAAAATAGTAGTAAAGTAGAAATTGCAATGGTAGTAGTGATCTTCAACACAATCTATCTGTTTGTGTGCTGACACCCCTCAATGCTAATACAAAATACTGTTAAGAATGCGCTCCCTTTGTCTTCCTCCGTTTTTCTTTCCACCGACCTTTCTTGTGGTCATAACATATTCCAGTTTCCTTTTCTTATATGACTCATAAATGTTGACTGTCTCTGTTTGTGATAAGTTGTCGATGGGCCCTTGCCTATTTCCAAACATCTGGGTTGCTCTTTTATATGGCTGTCCAAGGAATTCTAAGGATTCTTCTGTTAAAACCACATCTCAGAGGCCTTAAGGCATTTATAATAGTCATAACAGTAAAAAGTTAAGAACCCCTTTCCAAGCCCTTATAATAATTGTAGTTTCAGTGGTAGTAGTAGTAGTGGCTGTGGTGTCAGTGGTAATGTTTATAGCAGTAACTGTGGTGTCAGTGGTAATGTTTATATCAGTAGTTGTGGTGTCAGTGGTAATGT